AGGTTCATAGTGGTAAATGTCTACATAAAAAAGAAAGAGGATTTCAAACAACTGAAATTAGTACCCCAAAACAAGAATTAATTAAGCACAAATTTAGCAAAAGGAAGGAAATACTTAAGATTGGGAAATGTATTAGTTTTGCATTACTAGGAATAAAGACACAATGCAGCTAACTTTATACAGAGAAAATTTCGTTTAGCACAGGGTGGAGGCTGAAGGTTGACAGAATATAATTGTGACTGTCCCTTGACTCTGTCACTTCATGGCACATGGTGGCTGTCCATGCAGGGACAAAGCAATAATCACATCTCGTCCAGAAGCAGAGAAGAGTTGTGGGGCCAAAGCCAGGCTTTTGGGCAGTCCTTGTGAGAACTGTCAAAGAGTCTTCTGAGAATAGCCTCTGAAGGTGAGCTGCCAGTGTGACTTAGGGGCTTTGTAGTACAGCTGCCTCCCAGGGGTTCTACAACACCTCCCAGTCATGTACCCTGGGCACCAGGCCGTTAGTCATAAGGGATCCTTGAGGGTCACTTGGACCATAGGTGAGTCATAACAGGGAAGGGTAAATGAAATGAAGAAAAGAAGTAAAGAAAATCAGTATTACTGGTTGTTTTTTAAACATCATGAAAATTGGCAACTTGTTGGCTAAGATAACTAAGAAAAAGCAGAAGACACAAATGAAATTGAAAATGAAAGGAAATAGCTTACAATGGATGTTACATAATAAAGAATTATGAGACTGCTATATGCAAGTAGATGCCCACAAATTGGATAACCTAGAAGAAATGAATAAATTCCTAAAAAGATACAACAAAACAAGATCAGATGATGAGAAAAATTCTTAAATTTGTAAGGCAAGTGAGCCAGTAATAAAATATATGCCAAAAAGGGAGAGCTCATTGATGAATTGTATCAAATACTTAAAGAATTAACATCAGTCCTTTACAAGCACTTCCAAAAAACTGGAGAAAGGAATGCCTTCCCTCATTGCAGGAGGCCAGTATAATCCCTGAGTCCAAACCCGGAGAAAGGCACTATGACAAAGACAGTGGAATTACACACTACACTGCAGGAATCAAACACCGTGACCACATATTACTGGGATGTGAGGCTGATTCAGCACACAAAAATCACTTGATGTGAGATTCCATATGAATGGAATGCAGTGTAAAAGCACATACTCCTCTTAATAGATACAGAAAAAGCATCTGACAAAATCTAGTATTTTCACTTTAGAAAGACAAAAAAAAACCCCTCTAGAAATAGAAAGAAATTAACTGACAGAATAAAGGTGTATATCAAAATGTCACAGCTGACAGCATACTCCCTGGTAAACTCTGAAAGCTTTTTCTCTGGCATTAAGAATAAGACAGTAATACCCATTCTCACCACTTCTAGTAGCCATGGTATTAGGAGAATTATCCAAAGCTATTGTGGTGAGAAAAAAAAATGCAAATCCGCAAGAAAGAAAAGTATAAGTATTGGTTTGCAGATGGCTGGGACAGCAAGGAGCCATAGATACATTGCTGCAGAAATTTGAGTTTCGATCCACATGAACAGAGAAGAGCCACGTAACCATTTAAAAATGATGAAGGTGAGTTTATTATAAAAGTACTACAGATATAAACAGTCAAATGCTGCCATAGAGTGAGGCAGGGGACAGCCCCAAAGATGAAGGGGAATCCTTTGGGGAGATGGAACCTTCAGCCAGTGAGAGGGAAAACACCACATTGCACTCTGGTCTTTCCAGCGGTGTGTGCAGAGCTCACACTAAGGAGGCTCCGTGCCATGCTGGCCTTGGTATGTATTGCAAGTGACTTGGGTCAAGCTAGGACCAAGGACACTCTTGTCGAGCACACAAGGCTCTCCCAACGTGGGGGCCAGCCAGCTGTCACCTTGTAAGAAATGGCGTGTGGCCAAATTAACCCAGTGAACCCACACAATCTAGATGACTCTCATCACATTAACTGTTTCCCTGACAATGACGTGACTGTATGTTTAGAAAATCCTAAAGACTAAACAAAAAAATTGTCAGCACTGACAAATGAAGCCAATAAAATTACACAAAATACAAAACCAATATACAACAGTTCATTAGGTTTCTATAGACCAATCATAAACTATCCAAAAAAAGAAATGAAGAAAATCATTTCATTTACAATGGCACTCAGAAGAATAGAATACTTAGGAACAAACTTACCTAAGGAATTGAAGTACTTTAGACTAAGAACTACAAAATATTGGTAAAAGAACCAAAGAAGACAAAAATAAATAGAAAGAAGACATCTCATGCTCATGGACTGGAAGATGTATGGTTAAAATGTCCATACTAAACATAGCAATTCTTTGAGGTCCTTATCAAATTCCTAATGGCATATTATATACTTAGAAAAAAATTCTAAAATTCGTATGTGTAGAACCAAACACACAAACAAAAAAACCCCTGAGTAGCCAAAACAGTCTCAAGAAGGAAGCTTGAGACCTTACGTTTCCAATTTCCAAACATATTGCAAGCTGTATTAATCAAAACAACATGGTACTGGCAGGAAGACAGACATCTAGACCATTGGGGCTGTGTAACCAGCCTAGAGATGATCTTCAACAAAGTGCCATAGGAAGAGTAAAGGCTTCAACAAATGGATGCAAAAGGATGAAACTGGACCCTTATTTCATGCTCACTCCTAGGAAGAACCTGAGGACAAGCTTTGTAACACTGGACTTGGCTGAGATTTCTTTTTTTTTTTTTTTTTTTGGAACCGGGGATCAAACTCACAATCTCATGCTTGGCAGCAGGCACTTATGCTGCTGAGCTAAATCCCCAGCCCTTGGCTGTGATTTCTTAGATCCCCAAAGTAGATGCCATAAAAGCAACCAAGAGAAGTGGGACGTGAGGGTCCATCACCTAATGACCAGAGAAAGAAAACACAGCGTGTGCATGCAGCGGAATGCTATTCAGACACAGGAAGAAGGGAATTTTGTCATGTGCTACCATGTTCTCAAGGACCTGAGAGCATTTGTGAAGCCACCTAAGCCGGTCACAGAGGGGCAAAGACTGTGTTACTGCACTTCTGTACCTGCAGCAGTGAGACCCGCAGGGACAGGAAGTGGTGTGGTGGGTACCAGGCGTGGGGCGGGGAGAGCAGGAAGTGCTGACCAGCGGGCACAGAGTCTGAGCGGTGCTAGGGCAGTTCCAGAGCTGTGCCTGCGGCCTTCGTTAGCAGTACTGCCCCACATGCTGAGTCCTGCTTGGTTTTTTATCATAATTTTTAAAAAGCTTGTAAGGGCAGTTATGGGGACACTGTCTGCAGGCCTGGCCCGTGCAGGTGCTGGGGTGGGTGGGCTTGGTCCCTCTGCCCCAGGTGTGTCCTGTGGCCGCCACACCCAGGGGAGACCTCTGGGGCCAGGGCTGATTCTTCCAAAGAAACCATGCAGAATTAAAGTATTATACGAACTCTTCTCATTTCCAATTCAAAAACACTTAGGGCCCTATATGGCCGGCCCGAACTAATCCCTAACTATAACATCAGTGTATTTGGCCAGAGAGCAGCCTGCTTACAGCCTCTACCAGGAAGGTTAATCTGATATTTGTATCTGGGTTGAGTAGGGTAGGGGAGACCAGAGACAGAGAAAGTAGTTAGGGGCTTCCGGATCAAGAGCAGTGAAAGCTTAAATGAGAACAGAGGCAGGAGGCCCGGGGCACATGCAGTCCAGGAGACTGAGGCAGGAGGATGGCAAGTTTGAACCCAGGCTTGGCAAACTTAGTGACTTAGTGAGACCCCAACTAAATCCATCCATCAGCCAGTCAATCAATATACAAAGGGCCATGGGTGTAGCTCAGTGTGAAGGCTTACATTCAATCCTCGTTAATCCCCTATCTCTGTGCTCACCCACACACAGAGTGGAGGCAGGAGAAATATAGAGGAGGCTCAGAATGAATTGGAGTTAAGGACAGTCTGGCAGCATTGATCAGCAGAACTGGGGTGCATTGGGGACCTTACATCTTTAAGGTCCCACAAGGTTTGGCACCATTTGTAATTGAAGCCTCTCTGCCCTTCTCAATCGGAGACCATGGATTCACCAGGACTAGGGGTGTTCTCTTAAAGCTACAGTACAATAGTGGAAGACAAGAAATTCTGTGCCACTGCCATACCATTATCTAGTTCCGAGTTTGTATTAAAATTCTGTTATTTATTCCAGTAAGTGTATAGAGTTTTAGCATCCAAGACCCCATGTCTAGGCAGAACTCAGAGATTCCTTGTGAGGGGGGGAACGGAATTATACCCCAGGGCGCCTCCTGGCTGCCCACTGTCCATCTGCAGCGTGGTCCCCGGCTTCCCTCCAAAAGGCTTCCAAGCCAGAGCCAAGAGGGAGAGCAGGATATGTCTCTGCCCTTGCACAGGGTGGGGATACAGGGACTCCGGGGAGGAAGTTGGCAGTGGAAGGTTGGCATGGGACAGGTGAGTTCCTTCAGCATGCAGTCAGTCCATGTGACAGATCTTTAGGGAGTATGTGAGGCCAGTGGGAAGGAGACACGGACTCCCCCACTAGAGAGGTCCAGGGTTGGGTCTTGGAGGAGACATGATTGTATTAAGCCTCCAGGGAGAAGTGGGGCTTCTCCAGAAGGCGGTGCTTCCCATAGACAAAGGGGGGGGGGGGAAGAACACTGTGATCCTGGAATTCAGACTCATGCAGGAAGATGTTAAATATGCACAGAAATGGTAACATGGTGCTACATATTAAACATTGATGCTGCAAAGAGGCAGATTGCAAATGTGGGCTGACTGACAAGAGATAATCATTATCCCAGCCTGTCAGGATGGTTGCTTTAGGACGAGACTGGAGAATGAGAAAATTACTTATTAAGGAATATAGTGTTGAAAAGAAACCTTCCTTTAGTCATCAAAATACCTGCTTTCTGGATATGTGTGGTTTTCCTGATTATTTACATCTTTAACAAGAACTACTATTCTTTAACTTAAGTGTATTTCTACTTCCTTTTCAAGGTGAGGACCAAGGACCACGTATTTGATAATGTGGGGCACCTTATCAGATACCATATGGATAACAGTTTGCCAATCATGTCTTCCGGAAGCGAAGTAACCCTTAAGCAACCAGTGAGAAAAGAAAATAATCCCGCACTTTTGCATTCCAAGAAATGACAGCGTTGGAGCACCGTTCTGGTGCTATTTCAAGAAGCTCTGTTTTATGTGATGACAGAAAGATAACTCAAACTTTGTTTCTAAATTCAATAGAGCACAAACTGTGAAGTGCATTTTTCTGAGACTCTAATAACTAGATCTTTTATAAAACAAAGAACTAACAAATCTTCAGGAGGTGAAGATGAGAAAAAAAGGAAGAGGACTGACACATTTGAAAAGAAACTACATATGCACGGATGTCACTTTCTAAAGTCACATTGTATCGATAACAAGCTAAAAAGCACAATTAAAATTTCACATGCTAAAGACAACTTGAGCTGCTGGGGCAGTGGTATGTGCCTTTCACCCTGATAATTTGGGGGCATTTTCCTAGGGGGGAGGTGAGTTCCAGGTGTCTTCATGTTCTATAACTACAGAACCATTTGCCAAAAACAGATTTTTTCCTGGCTAAAAAAAAAAAAGCAATCTCCTTGATAGTTGTTGACTTTATTACATTTTCTGTTTAGTAGCATTTTGACTGCAGTGTTAAAATAAATACGACATTTAATTCAGACTGTCTGTGTGCCAGTGGAATGGAAGCTGCTGAATGTGTTAGTCTGTTCCTTGGTCTGCCCCACTTTCTGGTGAAGGGCTGGGGCCCGTATTCTTTGGCCTGCTGTTTCTCAGTCTTTGCTATGTGGATGTTTGCACAGAGCCCGTGATACATGGACCTGGCCGGACCTACGAGCCATTTCTGTTCTCATCATCTTCTCCCACTGTCCTTGCCTCAAGGCCCTGAGGGCCTGGGTTTATAAAAGATGCCAGGCCAAACCAGGGTTCTTCAGACTCAGTATCAAACTGGATCTGTCCTCATCAGAAGCACAGAATTTAGGTAAAAGTGTAGGGAACTTTGCTTGGGATTGAATACCACCAAATGACAGTCTTGATATCTACATGTGCCCTAGCACCTTTTCTAGATATGATCAGACAAACTGCAGGAGAGAGGAAACACATTGCATGAGCTGTTGGAAAGGTCCCTACAGGAAGACCAACTCTGTTACTGATAACAGAGTAAGTGTCCACCAGGCGGGGTCCAGCTCTGTGACCTTCAGCAAGTTGTTAAGCCACTCCGGGTTACACTTTTCTTGTTTAAAATGAGAGAGCTGGAGTGGGTGGGTCCCGAGGTTCACTTGCGTCTTAATGTCGTCTGTGCCTGCCTACGATAAGCCAGTTGGTCATTTGTTCAACATCGGACTGCTAAGCAGCCTGTACAGTTAGTTAAACATTGTTTTCTTCTTTAGTCTGTGTTTATCCTCTGAGGATAAATGGATCAAAAGTCACGTAGCTGACCTCCCAAGCCTCTCAGAAACTGTAGATTAATACACGTGTCCTTGCTGTTGTGTACGGAGATGCGGCCGTCACTGTAGGGCCATGTTTGTCTGCTTATTTGTTTTATCCTGAGGAATCTGGATAAATGCCTTAACTCCGTTTCACTGGGCTAAGCAGTGCAGCTTAACCTTTATGGTTATCGTATCTGCGCTAAGCACACTGAACTCTTAATATTTTGGGGAAAGGCTTCCAGATGTTTTCTCCTGCCATAGACCTTAGCTGGTTTTGTTTCCTTGTACACAACTAGAAAATAGTGTCTTTATTACCAGTTTCCCAACACTGAGCTCTTGATCATTTTTGCTCATAAAGGGACTCAGCAAGAGTAGGGATATGAGAAATGTGTGTAATGAAGCTGTGGGAGCAGAGACGGGGTGGGCAGTGGGCTTGGGTTGACTGGGCAGCAGGAGGCCTGGATGCAGAGGCGGCTGTCCGTCCTGTCCGTCCTGTCCGTCCTGTCCATCCTGTCCTCCTGTCCGTGGTGTGCAGGTGGGTGGTAAATACTGTCCTCACAAACACCACAGGTACAGTGAAACGACACAGAACGGTCTGCCTGCTGTTTTAACCGCAGCTTCTTATCTTCTGTTTTCCAGTGGAAATCCATTTGCCTATAAATGCCTGTAAATGACTTTTTCAGAGAACAAATACATAATTATGTCTTTGTGACAATTGACCATCTGTGTCTGGTGTCTGAGATTTGGAAATTTTACCATTTGTAGGGTGTCAAAGTCCTGGCAGGAAACAGATGGCCACTGAAATTGGGTAATTTGGGGAGACTTTAATAAAGGAAGAGCTTAAGGTGTGGGCAGAGTACCGGGAAACCCCAAGGGAGAAGGTGGTGAGTGCCTGCCGCCTCTCCTCCCCCCAGGAATCGCGCTCAGAGTCTGGAGAGGGAGCTGTATATGGGTGTGACAGAGATGGCTTTTTCTGATCTCTTGGACCTGCTGTGGCTCAGGGAACTTGAAGACCAAGCAAGGTGCTCCTTGATCACCAGCCTCCTGGGGCCAGGAGAGGGTGGGAAAGCATAGGTGAGAGTCTGGAAGAGGAAGCGAGCACACACAGTATAGCACGAGGATGTCCGCTGCCTGTTTTCCTGGTCACTATGGTACTGGAAGTCACAGCCCATGCAGGAAGACAACGAAGATAAACAAGGGCATGCCGATTAGAAAGGAAGAAATAAAGCCATGCTACTTGCATGACAGGACTGTCTGTACAAAATATCAAAGGAATCTTAAAAAAAAACACCCCAAAATGAAAAGAAACATGCAGGGGTGCTCCTAGAATTAATAAGCAAGTTTATCAAAGTTCAGAGGACATGAGATAAACATTCATTTGTATTTCTACATACTAACAATGGACACAAGACCCCAAAGAACAGAACCCAAAACTTCAAAAGCAATATGACTTACAGTTGCTCACAAAAGGTACTCTATATAAATCTAACAGTATATGCAGAAAGCTTAGAGTGCTGGTTAATGAAGTACAAGATCTGAATAAACGTAGAGACCCGAATGTTCTTGAAGAGTCAACGTGATAAAGATGTCAGTTCTTCCCAAACTGATACCCACACTTAGTGCGCATCTCATCAAAATTCCAGCAGGACTTTGTGTAGCAAGCAGAGGAACCAGAGCAATCAGCCTACCTGATATCAAGACTTTCACAGTTGCAGTAATCAGGACAGTAGCTTTGCTGGAGAAAAGCACACGTGTCAATGGGACAGAATAGAGATGTCAGGACTCCCCAGTGGTATCCAACAGATAGGTACAAAGACTCAAACGTGACTCAGCAGCTGGAGCACGGAGCTTTTCAACAAAGGATATGGGAGTAGTTAAAGCAAGAGAATGACCTGCACACCTAACAGAAACATCAAATTATATGAATTACGAACATCAGTGTAAGGTGTAAAACTGTCGAACTTGCAGAAAAAAACATGGAAGAAAATATTTGACATAGTATATAGAAATATTAACGAATATTTATTTTGTGTCCTCTGGACTTTGATCAACCTGCTCCTCAATTCTACTAGCTAATTTTTTTGTTTTGGAGGGGGGAGTTTAGTATTTCTTTTTGTTTTGCTTTGGTGGTTTTCTTGGTTGATTGATGTTTTGCACATAGACAATCATGTCTAAGAAGGAATTTGTATATAGCATGATCTATTGAGGGAAAACATACACTGAACTTGATCAGAATTATGAGTTTTTTCTCTGTGACACTGATTAAAAGATGAGGTAAGTTGCAAACGGGGAGAAGATACAGTGCTACAGGAATTTCAAACCATGAATCAGGCACAGAAATATCTAGAATATGTACAGCTCAACAGTGAAATCTAAAAAATAGCAAAACCAGCAGACATTTCACTGAAGAAGATAAACAGATGGCAAATAGGTCCATAAAAATACGTTCAACATTATTATGTAGTTGCAAAATGAACATTGAAACCATGGCAGGCATCACTACCCACTCTCAGAATTCCACAAGGGAGAGAAAGTAGAGCACATATTTCAGATGGGAATGTAAAGTAGTGGAGTCCTTATGGAAGACAGTTTGACAGTTTATTTAAAAATAAAGCATGCAACTAGCAGTGAGCCCAGCAATTGCACTGTTGGGAATTGATCACAAAAAAGAAGAAAAACAGGAGGAGGAGGAAGACAAAGAGCAAGAGGAAGAGAAAAATTGTACAGGAATATTCATAACAGCTCTGTTTAGAACAACCCCAAGCTGGAAACCCAGATGCCCTTTCATAAATAAAGAGTTAAAGAAGCCATAGTACATCTGTGTTACAGAATACTACTCAGCAGTACAAAGAACTGGTGAGAGACACACTTGGGCCAGGCTCTCAGGAATTGCAGAGTGGGGGAAAGGCCAGCCCCCAAAGCTTACATATTATAGAACTATATTTATGGAACATTCTTGAAATAATAAAAGTTCAGAGGTGGAGAACAGGTGGAGGGTTCTATGATCTGATTGTGTCGTTTCCACATTTACATGCAGACACCTGACACCCTGTGATGGTATTAGCAGCGGACGGGTTAGGGTTAGGGTTAGGGTTAGGGTTAGGGTTGTGGGTGTGATTAACCAAAAGCCCTCGGAAAAGAGGCCCACACAGGAAGCAGGGAGATGGGGGGCTTTTTGCAAATGGAAGAGGACCCAGAGTGGGAGCTGGGGGAAGACGCAGGAGACTGGACAGGCCCATGAGAAGGATGATGTACTGACTCCTCTGAAAGAATGTCTTCACTCTGCACTGCCATGGTTTCTTTCTGAGGATGGACTTGGGTTTTCCCTGGGTCTCCGAAACCAGCAGGTGTCTGTGTACTTCACTCCTCGCCCTTCCCCACCGCCACAGCTGGTGCAAAAGTGTAAAAGCTCAGCTCTCTGGTCTCTGTTTGGAGGACTTTTCAGAGGTTGCTGTGAGATCAAGCTGGGCCCAGCGCTCCTCCTGGAGTCACCCCCTTGCTTGGTTCCTCCCTCTTCCCTGACCCTCTTTCTCACTTTCTTACTAGCTGCTACTCAAAGCCCTTTTATTTATTGTACCATTGCACTGTTAATATTTTTCCATAAACAATAATCGGCCTACTGTGTGGCTATGAAGCCAAGCACAGAGAGTTAATAATTAAGAAATAACAGCAGTTAAAAGCCACGACCTCCTGGGCAATGCCACTATTAATATCGTCATCCCACAGTGAGAATCCAGTCAGCTTTAAGTGTGGATGAGGAGCTGCTTTGCACTTGAGCGTTCAAGGCCAGCCTGGGCTACATAAGTGAGTTCGAGGTTAACCTGAACTAAATAGCGAGACCGTCTCAAAAAAAAAAATTTTTTTTCTAAACCTTAGTAAGCCCTAATATCTTGGTTGGTGGATTCCTAGTTGTATGTAAAAGTAAAAACCTATAAATTTGCATGGTATTTTCTCATAACTGAAGAAATGGCGTGGGCATTTGTGGCATTTATCGGCCCATCAGAAAGATTCTTGGGTCCACTCCTGAGCTGTGGACCTATTTGGAGCTCACTGTCTAGACTGCTCATGTAGAATCCATCACTATAATTGCATCTTAGTTGTGTGTTGCCTGTGAGAAATGTAACCCTGCTGTGTTAATTTCTTCGGCCCTGGAACCAAGTATCACAAAGTACTTTAAGACAGTGCAGTCTTACTCTCTTAGTTGAGGACGCTGAAGTGGGAAATCAGGGTGTTGCAGAGCCTTGCTCTGTCCAGAGTTCTGGGGAGCAGTCTCTGCCTTCTCCAGCATCGCACAGCCAAGGTGTTCCTTGGCTTGTGGCAACACAACTCAGAGCACTGTCCCTGTGGGTCTGTGTCCTCTTCCAAGGATGTAGGTCCACTCTAATCAGTATGACCTCATGTTAATTACTTACATCTGCAGAGACCCTTTTTCTAAACAAGGTGATGTTCTTGGATTCCACGTGCACATGAATTTGGGGGAACCAGTGTTCACCTTCTACTTGACCGAAATCAGCTCACTTTAAAAGCTATTTTAAGGCTCAGATATGACTGAATCCAAGGAAAAGTGCTAGGCTGAAGTGCTAGGCTTCTCAAAGCACAGGAACCAGGCAGATTCCTGGCCTGCAGAGGCAGTAGCTCACAATGTTTACCCAGCCCTGCCTGTGCACAGCATGGCCACAGTGGCTGTGTGGGTCCCATGAAACACATCGTGAGAGCCTGTTTCTCTTCCCTGTGGCCCGCAGCTTTCATGGTTCCACAGAGCTCTGTTTTGGTTACCTGGGTGGGGAATATGAGCGGCTTGGATTGGGTCAGGTGTGCACCCCTGATCTAACCAAGTATCACTGAGATGAGGTGTTGGGTGGGCATTGCTGGCAGCGTGGTCACAATGGCTGTGAACAGGGCCGGTTCCATGAGGAGGGGCTTGAGCAGCTCAGGCATCTGACCTGTTACAGGGAACTGTAGTTACCAGTGGTCCTTGTGAGGCTCTTACTGTCCCTGTTCAGAGAACTGGAAGGGACTACTGATGCATGTGAAAGTGTAACATTTACTTAGGGCAACAGGAGAAGAAAAGGAAAAGAAAAAAATGCAAAAGAAGTGGTCATGAAGAAAAAGTGCCTTGCAAAGAAAGGCTCTGCGAAGTGAGTGTGGCCTGGTAAAGTCGAAAACAGAACTGCTATGCCTTGTGGAATGCAAGGTGGACAGGTGGAAAGGTTCACAGCAGTCAGCAGCTTAGTGACCACCATCCTTTCTGATGTCAGATTTAGGCCGCTCAATCTCATGCCAGAAGATTGGTTTCAGATTCAGGGCTTGGCTTGCTGTCACGTCAGAAAAACTGAAGTCAGCAATCCCCAGCTGGCATCAGGTCTCCGAGACTGACAGGCCACGCCCATTTGTCCAGCAGCATTGCCATGCCCTAATTTCCTGCCTCAGACCCATCCATCAGTCTTTGATAATCCTCCAGAACGTGGTTGGCACAAAATAAGGACTCAAAAAATTGAATTGTTGACCTGACCTCCCTCAGATCTTTCCAGGCACTGTGGTTTCCATGTTTAGTGTTTCCTGCTTCCTGTTTGTTCTCATAAAGCCTTAGCATTGTGTAGACTCCTGCTTTGCTTTGTCTCATTCCATTGCCACCTCCTGTCCTCTGCGTGCATCCTCCTTTCTTGCCACTGAACCCACAGTGCCTTAGAACTTGTCCATGGGAGTTATGCCATCTGGTTTCCTTCACTGCCTCAGATCCATTGTGTACTTTGGTGCAAAAACACCAAAGTTTAGAAATACCATAGAAAATAAGCTCTAATGTTTCCACATTTTAAAATCTCCTGGACAGTTTCTCATTTTTTTTTTTACATTTGAAACACAACCTTTATCGGGAACTTCTTAAAAATTTTTATTATTTTGGAGGTAGTAAAATACAACAGAACAAAGCCAATTTAGACAGTGTAGTGAAATTGGTACCGAACTTCACAACAGGTTACCTGGAAAACAGTAATAGATGCCATAGTATATCTAGTTATCTTCACAATAGCTGTTCTTGCAATCAGGTATAGCAAAATCAAATGAAATACAGAACATTATAGAACTTAGCAAAACAGAATATTGAGTAGAGCAAGTACCAAAGCAAAACAGTGATAAAAATATTTGCCTTCAGAGAGTTGGTAGAAGGAAATCCCCCTTATTTGCTATATTGTATATGGTGAACCTCCCAAGAGATGCTCAGATCTCTGGCTCCCATTTGCTAAGAGGGGGAGGGATGGGGGAGATGAGGTGTCTGATTCTCAGCCTACTCACAGCCACTTACCAGGGAGGCAAGCTGGTTGCTCGGCTTCCCAGCCCCCAAGTTCCAACATGAGGGATCTCAGGAGATGCTGCTGGTTCTCACCCTGGGGCGGCTGCAGCCTGGAGCCACAGCCTTGGTGAGCTGGTTGCTTGGTTTTTCAGTGCCCTAAGTTCCAACATGGCGTGGATCTCAGGGGACGCAGTTTCTCCTCATTTCATCTTTCCCGCAATTTTAAGTAGTAGCTATTCCTATTTTCAGACAAGGACAGCAAGGATTTGGAGGGTTCAATAAATTGTGGACAAAAGACAGGAAATCAAATCTTGAATTTGATTGTCTCTGACAGGTAAGCACTCCTTTGGGGACAGCATGACTTGATAGCATTTTGGGTGGTGTCTTTGTGATGAGATTATTCCGGCTTGAGAGTTTTGGCACCAAAGAGGAAGTAGGATACAGGAGCAATGATGGTTTAGCTCACCTTTATAAATACTTATGAGCGAGACCCTGTCTCACAACAACCCTGATATTCTCTCACGAGATCCAAACAGTCTGGCAGAAGTAGAGCGCTGATTCAACCCACAAGTATGTCCACTAAAAATACAAACGCAAAGCAAATACTGACCTAACATTCCACAAGTAATCTATGGAGAATTTAAGATCTCTGGCAGTGTTTTCTCTTTTGTTTCCCACCCCAAAATGCCTCCGTCTGCTAGTGCTTCCTTATTTCTTTCTAATGCCTTTTCTAAGTGTTCTGGCATCACGCTGTGGTGTACACTCTTATTTCCTGCCTCCTTCTCAGCCTCACCTCTAGGCACAGGAATCCTTTGCTTGCAGAGGTCGGGGATTCACTGGGATGCACTCTCCCATGCTAACCAACTTCCTCTAGCACTCTCTCCTCTTCCTCCTGGAAACTTGCTTATAGATCTTTAGGTGTTTATTTTCACTTTGGTGCCTACTTTACTTGAACTTCATAAACACTTTCTTATTATTTCCCTGTTCCGGTTTATAGGTGGATGTCTCCCCAAAGACGCATGTGCTCTTAGGTGAGGATTTTGGGAGAGGATTAGATCATGGGAGTGTGATACTCATCAGTGAATCAGTCCACTGATGGGTTCACAGCTAAATGTGTGAGCAGGTGGAGAGGTAAGGTAGGGAGATGCAGGGGCCAGCCTACGAGCTTGTACCTGATTAAGGAGTGAGAAAGATCAAACATAAAGGGACACAGAATAGGTTAAACTGTGAGGGAGAGAGGCGGGGTCTTCCTTGGACAAAGAGCCGAGAGTGACTGGGTAACTGGCGCACCTTGGCAATATTCAGTCAGACATGGGCACCAGCAATCAGAGTAAAACAGGATGCAGTCTCCCACAGTGCGCGGTACACATCCGTGTAAACAGCAGGACCTCAGCTGTGCTGGCTTTCCCTGCAGCGGGTCAGCACGCACTCTCACGGTCTTCTTCCCTAGAGCTGGAAGAAGAGGTTAGACCAAGGATCTGGCCCCAAACCCAAGGAAGCAGGCAGAAAGCTCTGGAGCCTCTAGGTAACCGATAAGCCCACCCACCCAGAGCCAACCCTCTCATAATTGGCTCGCAGATTCACCAATGGGCGCGCAGCAGCAGCTTCCCGCCGCCTCTGGCGCCCGCTTCAAACAGCCGTACATTTGCAACTGCAGTCCGACCTCTCAACCAAGCTTGTAGGGGCGGAGACTTCCGCCCCTTCTCCCCGCCCCTAACCCGTTTAGCCCCACCCACCAGGCGAGTTTCTAGCGAGCGATTGGAAGAGACGGCTGGTCTCCAAAAGCCCAGGGGAGTCTGGTTGTGACGAAGGAGGCACTCCCAGGTTGGTGTCAGGATCTGCGGGTTTGCTGGAAGTTGTTCTCCGGCTGGCTTTGGTTTGCCTGCGGTGACAGCGGCGTGGTCTCCGGTGAGTTTTGCTGCGCGGCTGGGCTCGGGGCCGAGGTTCGGGGAGCCACAGGTTGCTCGGGATCTCGTTGAGGACTTCCCGGAGGGCTGGCGCCGGGGTGGCCTGGGCTCCGTTCCGGATTGCAGCGCCCAGCGCCCTCTCGGCTCCCCCGGGCGCCCGCCCAGAAATGACGTCCGGGAGCTCCACTCATTGCTCCGGAGACCTCCTCCTGGGCACCCTGGGTCACAGTGGCTCTCTGTGCACGTGTGTTGACGCCGACGGGCTCGATCCCGGTGTGTGTCATGCCAGGGTGACGCCAGCCTGGGTCCCTCGGTAAGGCCGTCAATTTCTGCAAGGCTGTACTTCCAATCTTGGTTCAGCCTGTGGGTGCCTGCTGGGCCACGCGCCCCTCCTCGGATCATCGTGAATCGACATGTCCAAGCTGCTGTCGCCAGCCCCAAACACACGATGTGGTGGTCATCGCCTGTTTCTGTGTCTGTTGTGTTTCCTTCCACCTTGCTCTTCCTAACTCTGCACAGTGTTGCTCAGTGGTTGGATGCATGGGCGGTCTCAGCCAGGTGCTGCGGGTCCCAGACAGGCTACGTGCATATTTCCATACTAGCCGGGCACTCAGCGTATCAGCAAATAAGTAAAATATCCTTACTGCCAGGGCGGGTCCTGTACCGCCTGGCGTGGCAACTCTTCCTGCCTTGCAGTTACGGGGCGAGGCTGACTGAAGCTGCATTTCACCTGCGCCTTCTCACTGAGCACACTGCATGTGCGCTCCTAGAGGGAGGCTGTGTTCAGTTGAGTGAGAGAGATCAAAGCTGAAGCCATAGAAGCATATGAAATAGAGTCTGAAGGTGCCGAGAAGTGACTATTTTCGTGGAGCACCGGGATTGGGAAAAGGGAGACCTTTGCAGCCAAGAGGAGGCTGCGTTGTTGGAAGTAAGGTTTCCCACAAGCTGGCCCCAAACCTTCCCTCCGAAGAGGTGGGTACTGTGTCTGTCCGTATTTCTTAGATGAGGAAATGGGAGCTGTGTGCTTTCGATTGCACAGCTGATGCACAGAAAGAAGCGCGGAAACGTAGCCCAGGTTGTTGGAATGAGTGCCCTGATTTTTTTAAAGGCACTAACCCCGTATTGTGTCCTTTGTGACGATTTTCTGTAAAAATTTCTTCAGGCCTGCCTTTTCTTCTTAGGCTGAGTTAGTCTGTACTTTGCGTTTTCTTCTAGTACAGAATTTATTGTAATATAGCTGCGCAACTATTAATTTATGTCATTGCTCCCTAAGCACTTTCCCTGGCTGATACCACATCTTAGGTCCATCTAGGATAGAATCTGGCACTTAGTAGTAGTCAATAAAGCTTTATTGAGATAATTCCTATACAATAACATGGATGCATACATGTATTACTTCAGCAGATGCTGTAGTGTGTTTTCCACGTGCAAGGAGCAGATATGTTGTAATTGTACTACCTTTTGGTTTCCTGTGGTTTATTAGATGTTTTGAAAACTGCTACTTCTGCTTGTAATCTTGTAATCTTTTTCTCTAGCCAGACATCTACTCGTTTTCTTCCTGCTCCAAGGAGGGAAACAAAACCAGACCAACCATGGATAACAGGGTGCTGGAGCAGAGGACTTGTCTTGTTTTGATTTTTCTATACTGGGGATTGAACCCCCCAGTATGACCCGCTCAGGGCTTTCATATGGAGCTACATCCTCAGTCTGTTTCTTTTCTGAGGCACTACTTTGCCTATGCTGGCTTGAACTTTCCATTCTCCTATCTCAGGTTCCCAGAATGCCCAGATTTTGGGCTGCCATGACAGATTAGTTTAAAATCTTAATAGAAACCTATGTTTTTAAAAAGCATACTGTCTATTTACTCTGAATCTTGATTGTTTTAAATGGCCAGCCCTGTGAGTCAATAAATACAGAAAAATTTCATAATTTTTCTAGTGACATAGTGTTGCTGAATTAACTTGAAATTACACTAGGGCAGTGTTCATTTTCAGTATATTCATATCGATAGTTTTCAACAGTTTTAGCATTTCATATTTTTGCCACCATTTCATGAGCTACACAAAAAGCAAAATAGCCCACACTAAGTGTTAACTGTTTTACTCTTTTTTATCTTAGTGGTTGAAAATGACATTTGAGCGTTTAAAGACACTTCTTTGAATTCTTCATAAGTTCAACATTTTTTCAAATTAATTGAGCATTCAATTAATTTCTTTTTAATTACAATTACAATTAATTACAGTTAATTTACATTTCTTTTTTAATGCCTTGTTTGTCCATTTTAAAATTGGGTTGGCGTTCTCATGTCTTTGCAAAAATTGTGGGAGAGGGGCTGGTGATTTAGCTCAGCAGCATAAGCGCCTGCCTTACAAGTGCACAGTCGTGAGTTTGATCCCTGGTACCAATTTTAAAAAAGAGAAAAAAAATTGTGGGAGAATTTGTCATATTTTGCAAAAGTGTTTCTCATTATTGTAATTTAATCTTTTGATTTTGTTAGCGATATATTTTTGATACATAATGCTTATTAATGTCTTTTGTCTTATAGAGGTTTTTTTTGTTAACTTTCTATCAAGCTTTTCTTTTTATAAGACGTTCTTGTGGTTTTATTACTTTGCTATTATTTCAAAGTACTCTTTTCTGAATATTATAGAAAATTGCTAATAACTGTTAATGGTGAATAATATGTTAAAAAGTTACCTTTTATTTTGAATCTCAGCTAAAACACTTAGTACTATAGATTTTGTTTTTTAAACCACAGTAAGTTGATCATGATTAGAATCATTTCTTTGTTTCTGGTAGTTCACACTTTTTAGAAGGAAAACTATACTTTCTCTCAATTGGAAAGGCTTTGGTATTTTCACATATTTAATGACATAGTTTGGATTTAATGTCATTTAAAATGCAATTTGGTCTTTTACATACTCTTCACTTAACAATAGAAATACTTTACAGAATTCATGTATTTCCTGAGAAAAAGCAGTAGCACCTTTATTTAGCAATGGGCTCTCATGAATCCTAATGTTCTTTTTCAATATTCAGAATCAACTAATGGCAGACTAATGAAGGACTGAGAAAACCCTTTCTTTAACCTAATAGAGGAGAATGAATGCAAATTCTATATTGTCTTGTATTTATAGTAAATTGAAGAAGCCCAGGCGAACACAGTAGGGAAATGAGCCACAGGGCTCTCTCTCTTCCTATGGGATTGGTCTCATCCCTGCATGGTGATGGCTTAGCTGCTCTTATGATCCGTGGATTCTGCCGACCTGGTGTCCGCTTGCAGCAGTGAATCAAAGCCTGATGCACAAGACTGCGTTTCCCTTTCCCTCTGCAGCCGTTATAGGCACTGCATTGTGTGCTGATCCATAAGAGAATTCTTGCGGTTCTAGGGAGACTTAAGGATTTCGATTCCTCAAGCTTCTGTATTTTCCTTCACAGTGAGAGTGTGTGTGTGCCCTTTTTCCTGTGTGTGCTCCAGAGTAGAAAGGAATAAGAGAGTCTGGTCTAAGAAGCAGAGGGTGGGTGGGTTTAAGTCAATGTAAAAAGTTTGAGGTGACATAAGCTGAGAGGGAAGAGCTGGGTGCAGAGATCAGAGAAGAGGCAAGAAAACAGAGAATGAGAGGTTGTTTGAGAAGCATCAGTCTCTGAAAAAGCAAAAAGCAAAATATTGGCACCTGGGGGTTTTCAACACTGCCATTCATATTTGTGTTAATTTTTCATGCTGCATTTATTCTCAGGTACTTGTTTTCTTTTCACATCTACAAGCTTGGCTGTGTCTTAAAATTAACAGTGTGCCATAGTTTAGGTGATGATACAGATGGAAAAACATCGTACAATCCCAGTGCTTCAGGTCTAGTGAAATGAGATCTGTTGCCATAGAGCTGGTGGTTTCTGTATAAGTGTGTGATATAATTCTCAACTGTTAACATAAAGGAGTTCAGTTTTTCTTTCTTTGAGACAGGCTCTCACTGTATAGTTCAGGCTGGTCTTGCAGTGATTCTTCTGCCTCGGCCTTCCGAGTGCTGGGATCACAGGTGTGTGCCAACCTGTCTGGCAAGAATTCAGTGCTTATGGCTAAGTATATCTGGGTTGCTGGGTCTCTGTGACTTCCTGTTTCATGGGTTTGAGCTTCTGCAAGTGGGTGAAATACATATGACTGAAGCACCAGCCAAGTGTGGTTCAGTGTCATTGGCCCGCAGGCCAGGACTGAAAGGGCCATAATCCCTCCAGGTCACTAGTTTGCCTGCTGTTGTATTCCCCAGGCAGTTGGCGATACTGAATTTGCAACTGGGCCCTCATCCGGGCACAACTTCATGGCCTTCACTCTGTCTCTCCTGGGCCTTTTTTGTTAAAGCCTGATTTTTAATTTTTTTTTTTTTTTTTTTTTTTTTGAGACAGGGTTTTACTGTGTAGTTCAGGCTGGCCTTGAACTTGCTTATGTAACTCAGGCTGGCATCAAACACAGGAACTCACTGCGGTCCTGTCTCAGCTCCCAAGTGCTAGGATCACAGGCCCGAGCCATCACACCCAGCTGACTTTCTTTTTTGAATCAAGTTTAAGAGCTTAGATTTCTTTTGTGTGCTCTCTGGTTTTTACCAGATCTTGAATGCTTTTGGGTAGCAATCATTAATTCCAACTGAGGAGCTCTTTTTAAGGGGCATGAACTTTGGATTCTTGGTATTTAAAAAGCAAAGCAAATTATAGCATTTGCTACCTATCCCGTGTTTCCTGTTTCTTCTTTTTGTTTGTGTTTTTGAGACAGGGTTTTTGGTATGCTGTTCAGAAAGGCCTTGAACTCACTTTGAAGCCAAGGCTGGCCTTGAGCTCAGTGATCCTCCTGTCTCAGCCTCCCGAGTGCTGGAATTTCAAATGTGCACCACTACACCCAGCTCCCATGTTTCAAGCAAACCTTAGAAATTTGTTGGAATTTGTTCTTAGGATTGTTATGTTCAATCTTCTTGTAGTTCATGGTTAGTATTGTCATCTCATTTTCTGTAATGAAAAAATCGATTATAAGTTAGACTTAGTCAAACTGTAGCAAGCTCTGTTTGTAGTTTTGTTACCTACTTGCAATGAAAGGTTTTGAGTTGCTGTTCATGCAGACATTTCTGTGCATTACAACCATAAGAACTCTCTGCATTTCGAGTACTGCCCATCAAGTGTGAGTTAAGTACACTTCCTGCCAGCAGGTTTCTTTTGGCCCCGAGTGCCCTGTTCCTCTCGTACTTTCTCCTGGGGAGCCTTCCTGGGCTGTTTAGAAACTGGGCATCATCTGCTCCCTGCAGGAGGACCATGTCTCTGGACTTCGGCAGCGTGGCACTGCAGACACAGAATGATGAAGACGAGTATGACAAAGAAGACTATGAACGGGAGAAAGAGGTACGTCATTCAGAGAAAGGACCCAACTGCCCCACCTCAGCCCTGCACAGCTTTTTTATTTGCTGGTCCAGATTATGTCACCTCGGTCACTTGGAAAGAAGTTAGAATTCTTTAAAACAGAACCTGCACGGGGAGGCAACTTAGCAAGACGCTGTCACCAAATAAAAATTTTATTTTTATTTTTTCTTCTACTTTTTTGTTCTTTTTATCCTTGAAATAAAATCGATTTGGGGAAAAAAGTTTTTTAAAAATGCTAGGGATGTAGTGCAGTGCAGAGACCCTGGGTTCAGTTCCCAGTTTTGCAAAAGGAAACAGCAAAAAATAAATCAATAAAACAAAACACCCCCCCCCCTTCTAAAATTTGGTATTTGGACTTTCCAAAGACAGACAAGGGGAATGCTTGTTTTCCTGAAAAAGGAATAACACAGCTTAGCAATGCCATGAGGTTTAACATCGGTCCCATGGCACGGTTCTTTAAGAACCTGGCGTTTAGAAGGCGACAGGGGCTCTGGAAGGGAGGACAGGCCCCATGTTAGGTGCCTCCCACGTAACATGGAGTGGGCGGAGTGCTGAGAGCCAGCAGTGGTCATCTCGGTGGGGAAGCAGGTGCCGGGAGCCCCCACCCCGAGGAGGCAGAGGGCCCAGCCGTCAGGTGGGGCAGTGCTGGGTGCCTGGGACCGCAGGAGCCAGGGCAGGTGCGGGGTACGGCTGGCCCTCAATTCCTGAGCAATCTTCTGTATCACAGCCCGGCTGTGGGGAAGCCAGGGGAGGGTTGTAAGCGGGGAAGTCAAAGAGGAAAGGAGCGAGGAGCTGACAGTGTTTTCCAAGTGGGCAGCAGAAACCTTTTCCCTGGTGACCGCCCGCCCAGGAAAGGGCGGTAACCTGCGGAAATGAAAGGCACCTGAAATGAGTCTGGCTTTAGTTAGAGTCCTCGGGGCCGAGTGAGGCTCCATCTGACCTATTCCTAATACATCAGGTCCTGTTAACAGTTTGGGTGAGCTGCAAATGCTCACCAGGCGAAGGAGCAGGAGGAAAGGGCAGGAGGGCACTGCCTAAGGCTGCAGGAGGAGGAGACCCGGGTCCGAGCCTAGACACCTGCCATCTGGGGGAGACGGGCGGATTTCTCCTCCGCCCCCCAAGCCCTGGCTTGCCTGGGGACATCTGCCCCTTCCTCCTGGCAGTGTTTGGCTTGGCAGCAGGTGGGCTGGCAGGGGGCATCGGCCTCTCCTTCTCCAGCTGGCCATGGTCCCCACTGCTCTCCGGGACACCTGTGATTGCACTGCCTGCTTTGCTCTTGGGAATTCTCTGACAGGTCCCCTGAGAGCACCTGAGTGTGTGACCCCAGCAGTGACATCTGGATTTCAGCAGGCCCCTCCCTGGTGCCGAGGAGGCAAGGACGGGATGAGGGTTTCCTTATTTTGAGAACCTGCAGCAGGAGATTTTCACGGCTCTGATGGCTGATGGGGTCATAGTCCCGGGGGTTCCAGTGGGTCAGGGTGACTGCTCCCTGGGACAGAAGACTTTCCTTGGGAATGGCTTTGGGGATGAGTAGGACATTAACCCTTACCGCAAGCTTTGCTGCGTGGTGAAAATTTCAAAGGGATCTTAGTGGAGGATGCAGTTAATTCTTGGTAATACAGAAAGTGGCCTCTGGTGTCACATGCTCACAACGTCATAGTCTGGGGTACAGAATGTGGGTTCCTTGCGGGGAAGGACTCTGAAGAGTTGATGTCCCTAAGGATGAGTGTTTCCAGCCGACCAGAAGGAAAAGATAGATGCGTCATGTGACTGCCACAATGACTGTGGCTACAGCCCCAAGAAACTTCACATTAATAAGACATTCCTCCTTAAAATAATTGCTGCAAGAGGAAAAGTGAGATGAAGGGCAAGGAGCTTTTGGATCTGCAGTAACAAAAACGGAATTGTGGGGCTGGGGATTTAGCTCAGCGGCATAAGCACCTGCCTTGCAAGCAGGCAGTCGTGAGTTCGATTCCCGGTACTGATAAAAATGAAAAAGACAAAAAAAAAAAAATGCAGAAACGGAATTGTTCTTAAAAATTCAGCTGTGTGCGGCCTTTGTCACTGCAGGTTAAGCTAGTGAGGTGAGGGATCAAACCTTCAGCTTGCTCGATGGCCAGGAAGTGTGACAGCCAAAGAGTTGACAACTTTAAGATAATAAAGCACACAGCAAGCCTGACAGCACACGCCTGTGATCCCAGCACTGGGGATGGGCAGGAGGGTCACCTGGGCAAGTGACTACAGATATAGAGCCATAAATCAATGGTTGGGTACACAGCTCAGTGTAAAGTTCCTGGATTCAGTCCCCACTATGTGAGACAGACAGACAGACAGACACACACACACACACACTCACACACTCAGGCAAGCTGGTCTTTTCAGGCCTGCCCAGCTGGGAGTTCAGGACCGCAGCTGGGTTGGAACCACTAGCAGTGGAAGAAGGCATCTGGCTTTCTCTGCTCAGCGAACCACTTTGTGTACAGTGTTCTGTGGTGAGCTAAAAACCTTGCAGTCCGCCCTGCTAAATAAAGGTTTGTGGGCGCTCTTTGCAAAGGCAGGATGGTCCTGATTTCTGTACCGTGGGAGTAGCTAGCTGCTAATGTAACACAACTGGCCGAGCTGTGTTTAATTTTGTTGCTTTGATGCCGGTGGGAATTTGATCCACATTTGCCCTTTATTCATTGAGAAAGATGTTGGATTCCAACCTCCACGCTACCCTAGTTAGCAAGTACGATCTTGTTTCTGGCTATACTGTTCTATTTTGTCTGTTCTGCTTTTTGTCCCATGTTGTTTGCCTTGAAGATCAGATGGAGAAAGCACATTTAATCTTGAGAAAAGGATTCATACAGCAACACACTCTTCAGGAGGCGTTTAGGCCAGTGGACTCTCAAGCCACAGACCACCAAGAACAGGCCCATGTTTTGCAAACAACTTTAACGATTTTGCAGGAAGGCAGGCACCGTGGTCATTTCTAAGTTGCTGCAACTCTTAAAGGTACCGTGGTAAAAGTGTGGCCACCACTGACCAAGAAAGGCAAAACCCACAGCTTCACAAGCATCCGTCACTGCATCTTGCAGGCAGTCTATACACAGACCAGGGTGACGCTGCAGGAAGTGGCATTGTGTCAGGGTTCATGTCACTTAGTCTCACAGGTCACACGTGCCTCCAGCTTACTGTGATGCGTGTTCGTTTTGTGCTGAGCTGCTGGTGTTGCCCTTCTGGTTCTCAGTAGAACCCACCTGGAGAATTTAACTGAACTTTTACTTATAAAGCTGGCCCAGGAAAGAAATCAAAAGCTCCCTTATTAACCCATTCCTAGTGTCATAATGCGACTTTGCAAAGAACACTGGCACTGAGTGGCATCGTTCCTCACAGCATCATAGCTGGCTGTGACAGATGTGTCGTCCTTTTTGTGATAAGCATGGTGGTTGTTACAAGCTTCTAAGTTATGGGTAAAGCCACGGTTTAATTAAGGTTGGTTGTCACTCAGGAGTATCACAGGCATCCTGCAGTGCCTCCAGAAGTAGCTCTGTGACTGTTGCTTGGTCCTGGGCAGTAAAGTGACCTGTGCGTGTCTGCAGGCACTAGGGACTCAGGGCAGAAAAACTTGGCCACCTGTGCTGTCCAGGTGCTGCTCGCTGGCACTGATCTGCTGAGAATGCTGGTGAGCAGAAAGGCAGGTGGTTAAGGAAGCAGGTGGCAGACAAGGCTGCCCCTGGCCCTGCCGCCCTGGCCCCTCAGGGCTCTGCTGCTGCCGTTGCTCTTGCCACTCCTCCAACAGAAGGGAACTGTTCCCCTGAGCGGGCCTGTGCCCCTGAGCCAGGGCTGCCACCCTGCACTGCTCCTCCCTTCCTGCCTTGCCTGATGCCATCTTGGGGACCTTTTGTCTCTTGTCCCACTAGAGGGTGCTGTAAAGCTGTGCTCACTGACCTTCCATATTATTTGACTTATTCAGTAGAACTTTTTTTTTCTCCAAGAAAATTCAAGAAACAAATGGTTGTGTCTTAACATATTTTTTCTTACGTTTATCTGCAGCCATTTCCAATACATTATCTGGATTGTTTCTCATGAGTTTCCCCCATTCTCTACAGGTCTTTTTTCAAGGACTGTCACTTTTACTTTTCTTCCCCCCTTTTTTTTTCTTTTCTGGCATTCTGAATATAGCATAATTCATAAACTAAAGATGCAGCTGCCAGATTATTTTGGTCCTTTGACCATCCCAAATTGTGCTTTTTCAAGTAAGTTTTAAATTTGGTTCTCTTGTTAAAATAGGTTCTGCTTAGTGGGCACCCACGAGGGCATTGTTTCATAGTGTGTACTGGCAGGATCTTCTCAGGAGTGTAGCCTCTTCTACAGGAAAGTGACTGTCGGCTACCCTAGCTGCTGCTTTTCTCTGGGGAGATGTTTTGTGTGGTTTGTAATAGGAGAATACTTCTTTTCCTGCGTCTCAGAGATTACAGGCTCCCACGACAGTCTGTCTGTTAATTTAAGTTGAGAATCCTAACAAGGGGCTCACCTGTCATCTGAAAGAGTCCTTTCCAGGGACAGGGATTTATAGACTATCTCAGAAGCTTTCCCAGTGGCACATTCTCTTTTTTTCCCCTCAGGAAGGCATTTCTTAAATTATTTAATTTAGCTGGTACACACTACTGTCCCCCTGGAAAGCTTGCAGCCAAAAAATAATCTGTCGACTTTGAAACTTATGAATAGGCTTAAATCTTGTCACTTACAAGGATTATCCTTTTTTCGTCCTTGAATCTATTATATGGAAGTTGGTGTGTCTTTAATGAAGACCGTTTATAGTTTACAAGATTCTCTATTTGGCATCATGCATGCACAGCATAGCAGTTTCAGCGCAGGGCATAATAACCAAGGGCAGCTTGTCCCTGTGCGGTTTTACTGGGAGGCTTTTTGTTCCTTTAGCTTTCCTCTGTCCTGAGGTTAGAGATGTCAAGGGATAAGGAAGCCCTGCCAAAGATCTTGATGGAAATGTTTTCTGAAGGTGAACGAAATTATTTAAAAATTGTGATATAGCTGTAAAACATCTGGCTCAAATATCAGAGGGCTGGGATTTGCTAATTGTTACCTGTGGATCCAGAGCATTTTGGTAATGCATGAGCATTAATTAATTTTATGAAATTTGTGATATCACAAAGAAAGCTGCAGTGATCACTTCAGTATTACGTAGGCTTTTCTGTCTGTGTGAGGGGGGAAATGTACCGGTCAGCTGCCCGTCAAGCTTGCCCTGGATTATAGGCTGTGTACTTGAACCTCATCAAAGGTTTAAGAGAAGATTTTCTCTCTGTGTAGGAATCCTTATTCAAGTAAGTATAGAAAATTCCTTTTGTTGGTATTTTCCCTTGTATGACGTGGGTGGTGTAGTGTTTTTCCTTAAAGCAGAGATGCATAATTAGAATAGGTTGAACTATTAGAACACAGGTATTTGTTTTTTTCCTGGTGCATTTTGTGTTTGTTAAATTGTTTTGCTATTTGAAGCAAGCAGTGTACTTAGATGTTGCTGTGTTCTATTTTGTTTTAGTCGGGGGGGGGGTGTGCTTCTTATTTTTATAATTTGGATCAACTCTGATATGGTGTGATATGGCAGATTCTCAAAATTATTTTTTGATTACCTTGTATGAACAGGTAGGCAATAAATCAAGATCTTGGTTATTCATGTTAGTATCAAGCATATTTCAAGGTGGAAATCACTTTTCATTTGAAAAGCATATCTTTTGTTTCATTTTTAAAATCAGATGAACTAAGAAAATCATTTTTTTCAAATCTAGGACTATTAGAAGTATGTATAATAATGAGAAAATACCTGCTCTCCTTATGAGTCCATTCTCATTTGCAAGTCATATTATACCACAGCACAGATAACAACTTGGGACATTCTTTTCAGGACTTTCTTAGACCATATTTATCTTTTACCATATGTATTATTTAAGAAAATTTTTTAAAAATTCTAAACACAGAACTCAGATGTGTACATATTGCTAGCCCAATTTATTGATTCTAGTGACAGAAAAGGTAGAAAATAAGAACAAATAACTTGCCACTGAATAGGGCACCCCATTTTCCCTCGGTGGGTTCACAGTGTATTTGGTGTCTTTAAATTTCACTCATATAATTTTATGGGACCAATTTGTAAGCTCTGGAGGGACTTAGTCAATGTGGTAATTAAACTGGTGCTTAGTTTCTTTTCTCTTTTGTTTCAGTACTGGGGTGGAGCCAGGGCCTTGCACTTGCTAAGTGCGTGCTGTTCCACTGAGCTAGACCCCAGCCCCAGGCTTAGTACAAGAGGAATCATAAGCAGCCCCTTAGGAAATGTCCATAGAATAGTATTTGAATCTGCTTGATGTTTTAAGACCTGAAGAAAGATTGATTGCTGATACTGAAATTCAGCTTTATCTTTTATCCCATTTATCTTGAAATTTGAATTTATTTTGTCTGCTTAGTGTACATAGGCAGGATGCTAAAAAGGTGATTTTTGTAGAACAAAGTTGGCGAGCACAACAGAGCTGTTTTCTGTGGGTTTGAGAGTGCTCTCTGTAGCAAACCAGAGCCCTCACTCTAACGTTTTTTTAGGGCAGAGTATTGGATATCTTCTCATCTTTACAATTAGAGGGCTGTTTACTAATTAGTCATTCCCTTGGGGGTTACTGTGGCACTGTGGGTGCTTAAGGACTTCCAGGCCACCTGCTGCGCTGTTCTTTACACTTGGCAGAGTGCATCTGGCCACCCAGGTCCCCAAGGTTGGATGACTGCTTAAACAGGGCCCCCAGACTCAAGTCTGCCTCGTAACAGTAGAACGCAGTGACTGCACCACTGGTGACTTGCTACATTTCCATAAAGTTCCCTTGTAATGTATGCGTATTTAAATCTGAGCCCTTGGTAGGAAAAGATGAGGCCTTTAACATAAATCCGGGTACTCCTTGAGCGAAAGGGTGAGCACACTTCCTGCGGAATATAAGAGCCTGGTGAAGGGGAAGAGGGTGCAGAAGTGGCTTTGGTTCCCGAAGCAGCACAGGCGGGTTATCTCAGCTGTGTGGTGCTGACACGTCCCTTGCCTCAGTTGCAGCAGCTGCTCACTGACCTTCCTCATGACATGCTGGACGACGAGCCCTCCTCTCCTGAGCTCCAGGACTCGGACTGCAGCGAGCACGGCCTGGAGGGACAGTAAGCACCAGGGTCACTTGTCCTTGGGCTTTGCATTCTCTAAGGCTCTTTCTTTTAATCCTCTGCAGGTCATAGTCATGTGCATGATTGTAAAATTGCAGACTGGTTCTTAGGGTGAAGGTTGCAGGGAAAAACATGGGAGATCACAAACCTTAGGCTCTTGGGGTTCTTCCAAATCTCTGTCCAAATAAATGGTGAGCTTCATATCTAAAGTACTGATTTTTCCTCCCTTTCAAGTCTCCATTCTTCTGAGCAGCTGGAGATGAACTGGAATAAGCCCCAGGTGCTGGCCAGGTCTTGCAGTGCAAATGTAAGTGAGTGTCTATCTGTGTGGCCATGGCCCTGCTGCCTTCAGGAAGCTGGCTTGTGTTTCACCCTCGTTCTCTAATAGGGCTGTCATGAAATTCAGGCTTGTGTTGGAAAGACATGCGGCAATGGCTGGGGAGAAAATCACAGTGAAGCTGAGGATGGACATCCTGGGTCCCCTCTGGGAGAAGGTGGAGATGAAGGCGGAAGTGGTTACAGCCCTCCAGACAGATGTCAACAGACCAACGTGTATCACCTGCCCGAGCACATGAGGCCATGCATCAGTAGTCAGACACCGGAGTTCAGTAACCAGCCGACCAACGTCATTAAATTCTCAGCTCCTCCAAGGAACCATTTTCAGGTATTGTTAAGAATGACTTTGAAAAGAACGCGTGTGTGTGTGAGAGCGTGTGTACACCCTTTTGCATGCCATATATAAATGCTTAAAAAAGGTATGAAAGTGCAGTGGTAAGATGATTTATATTTACTACAAACATTTTTAAAAGTGCATTTATTTAGGTTCATGCTGAATTAGTCACGCTGTTTTCTGTTTATGATTGAATGCAATTTTGACCAAAAGTCAGAAGTTAAAACAGAAGTTTTGGAAACATTGATGCATTAGAATTTAATTCTGCCAGAGAATAACTCCTCATTTTCTGCTGCTTTGGCTTCCCTGTGCTTCAGTTAGAAACTGTGCAGGCATCTTGATATAGTTTTTATTTATTTTTTTAATTTTTAAATTTAAAAGGTTTTTTTTGGTACTGGGTATCGAACGCACAACTTCGAGTTTGCCAAGCAGGCACTTATGCTGTTGAACTAAACTCCCGGCCCCCTTGATAGAGTTTTTAAAACAGCAATTTTATATAGACTACAGCCTCCTCAATTTTCTTACCATTCATAACATTTAGGCCAGAGCTGATATCTGTTTGGTACAGCGTGATAGCAGACAGGAGGAATGTTAAAAAAAAAAAAAAAAACCCTTGTTTTTATTGTGGGAGTTTACAAAGCAACACCTCAGGATGTGGGTAGCTGCTTCTTAGAATTGTCTGATGACCAGGTGCCTCATTTTGCTCATTGCTCTTCTGGGTCATTTGGTGACAGGGTGATTTTGGGGGTCAAAGGTGGCTGTTTTCTCTTAATTCTATCTCTGGGGAATAGTATTCATTCCACAAATTATTAATATTTATTATATCTGAGGCATTGCATCAAGTGTTATTACTGAGCACCTACACCTTTATGTTCCCAAGATGTGGGCATCCTCTACATCCCTGCAATAAAGTACTGACATCCAATCTTATTGGAATTCTTTTTCCTCCATTGGACTTCTTGAGGTTCATTTGCAAGATTGGCTCCATTATGTGTGCAAAACTATAATGAAGGAATTAAGTGTTAAGTAACAATAGATAATATTTTGAGTAATGGTATGTATTAAAAAAATTGTACCCACAATTAGCTTCTTTCGCATCAAATCAAGGTTCTTATCTGTAATTTTGTGATTTTCATGTGTTGTATTTCAATAGCAATTTGGTTCAACACAAGGTCCCAGTAGTCAAGCATTGGAGCCATATAAAGTGATATATAAACCATATCAACCTTCTGTCCAGAATAGCCCGCCAGCCCAGGAGATAGCAGAAAGTGACACATTTGAAGACCTGCAACAACAATTTTTAGGAGCTAATGACAGTGGGTATCATATTTCTATTTTTATGGTGTAATGGAGAAATTTTGAACCCTGGGTAGATATTTGTATGTGTGTTCAAGAATTATTATTTTTTATATAGGACAATAGGATCGTAATTGATATTTCAATGAGCCCTTGTTTTTAGAAATATATATATATATATATATAGTGATGTTTTTATGAATAAACTGAGAAGAGGCCTATGGTTTCCTTAACGTTGTTGAAAGTAATAAGTGTTGGGTGGGAGCATTGAAGCTGAATTTACAGGTATTCTATGTGTGATTCTCATATATTTGACATTTTCCATCATAATGTTCAGAAGAAATTTTTGTAACTATTGTGTGTGTCTTAGTCATTCTAGTTTGTAAAGACTTTTCAAGATTTTCACATTTTTCTTACTGAGGTCCACTGTGCAAACAAATATAGTTTTCTCATCAATCTCAAATTTTCCTTTTTTTTTTAGAACTAAAACATAATAGATCAGCCAATCTTGTCTTCACTTTTCTTTTGACTTTTACAATTTAGTCTAATTAAGCAACTGTGACATAAATTACTTTACACTCAGAATTTGACCTGGATCTGTCTCCTGGTGTTTTTTAGTTTAATTTTTGGTAGAGTGTGTGTATAAATGACAGTAAGAGAGTACTTTTTACTACAGAATTTTATGTGAAATGCTTTGGTATCAACAAAAGGTCAAAACTTGCATAGTGATTATCCAGAATTAGTGTTTTTGTGCATCTAACTTTTATTGTCATGCTCTCTGACGTATTAAATAACTCCTGATCATTGTACATGCTGAAGGGCCAGTGTGATTTTTTTTTTTTAAGTTGGTTATACAGTTGCCTAAATTGGACATTTTGGAGTTCATGAGATAATTTAGTGGTAGCATCAAATCTGGTGATTATAGCTACTTAGCAAGAGTTTTTTTAAAAATGAGTTTGAAGAGAGATGGAGCTTGGAGACTGTGTCTTTGGGTTAGTCCTGCTGAAGGCCTAAGAGGCTGACTGTGACAGTTTTCGGTCTTCAAGTTTTTTAACCTTGTGTCTGTTCAAAAGAGGACTGTATTGTTTTGTTAGCAAGAAGCTAAAACGTCTAAGTACATCTATCTGTAAGCTTACAGGGCTACTGGCCTAGTAACAGATGAAGAATATTTATCATTATCTAGTGGAACTGCCAGTCATTATGACTTTGTTTCTGAAAGATGATTTCAAAGTGCTTTATTACTGTATTCATTAGTTAGTACAGCATGTACTTGCCAACCTACGTGTAAGTAGGTTGTATCTCCCACTCTGGATAAAGATAAAATATTTGGAGAAGGTTGCCTAGAGGTTTTCTTCAAAATGATACCATAGATGCTGACGTGGCTTTCTTGTTCTTAATTTTATGAGAGCATATTTCTCTCTTCTGTTACAGCTATATACTGACTTTTAACTGACTACACTGGTAATGTTTCAGGCTTACACTAGAACTTTCAGTCCTATATGGGTCACAGTGACCCATATAGGAAGTTCGCTGTTGGCCTTGTGTTATAGTCTGCACTATAAATCAATATAAGCAAATGTATGTAAATATATCAGTCATGGTGCCTAGTGCTGGAACCAAACACCTGGCAGCTGCACTTGAAAGAAGAGAGGCTCAATGTGGCGCACAGTTACAGGGGACTCAGTGCATGGCGGGCTGCTCCAGAGCAGGACCGTCTCATGGCAGAAGGGTGTGGGGGCGGGGCAGAGCTGCTCAGCTCATGGCAGCCAGGAAGCAGAGCAGGAGGGGGTAGCACCCGAGAGGAAGGGGCTGGGACCACACAAAGGACCCAAAATCCCATCTCACAATCTACCCAGAAACACCCAGAGTAAGCTTATTAATTCCTCAAGGGCTCTCAAGACAGTCAAGTTGACAGCCTAGCTGTCACAATAAATGCAACCAATCTTTTGCAAAATACTTTTTCTTAACTACATGATGTATTCTGAAATGTTCTTATTCTGTCTTCATTTTTAAAAAACTGCTAATTATGATCCATGGAATTGATTTTATGGCCATCTAAGAAGTTATACCTACCGTTTGAAAAATGGTCCTAAATGACCATACGTTTATATTTTGATGTTTTTTATCTAATAAGTTCTCTCTAAAGCAGATTGTGCAGAGAATGTGCAGATTGTTCAACTTCGTGTTCTCAACAAAGCAAAAGAGAGACAACTGGACAATCTGACTGAAAAGTTAAATGAAAGTGAACGTCAAATTCGATATCTGAACCACCAACTTCTGATAATCAAAGGTAAGATGATAAGAGTGTAAGACTGTAAGTGTGATTTATGAACCACAGCAGAGCTAGTTTCTAGTAACCTTTTTGCTTTTTTATGTTTTGTCTTTCTGTGTTTTTCATTTCTGATGACCTCACTTTCCTTAGTCAGAGGCTCATAGTGAATCAGACAGAGGAAAACAAACCCAGGACTTCTTTTTCTTTTTGTCTTTTTCCTTTTTATCGGTACCGGGGATCGAACTCACAACTGCTTGCTTGCAAGACAGGCACTTATGCCGCTGAGCTAAATCCCTAGCCCTAAACCCAGGACTTCTGAGTTCTTGCTTGGATCACTTCCCTCCAGAAAGACTACTTTGCAGTCCCAGTGTTACTTCTTTTTCTTCTTTCCTTTTGTTCTGCCCCCTCCTGTTTTCTCTTAGGTTGGTAGATTCATGACCATTGTTTATCTATGCAGAGAGCAAGCCGCCCTACCAAGCTGCTGACCCCCTCATGGTTACCTTGGGTGAAGTTTCTCCTTCCCAGCATGCTTTGTTTGGTCTGTAATGCAGGACTGTTAGCCTGCAGAATAGCTGGAGCCCAGCAGGAGGCTGGGACCCAGAACCGCTGTCGTAGCTGTGTGACCTTGGCGTGATGAGGCAGAGCAGCTATGTGTGTGCATGACAGTTGTTTTCTCTTCCTGCTCTAGTTTTGGTCAATGTCTGACTTTGATTTGTAGAACAGTTTTGTGACCGAACTCCAGCTCATTTCAAATTAAACTGATAGTGAAAAGCTCTTTTTTCTGCAATGCCCATAACATTGAATTTGAGAGCGCTTGTAAGCTGTTATAGGAAAGTTTGTGGGAAGAATTTAAGATTGAGTGAATTGAAGAGTTCATTGCAAGTCCTCAGATAACATTTTAAAAAAAATTTTATTAATTTGAAGGTAGTAAAATTCAACAGAAGACAGAACAAAGCCAATTTAGACAGTGTAGTGAAATTGGTACAGAACTTCACAGTACTGTAGTATATCTCGTTATCTTCACAATAGTTGTTCTTTCAATCAGGTATAGCAAAATAAAACAAAATACAGAACATTATAGAACTTATCAAAACAGAATATTGAAAAGAGCAATACCAGTAATTAGAATAAAGCAAAACAGTGGTAAAAATATTTGCCTTCAAAGAGATGGTAGAAGGGAATCCCCCTTATTTGCTATATTGCATATGGTCAACCTCCCAAAAGATGCTCAGATATCTGGTCCCCATTTGCTAACGGGGTATGGGGGGAAGTGGGATGTTTGATTCTCAGCCCATGTGCCGGTAGGCTCACTACCACTTACCAGGGAGGCAGGCTGGTTGCTTGGTTTCCCAGCCCTAAGTTCCAACATGCCGTGCATCTCAGGAGACGCTGGTGGTTCTCGCCCTGGGGTGGCTGCAGCTTGCTGAGCCACAGCTGCTTACCAGGGGACTCAGATACATTTTTTGATTAGCAAGGATTTCTTCCATCTATATAGCTTCTCAAACAAATGCTGAAATCATGAGGAAATCTTTTATCCCCAAAGGAGACACAGAGAACGTTTTAAAGGCAGTGGTGCTGGTTCTCTAAAATACTTTTTTGTCATTCAAGTATTTTTTTAATCATTTTTTTTCTGATTTTTCTCTCATCAATTAAAGTTTAGTTGTGTGAAAGGAATTTAGTTCAGTAACACTTACATATCTGATAGAGATTGTGGCCAAGTACAGTCCCTGCATAGCAACATATTATTCATAAAAACGTTTTTAATGCCCTAGATGAGAAAGATGGTGTGACCCTTAGCCTTCGAGAATCCCAGAAGCTTTTACAGAATGGGAAAGAAAGGGAGATACAGCTTGAAGCACAAATAAAAGCACTGGAGACCCAAATACAGGCTTTAAAAGTCAATGAAGAAAAGGTAACTATTTTAAGGTTCTATATGGTGAAAATTTTATTTGCTTAATGAAACTCTTCCAAGACTAGGCCTGTATAGATCCGGGTGATCTTTCTAGAACCGCTTTTGTTGTTCCCTTGCTTAATGCCTTCCCACGACCCCCCACTTCACCTGTAGGGCAGTGGTAGCACCAAGAGGCCACGGAGCCTCGGTTTCCCCTTTCTCCCCTCGAACTCTGCAGGCCGCAGTCTCATCCCTTGTGAAGCTCAGCTCCTCCCTGGAATGCCCTTTCCACAGCTCACCGCCATCTCGATAGTCGGCCTCTGCCCACAGCTTTTCTTTTCCTAAGTCTGCGTTGTTCCTCAAGCCAGGTGCTCACCGCTGTTCTGATGGACCCCGGGCACTGTAGAGGTGTCACTGGGCTCCCCTCACCTTGGTACCCAACACCAAGCATGTGCCAGGCAGTGTGTGCTGAGTGTTGATTCCAAATGACCTGCCTTGTATGTATGTGTGTGTGTGTGTGTGTATTTTTTTTATTGTATTTTTTCTGTTCCTCCTCTGATAGTATCAGTCATGTTTAGCTTTATGGTGTGTATCGAAATTGGCACACAAGGACTACCCTTAACATTCTTCAAATATTTGCAACATTTTCCATTTTCTTGTCTTGATCTTGCAAGTCAGCTTCTCATGTTTTATTAGAATCTTGAGATTTTGATTACCAGGGCATTGTTTTATCATTTCATAAGTGAGTTAGAGAAAATACCTTACCCATGGGCGCAAAGCCAGTTTAAGGAAGGATCAGAATCCAAATTTCCTGACCCCAATACTCCTTTCAGGGTCCTTAATCAGGGAAACTATTGGAGGAGCTTAACTGTGTGGAGCACTATTCTTTAGACTTCGCTTTTTGAAGTGGTGCACACACTTTAATTGGATGGGCTAGAGAGCTGTTGAATTTGGGGAGGAGTTCCATTTTTGGCCCTACCCTGTGGTGAGCCATCAATTTTCACCATGATCCCATCACAAACCCAACAGGACAAGGATGGAGTCAGATTTCCCCATAAGGTCAACACTGAACTTAACTGCTGAGTTCAGTTCAGTTCTTGTCCAACCTGGTTTGTGACCAGAATCATGGCAAGAATCAAGTTTGTGAACAGAGGGGCCACTGTACTCAGAACGCTGTGCCTGGGGCAAAATGTCCTTTACCATTTACTGAGCAGTCGTGGGAGGCTGTCTGGAGTACCATGAAGGATAGCCCTCATTTGAAATTTAAATTTCTTTGTCAGTCTGTCTGTCTGTCTCTCTCTCCCTGTCTCATACTGGGGATTTAACCAAAGGCTTTTGCACTGAGCTATATCCCAAAGCCTTTATAAAAAATTTTTGTTTTGTGACGGTCTCGCTAAGTTACTGTGTTACCTCAATTAGCCTTAAAATTGTGATCTTGCCTCAGTCTCCTAAAGCACTGGAATTATAGACATGTGCCACCAAGCCTGGATAATGGTGTTCTAACATCATGTGATTAGTAACTTTAATTCCATCTGCAGCTTTAACCTTCATTAGTCTTGTGGTATAATACATTCACAGATTTGGGGGTTTAGGAAACTCCTTAGGGGCCATGATGTCACCTGTACTACCAACTGTGCTTTCAGGCCTTTATCTTTAGTGGGTCATGGTGGTACATACCTGTGGTCCTGGCTGCCTGAGAGTGGAGGCTAAGGCGGGAACTTTGCTTGAGCCCAGGAGTTCAAAGCAACCTCACAAAATCCTGTCTCAAATAAAACTCCCGAAAATGTTTGTTTTTAGCAAATGACCTTTGGCAGTTTCACGAGTCGAAGTTTCAAGGAAGGGGGCAAGGACCCCTTCTTTCTTCTTAGTAGAGGATGGTTGTGTTTAAAGTCCATGTCAAGCACAGTTAAGGTACCATCAGTGCAGGTGCCTGTGTGTTCTCCAGATGGTCAAGAAGTCCCGGACGACCGAGATGGCTCTGGGGAGCTTGAAGCAGCAACTGTTGGACCTCCGTCACTCCGAGTCGCTGCAGCGAGCCAGGGAGCAGCATGAGAGCATCGTTGCAGGCCTCAAGGAGAAGTATGAAGAGCAGGTGTCGTCCTTACAGGAGACTTTGGACGCTACAGTCGCCACCCTTAAGGAACAGGTTAGGATGAGCTCAAACGAGCAGCTGTTCCCAGCAGGAAAGGCTGGTGATGTTTGGTAGCTGATGTTTGCAGTTACTCACACAGAAGTCTCGGAGGTTTTTAGCAGATATTCATTTGTAAGTGAAACCTCAAAGCCAGTGGTTTTTGAATCTGTAACCGTGTCCTGCAGGTGTAACTCGGGGCTGGTTAGTGGTCCCTTCAGGCTCCCATTACTGGCCTGTTATTCATAGGTATTTGTGCATATTGTTCATGTTGTCCTAGAATAGGTCCCGTATATAAGGGATGTGTGTGCTGGCGGCCAGTGGCCCCAGATCAGAACCCCCAGAAAGCCTTTCACAGACCTCCCAGCATCTGGGAATTCACCCGTCAATCATGACTGCTAGGGAATGGCTTTCAGGGGAACAGTTAATTTTGTGGCAGTGGACCAGGAATTGAACACAGGACCTTGTGCTTACCAGCCAAGCACTGTGCGCTGAGCTATATCCCTGGCTTCAGGAGAGTTAATTTTGAGAACACAGGCTGAGAATTCCCAACCTGAAACTGAAGTCCAAAACACCCCATGTAGTTGACATGGTGGCTCAGTGGAGAATTGTACCCCTGACCTTGTGTGACACGTTGCAGTTAAAACACGTGTGCACTAATGCATTGTGTAAAACAGCTGTTGGGCCAGCATCTGTGTAAGGCGGATGTGCACGTAAGTGAATTTCATATTTAGGCTTGGGTCACCTGCTTGGGATACCGCATTATGTTTATGCAGATACTCTAAAATTGGAACATTTTGGGTGAAGGGTACTCAACCAGCGGTGTACTGTGTAAAATAGAAAAGGAAATCTGATCTAAACTCAATAGAGATTTGAAACGTGGGCATATTTTCATCACTTATTTTTGCCCAGAGGGAATAAAATAACTGAAGTTGCATGAGGTGGTGGGTTTACATGTGCTCTAAAACCGTAGATAGTCATTTAAATGAATAAATGTTCAAAATTCACCCTAATGTCATTTCAGAATTAATATAGTCCAAGGGTAAGGGGGAAAATAAGACGTGAAACCCTACCACCATAGCATTCATCCTGATTTGTTATTTTTGACTCACGTAGCTGACTCTTAATTTTTCATGCTGTTAGGTAGAGCCATAGAAGGTTACATTACTGACAATAATTATGCCTCTACCATTTTGTTTTCATATGTGTCTTTATAGTTTTTCTTTTTTACCAATTATGTTTTTCTCCCTTTTATATAGAAAAATAGTATGCATTTGATTTTTGTGGGACATATGCAGGGGTGGGAAAAGATGAACACTATGCCAAGTTACAGAAAAGTCCACAGGATATGTAAACAGATTTTGAGATATGCTTTAATTTCAATTTTATGTTTTTAAATGTATTTAGGTACAGGCTTGTTTATATTTTGGGCAAATGCAGGGTGGCACTGTCATGTTAAAGTAGACGGGTGGCCTTTCTTGGACAGCCAGGAGGACGAGCTTTGTAGGTTAACTGAAGAGCTGCCTGCCCTCTGCTGCCTGAGACGCGGTTACCTGGGGCCAGGCTGAAGGCATCTCTAGTGTCTCAGCTGCACCCTGCACCCTGCACCCTCACTCTGTAGTTCAGCTTATCTGTATCCACAGATACCCCGCTGGGCTTTTGATTGGGATGTGTTGACTTCATACTGTTAGACAGAAGTGACATTTTGATAGATTAAGTATTCCTGTCATGAACTTGGAATCACTGTCCATTTATAAATTCTTTACCGATTTCATCAGTTTTGCAGATTTACACCTAAGCGGTCCATTTTGGAGCTGTCAGTGTAAATGATATTATGTTTTCGTATGAAATTCTACCTGCTTTGGTTGGTACTCAGGAAAATGTTTGGTTATTTTTTAACCTTGGATCCCATCACTGCTATAATCACACATTAGTTTCCTTGCAAATCTGTGTGCCTTGTGTTATATCTCTTGCCTCGCAGCATTGGTTTGAAATTCCAGCATGATGTTGCAAAGCACTGGGGAGAAGGAACATCCTTGCCTGATTCCTGGTTTTGTGAAAGGTTTCCAGTTTTCATAATTAAATGTGTGTTAGATTTCAGTTGATTTCTCTCCCTCTCTTTCTTCCTCTCCTTTTCCCTCTGGTCAAGTTGGGGAGTTGCTCTCAAGACCTAGTGTTGATCAAGAATGGGTAATTACGATTGAAAGACAAAATTCATCAAGAGAGTACTGCCATGGAATAGGAGCAGTAACCCATGATACGGTTTTAAAAATACCTGTGTAATGAGTATACTTTGAAGAATATATGACATATCAGTGTGATGTTTTCCTTAAGACATCTTTTCTGCACAACATACTGTATATATGGATTATGTGATGGCTGACTTGGTCCACTGAGGATCCTTTTTACTGGTTCAGCTCCTGAGTTGGATTCGGACTGTGTGGATTTTCTCCAAGGTATAACAAGGGTATAACTCTCAAATAGAAACTGTCCTCAGACTGTTTCCAGAGAAGTGTCCTGGTCTCAGTAAGAGCTCTGTCTTAGTTACTTCTCTTATTGTTGGGACACTATACCAAACACCCACATGTTAAAGGAAGAGGAGTTTCTTTTAGCTCACAGTTTGTGGAGATGTCAATCCTTTGTCAGCTGGATGTCAGGCAGAGGCCGTGACAGAGGAAAAACAGTCCATGGCAGGGCAAGGAGGAAGCAACAAGCAGTCAGCCTTTCCCACTTTTATCTCCATCCGGGCTCCCAGGGATGGGATAAAGGATTACAGGGTTGTCCACACCCAGCATGGCCTCTCCATCATCCAGAGCTATGATAAGCCAATTAGTGGGCCAATTTAGTTCACACACTCTTAATCCATATATACCCAGCCTAGATCAGCAATGTCTGCAAAGCCTGGCCTGTGAGCACTTGAGACTTTGAGGGAACGAAGAGATACAAGCTGTAACAATCTAGGATCACCTCCTTGGTGGTATAGTACCGTCCTCTGTTCTGGACACCACAAAACCTTCATGGGCTTTGGTTTCTCCATCATGACCTTTATCTGGTCTCTTTTCTGTCTTTGCTTTCATGTTGTATTTAAGGACTTTGCTTTGAAAACTTTGTTGTTGGTGAAGAGACTTCTCTGTGTGTTGTTTAATCTTCATTTTTCCTACACTCCAGCTATCATCCCTTATCATCACACTCAGCGTGTTCAGTTTTAAAAGACGTCTGCCCCTCTCATTGTTGAGCTACGTTTCTCACTCAGCTAATCATGGAAAGATGGAGCTACTCACCTTTATTTTTGTGTTTCAAAGTGTAATTTAGGATAATCTGTCTCCCTGTGCTGGCAACAGGACAGCCGCAGTTTAATGGCATGGAGTCAAGATACTGTCAAGGTCTGCCTTTCCTTCACAATGTTTTTCGTCCGCCTGTCTTTATCTTTCCTTCCTCCTGCTTCCCAGTCTCGTGACGTCTGCTGTCTTGCATCTCTCCTTGCACGCACATTCACATGGTCACGAGACAAGCTGCCATGAGGGTTGCACTCAAGGGCCAGTGTCTGAAGCTGGCCCTGAGTCCCCTGCGCTGTGCCAGGAGGTTTGCAGTGCAGAGCAAACACGGCCTGCTTTCCAGAAGCTCATTCTGCTTGAACATTTGGCAGAAAAAATTTAAAGTAAACACAGGCTACCTTATGAAACAGAAAACAAAATTCACATGGATTCTGAAGTTAAGACGAAGCCCTTTCCTCTGCTTGGGCTGTGTGTCAGTCTCTCTTGGGGAGGGGCCTGTGTTCGCATCCTGCAGATATTGTCGGCTGCCGCTTATCCTGTGGCCGGGTGCCGCAGCCTCCGGCATTGTCTGCTTCAGAGCGCTTTCTTTTGATAGTCCTCTTATGATTTTGTTTGCTTTCTTGAAGTTTTTTTTTTTCCAGGAAATTTCAGCCAATGACCTTATTCACTCTTTCCCTCTCCCTTGCTTTCTCACTTGCCTGGAGTTCAGCCTGTGTAACCTTTTTGGATGACAGGTGATGCTTTCTTCTCCTTGGGGTGTGGAATATCCACAGCTCATTATTTGAAAATGCATTTTCTTCTTTGGAGAAACTTGAATAGACTATATACACATCCCATCCCGTCCCATCCTTCCATCCATCCTTCTGTGTTTCTATAGTGCTAGGGATCAAATCCAGGGCCTATCTTGGGCCTTCTAGGCAAACAGCACCACTGAACTACACCTGAACTCCTACACTTGTGCTTATATCCATCGCGGTTCAGTCACACATGTGTGCATGCGTGTGCGGGCATACACACACACACCCTCATTCTCCCTTTTTCCTTGTCATTTATTTTTCATGCGTTCATTATAGACCTGCTATGTGCAAGGCAAGGCAGAGGTGTCCTCCAGGAGAGTTAAAGAGAAATAAGTGTGAAAGGTAGAAAGAAAGATGAGAAACAGATCAGTTTAAGCAGAAACAGTTTAAAAGCATTTCAGAGGAGGCAGATTAGTTTTGGCCACTCCGAACAGAGTAAGCTGCTGGAGGCTCAGAACAGAATGAGTTTCCATCTGTTTATCTGCGTCCTTGCTGCCTTGGGTCACAAGACACACACATGTGTGTGACTCCGGGTGGCCTGCCTAGGTGTGTCTGCCCACACTTACATGACAGAGTAAAGGGCAAATAGGAGTATGATACATGTCTTTTGGCATCAGTAAAAACTTTAGAACAGTGTCTAGTGGACGCAGAGCAGAGGAAGCTTTACACATTGTCTAATTTGCATGTTATTACACATTGTCTAATTTGCATAATTACAAAGGAGGAAGCACTTGAGCTGTTTGCCCCTGACGCCCAGCCGGACACTGTGGCCTGCGATGGTTCTGTGTGTGCCTGCGAATCCGATCATGTATCAGCGTGCCCTTTCGCATTTCTGGGGGCTCATCATGACAATGACGTCCCGAACTCTCTTTTCTATATAGGAAGATTTTTGCTCTCGTTTAAAAGATCACGTGAAGCAGCTGGAAAGGACCCTAGAAGCCACCAGGGTGGAGAAGACCGAGGTCATCAGCAGGCTGTCGCGGAGCCTAGAGGAGACGCAGCAGCAGCTCGTCCACCTGCTGCAGTCAGGTACCTGCGTCGTGGGGCCCAGCGCGCCTGCGCCTCGGGGACCCTGGGGGGCAGCGGCTCAGGCGGCGCCATGCGCGTGCATGCACGGTTCCTTTCTTTAGAAACGTATCCCTGGGCTGGATGTAGTTCAGCGGCATAGGCGCTGCCTAGTAAGTGCAAGGTCATAAGTTCGATCCCTGGTACAAAAAAAAAAAAAGTTACATATGTAATTCATGCTTTATTAAGTAACTTTAGAAATGCAGACAAGTGGAGAGTATCAAATAAAAGTAACCCACAAGCCTTCTACTCGTAGGAAAGTATTATTAAAGCTTGGGCATGTTTCTTCAAATGAAATGCGTATGCATAGACAATGCCCTGCTTCCATGTGTCATACATTTCTGAAAATATACTAAAGCCAAATGTGAACAACTCTACAATATATGCTAAAATGTAAGTTCTATCCCTGAAAGCTGAAAATGATTCCAAAACGCAAGTGTTTTTAGACCCAATATTTAATCATATGCCATATGTTTATATGGCATATGTTCTTTTTAGAACTTCTTCAATATGTGTCCCTCCCACCCCCCACAGTGGAAAAGCTGCTTACCTAGTCATTCAGGGAAGAATTACATTGTCATGTCATGTGTAAGATTTCTGATTTGCTGGGTGTGGTACGCACCTGTAATCCCAGCTGTTGGGAGGCTGAGGCAGGAGGATTGCTGTGAGTTTAGGGCCAATATGAACTACATAGCAAGACCCTATCTCAAGGAAAGGAAAAGATTTCTAGTATGGTCCCCATGGTATTAAGTAATACATAACATATTCCTTTCTGTGCCAACATGTATTTTATTTATTTATTTAGTGCTACTAGGGATTGAACTCCAGGCCTTTGCACATTCCTTAGCCCTTTAAAAATTTTTTATATTTTGAGACAAGGTTTTGCTGGGTTGCCCAGGATGGGCTCAAACTTGAGATCCTCCTGCCTCAGCTTCTCAGGGTTCAGAGATTATAGGCATGCAATGCCATCTCATCATATTTCTTATTTTTAATAAAATGATGTTACAATAAATGGCAATAAAATAATCAAATGTTTGTGCAAACACTGCTTATCTTTTGGTGAGGCGCTCACACTGTAAAGATTAGTCAATAGTTGTTCATTAAGTGTGTATGAAAGCCACGTTCGGGGATATGAAAAACACTTCAGACCATTGGGGCCTTATGTGGAAGAGTGGTGACCCTGAGTTGGGAATACTAATGTCAAGTCACACACCTGGGTGATTGACAAACACGGTAAACGTTTAAATTAAATATTGCCACAAATCACTCTCAGAATACTTCCCTCCCTCCGAAAACACCAATCCCATGGTGGTTACCACCCTCCAAAGGAGTTCTGGACGTTCTCTTTCATGAATGTCTTTAAAGTCTTGATCAAAAATACAGTGAACAGTGTTCCTTATGATGGAAAGGCAGCTCGTGAAAACATGGGGTGTCCTCCTCCACCTTATCCACCAGATCTGACATCCTAACTCCTGGCTCCTCCTCACTGTCAGGGTCACGGTAAGTCACTTCAGGACATCAAGGGAGCCAGGACAGCACAGCTGGAGACACTGAGGACAGAGGACTTCCAGAACCGCCTTAGAAGGTGGCGAGAACCATGGCACACACACGTTCAGAGCAAGGGGTCAGTGTGTCTTTTACTATAATACATTTTTAAAAATTTTAGTAGTCACCGCAGCTTTCAGTTACACTTGTGTATGCTTTAGTGGGGGTGCAGTTTGGACCATTCCCTATCTGGCACTGCACCCTGATTAGTTACGTGTTTTTTTCACTATTTATTTATTTATTTATTTTTGTACCTGGGATCGAACTCATGACCCCACGCTTGTCAGGTTGGCACTTGTGCTGCTGAGCTAAACCCCTGGTCCTTTTCAACATTTCTTGGTGAGCTTCTTTCATGGCCATCAAAGGCCTTGAAAATAAGATTACTTTCAGCTGCATGGCATGTCACGCGCTCCTCACTCACCTGTTGGAGATGGTCATTTTCTTTGGCGGAAGCTCAGTGAGTCCCTTTTAAATGGGAGCATGCCCAGTACACCGGTTTGCTGGTGGCTAACCTTCCCCACGTGCAGCCTGGAGTGGTGGCGACAAATGCATTTAGAGAGACACGAAAGCCACAAGCTGTAGTTTTCCTCCCGGGAGGACAGAGACGCAGTGCAAAGAGTGTTTCCTTCGGCTCGCCATGGATCCGGCTGTTGGAGCCTGCTCCCGGCCCTGGGGAGTGCTGGGGTCAGAGTTGTGGCTCCTGCGAGCCCAAGCTAGGTCCCCCGTGGCCCATGCTCCACACTCCAGAGACCTGCGGTATCAGGCTCCAGCCTTCGGGGCCCTGATACCTTCGCCGCCCCGAAGAGCTCGTGGTGCTAAGGCTGAAGCAGTCCGACCTGCATCTCACACGGCGCGGGCGCTGCTCCCCGACTTCAACAGGTCCCCTTCCCTCTCCGCAGGCTCTGTCCAGGAGGCGGCGCAGCTGCAGCTCCAGCTGCAGCAGGCACAGAAGGCGCATGCACTGAGTGAAAGCATGAACAGGGCCTTGCAGGTGAGTGCAGCTGGGGGTAAGCGAGGCAGGCGGGGCACATCAGCCCTGGCATCTTAGCTTTCTCCCTGCCTGGAGAGGTGGTTGGGCCTCCGCCTGAGCTGTTCAGCGCCTCACCCACACTGTTGTGTGTGCAAGCCCAGGTCTGCCCCTTCGCAGGGCCTGACCTTAGATCTTTTCCAGGAATAAGTTTATCTGCACGTGTGTAGAACGTTTAGCTGCCATTCTCACGTGGCTGTCCACTGCTGTTGCTATTTGCCGCCAAATTGGGAGGATACCCATTTTTCTAGCAGCTCAACTTACAGCAGCTGCGGGTTGGGAGCACCTGGTGTGTCCATCAGCAGATGAATGAGTAAAGGAAATGTGATGTTTACACACTGTGGAGCATTACTCTGCCACAAAGAAGGATACTCTTTGGTCATCTAAGAGGAAATGGATGCACCTGGAGACCATAATGTTAAATCAGACACGCACGCGTAGATGTCACATGGTTTCTCTTTGCGAAACCAGAATATAAATAAAAAGATAATAGGAAACAAGGAGAGGTGTTTTGCAGATGGGAAAAGGAGATATTTTTGCAAATGGGAAAGGGGGAAGAATGTCAGGAGAAGAGGGTTAACAAGAGTCAAGATGCATTGTATACGCGTGCCAGCTCCCCGGGAAGAAGGTAACGTGTGTACGGCAAACGTGCTTGGAGACATTTTCTGCTGCCTATTGGTCCTTAAAATCTGAGACAGAAGGGCTGATTTCACACAGGAAAGTAATGGGGTTATCTTCAATACTTCTGTGTTCTAGGCGGAATTAACGGAACTGAAAGATGAAATTTCTCTCTATGAATCTGCTGCAAAGCTAGGAATACTTCCGAGTGACTCTGAAGGAGAATTAAACGTAGAACTCACCGAATCATGTGTGGATTTGGGTATTAAAAAAGTCAACTGGAAAAAACCCAAAGTTAACAGGTACCGAGGGAATATTTTAGTTTACTGTAGGAGACCCCACCTGGTGGCTCAGGCTGGTGCTGCATGGTACCCAGGTGGCACCAGGCATGGAAGCATTAGAACGAGGGATTCTTGGATGTGGAACAGTATGGTTTCAGTAATTTTTACTAAAGCGTAAATGTCTGAAATCAAAGTGCAGAGAAACCTGAGGTATTGGTACTGTTCTGTCTTCACTACTTCAAAAGACACCTCGGCTCCACAAAGGTAAAAGATCGTTAAGGTAGTTAAAATACACAAGGGAAATTCTAACTGTGCTTTGCAGCTGTTCTCACTATCGAGGTGAGGGCAGACTGTTTTTATGTTAACACTGTGTTTGAACCAGACACGTTGCATTTACTGATCCATGATTGTGAGAAAATAAACATTGTTTTTTCCTTGGAATCTCATCACAAGCTTAGGTTATGAAAGAAATAAAACACAAAATGGAGATTCTGTCTTTATACTGCTGCTTAATACAGATTTCTGAGCAAGCTGGTGGGATAGACTGCTTCTTCCTCCCTCTGGGGTGTGGCAGGGAAGCTTAGGGGTGGTAGAACAGGGAATATTAGACGCGTAAAGGATGAATGGATAAGTAAGCCTTCCATTCCTCCTCTCGCACTCTGGAAGCACTTGCCGCATGAAAGATTCTGTGCTAGGCTTTGAGAATACAGTTCCAAAAAGAATGCCCCCGAAGCTGCCCTCCCACCTCTGAGTTTACGTTTGTCTGGCCGGGCAGAAAGGAGCTGGGGTCTCTCCAAGCAGCCGCGTGCTGTGTGGTGTGAACGCTTGATGTACCAAGCAGGATTTACCCTTTCCCTCTTATGTTTTTTTTTTTAATGGGATCTGGGGTGCTATGGACTCTTCTAGAGGTTTTCTGCAGGTTCTTGTTGCCCTGAACAAAGATAGCGAGGTTTCACTTTTATTAAAGGTAGGAAAAGAAGTATGTGCAGAGTGAAAATGGGCTACTGAAAAGAGCCTTAAGGTCAGTGACCACCATCTTACGTATCCTCCATGCTGACATCACAGCTAGGCTGTCCTATCAGAAACCTGCTTGGTCACATACGAAGAATTGAAAATAGAATTTTCTGATTGGTCCCCGGTGTGGGGCTTGGCTGCTTGTGCCCTGGATCTCCGTGATTGACAGGTCACACCCACTCACCAGCTGTCCAGCCATGCCTAAATCGCCTGCCTCAGTTTGGGTTAGGGATCAGACATGGGATGTTGGGAAAAGAGTTCCTTTAGGCTAAGGGAAGTATTTCTGAAGTACATTTGGCCTTCACCACACTATTGGGCCCATAGATTAGATCTGTGTTTGTAAAACATTATTGCATTGTTGTTCAGTGACAGTGTTTAATACGTATTGTGTTTCAGGTGTTAAGCAACTAAATACAGACATATAAATCTCCTGAAGAGTTTGCTCTACAGTAGGCTTTAGAGGGTATGTGTTTTCATACTGTATATCTGTTTTTAGAACTGTAAGATAAAATTCAGTAAGTTGAAATCTTAAGTGACCAGGCAGTTTTGTGAAAGAAGACATTACTGTGTAGTTGACTGAGGTCCATTTATCTGGCAGTCTGTCTTCAGAGATGCTCATTACTACAGGTCACAACCTCATGTGAGAAGAAAATAGAGGGACTGGACTGGGCTGTTTTTAGTAGGAACTGCTTGAAGCTCTTAGGGCCATAGTGACTTAGGCTCATTCACACCCTATGCATTATCTTATTTCCCAGCTGGCTGCTGCAGAATTAGGGCACAAGGGCTGGGCCAGGTTCTTGCTGTGCCCAGGTCAGACAGCTGCTCCTTAGCAAGCAGAGACGCTGGGATACTGGGGCTGGAGTTCCAGCATGGCAAGGGAGGTCACCTTACACATCAGCCCATACAATGTCCAGTTATGACCCCAAGTTGTTGAAGAAACCTTAGATCACTGATGCAGAAGAGGAGGCAGTTTAAAGACAGATTTCCATTAAACTTTAAAGATAAAGTGGTCATCTGGAAAATTCACCGCCATGAACACTTTATTTCCCGTCAGTGCTAGACAAGTTGTAAGGTGCAATGAAAAAGCATGGATTTATGTCTTGCCTGTTTTGAACTGTAGCTTTTTCATTTCTCACCGGCTCTCTGACCTTGGGCAAGTTTCTTGGCTTTCCTGAGGCTGTTTCCTTCTCCAGCTTGATAAATAGATAATAAATGTAAGAGCCTCGTGTATCCTGTTCTATAGCATGTGTTAGTCACTTAAAATGATAATGATTAGTGTTATTGTTTAGTAGATGATTGGTTAAAATATGCAATTGATTGCATTTTATATTCATCAGCTTTTAATTTAACATGTAATTTGTGAATCCTCAATCATGTTGGCCCCAAATGTTAGGGCTGGGCAATTGGTGCTCCAAGAGATGAGGTCCTTGGCCTAGGAAGAGAGTCTCACAAGAGACCAGGATTCGAACCAGAATTCCAGGGACCAAGCCTTGTTTTCATATTCATGTGCCAGTCAGAACGCTTTCCCTGAAAACTTGTTCCTCTTTGCATGTTTTAGTTTTGAGGAATAGAGATATAGTTCACACCAAGAAAGATTTTTTTTTGACAATTTGTTTTATTTCATGCCATAATTGGCCTGGGAAGTGGCCAGCAAACACTTCGTGTATATCACGATGTCCTTCTAAATATATTTTATATATAAATATACTTTGCATGTAATACAATATATTTTGCATGTAAATATACTTTTGAACTTGCTATGTATTTGCACTCGTAGTAATTTTAAAGCATTTGCCTATGGATCACAAACTGAGAAGCCCTCATGCTAGCGAGCTGACGGTGGGCCCGTTCAGCAGGGCAAGTGGAGAGCAGCTGAAGCGGGAGGGAAATGGGTCGTGGAGAGAAATGCAGGCTAAGGGACCAAAACTGAGTTTATCCTCCTCCGCCCAGCAGTTTCATAGGTGATGACTTGGCTCTGAGAAAATGCAAAACCTTTATTCTCAGATGAAATTGAAAGGGCTCAGGAGAGAACAGCTTTGTGCTTCTCCCCTCAAGGCCTGTGAGTGCTGGATTAAGAGGAAGCCAGTTTTCCCCGCGTTGAGAATTTTAGCTCTTGTTGACTTGAGTAGCTTTCAAATCACTGACCTAAATATTAGCGGCTCCAGGCTTTAGCCCCAGCTACCACCTCTCTTAAGCTACCGCCTAGTAAATTTTAAGGGCTTAGCCTCAGCACTGTATTTCACATCCCTGGAATTTGAGTAGCTAAATCTGCATGCAGCTCTCAGACAGCTTCCTCTCGCCCTTATTATAGTTGGCTGCTAAGCTCAAATAATAAACATTTAACAAGTGGGATGCCTTTTCCCTTTGGTCTTCTCAGCAGGCTTCGTGCAGGACCACGGTTTATTTGGATTTAGGGGAAGCAGCTTCTATAGAGCTTAGCAGTGAGACTTCCACGGGCTCGGTCACCACACTGCCTTTCCCTTGTGCGGGAAGAGGAGAAAGTTATTTTAGCAAGCACTTTTTCGCTGTCTACCTTGGCTCCCTCTAGCAGTACAGGATGTGCTATTTCAGCGGTCAGCGTTCAGGCAGCAAAGCAATTAGGGAGGCATAATTTGTTAACTGAGCAGAATAAGTGCTCAACTTAGCATTCGTTGTGTTGTGTAGCACCGGAAGATTAAATGGAATATTTTATGTTTCATTTCTTACATAATATTGTTCTTTAACTTTATTTTCTATATAAATAAAAGCAGATTAAATAGTTGAATGTTAGATATACATAATATATATACAGAAGTTACACATGTGTATCTCAAGGAGCTCATTTTTAAAAGATATTACTCTTTTAAAAATCAACCTTAAAAAAAAGTCTACCTAGTTTTTTGTTCCTTCTCTTTCTCACCGCACACACAATATTCTAATATTTTATTTGAGATTATCTGAAAGTGAAAAACAGTAAAAATTTTAACTCAGATACTTTATTTTTTGTTTAAAATACTTGATTTTTTTTTTCCAGATTTACAGGAAAATGTATATTAGATGGAAAGTTCCAGATACATAGCCACCATTTTTTCTTACTGACATCTGACATTATCATGGTACATTTGTTTGCATTCCGAGCAGTACTGCCTGATGTGCATAGTTCATTCAGATTTCTGTAGTTTTTACTTACTGTCTGTAGTTTATTCAGATTTTCCAAATTTTTATGTAATGTCCCTTTTTTCTGCCCAGCATCCCATCCAGGAAACTACATCACATTTTGAAGTCATGTTCCCATTGTTGCTTCTTGACGTCCCTCGATTTTGATGACCTTAATGGTTTTGAAGAATATTATTCAAGTATTTTATAGAAAGGCCTGTATTAGAATTGTATTTCGTCATCTTGTGCAGAAGGACCACAGAGATACGATTCCATTTTCATGATATCCTGTCAAGGGTGCATACTACCAATTACTTATTTTCAAAACTTCCTTTTCCTTTGTGGAAAATTTAGAAATATAGATGAACAAAACTGAAGCAAATAAAAATCATCTATAATCTTACTTCACCTTGCATGAAGAAAAGCACTGTAAATATTTTGGTATATAATTTCTCCGTTATCTGCTTTACATGGTTCTAAAAGATAATGAATTATACCTTTTTATGTTGTCTTTTACAAGTACAGTGAAATCTTTGCATGCTAGTAGATACCGTTAAATTTAATTTTTAACGGGCATATAGATAAATGATACTTTAGTATATACAAAGTTGTTTTAATTTTTTGGTACCTGGGATTGAACTCATGACCTCACACTTGCCCAGGCAGGCGCTTTCGCTGCTGAGCTAAGTCTCCCGCCCTTGAATTTTTACTAAAGGGATGCAGTGTCATTCCGAGCCTCTGTGTGATGAGGTAGCTCTTGTCCCATCTCTGCTTGCTTGCTTCAGAAGGGCATGCTACAGCTGAGGGTGTGGGTGGACACTGCCTGGCAGCCCTGAAGTCTGCACCACTGCCCGCGCCGTTTGGCAGGACCCATTTCTCTGCCCTCTGGCTCGTATTTTGTTGCTACTCCTCCGGTTTAGAGTTTTCTGTCCTGTGTTTTTAGATCTGTCAGTCTCTGCCTTTATGATCATAGGCTGTTTATAAAGGAGATTTCTTTCTAGTGCTTTTTATAGTTTTATGCTTAAACTTTTAAAATCATGAACTATGGTGCATATAGATGAGCACAGGAACCTACAGGTACCCCCCAGGTAAGGGGGTACATCAGAGATCACCTCTGACCGAGAAATGGGAACTGCCGAGTTCCTCTTCCCATTTGTGACCTGCAGGGCGGCTCTTCACGATCATTTTTTTGTTTTTTCTTATCCTTTTAACACCCAGTTATTCACACCTAGAGAGGATTAGATTTGCCTTCAAATTAAAAGGCCTCATATAGTAGGTGTTTTATATTTTCTTTCTTTTTTTTTGGCCACGCTTTATTGAAGTATATTTCCCATACCATAAAAGTCCTGCATTTCAAGTGTTCAGTTCAGCAGTTTTTATTACATTCACAGAGCTGTATAACCACCACAACAACTTAATTTTAGAACATTTCAACAGCCAAAGCAAAAACAAAACCCAGAAACAAACCCCAAAGCCGTATACCTGTTGCTTGTCATTCTCTATTACTTGTGTCACAGATCCTAAGCTCCTCTTGTCTGTAGATTTCCCTGACCAATATATTTCTCACAGACAGAATCGTGTAGTGTGGTCTTCGTGACTGACATCTTTCACTTTACTAATGTTTTCAAGGTTTGTCACGTTGTGTTGTGTATTAGTACTTTGCTGCATTTTATAGCCTGGTAATTTCATGTTTATATGCACATAGATATTTTGCTAAGTCATACGGTAACTGTTTATCATTTTGAGGAAATGTCAAATCGTTCTCTAGAATGTCTTCGCTATCTTACGTTCCCACATGTTAAAGTCATCATGTTCTTGTCTACAACTTATTTTACTCCTAGTGGGTGTGAAACAGTGTCTCACTGTGGTTTTGATTTGCTATCGATGTGGTCTTTTTAGTATCTTTTGACCATTTATGTATCTTATTTGCAGACACGCCTATTCAAATGTTTGCCTGTTTTACAGCTGGATTATCTGTTTAGTATTAAGAATTCTTTTCCCCCCAGTTTTTCAGTTTTTCAAAATTTTGTATTAGTCCGTGTTTGTAGTACGTAACGATTGCACTCACTGTGGGGAGTTGGTGTATGTCAGTAACACATCTCAGTCCTTTTTCCCATCCCTTCCTCTTAATTTTTTGGCTGTCATTTGGTCATCTTCTTCATCTATTCTGAATGTAAGTCTCTTGGCAGGTATATGATTAGCAAATGTTTTCTCTTGTGAGTTGTTGGTCTACTTTATTTTTATTTTAAAATTTATTTTAATTATATATTTATTATTTATATCCACTTTCCCCATTACCACCCTTATCAAGAAAGTAATTTCTTGATAAGAGTCTTGATTCTCATCACCCTTAATTTTATGAAATCCAACCTATTTCATTTCCTTTGGTTGCTTATGCTTTTGGTACAGATCTAAAAAATCATTCTCTAATCCAGGGTCCTAATGATTTGTATCTAGGTTGTATGCTAAGTTTTATCTCTTGCATTAGGCTTGCTATCTATTTAGAGTTAATTTTTGTATATGGTGTGAGGTAGGGATCTAACTTGGTTCTTTTGCATGTGGATATCCAGCTATTCCAGCAGCAGTTTTTAAAAAGACAATTTCCTATTAATTGTTTTTATACTCTTACTTACTGAGAGTCAGTTGACTGTAAGTTTACTTTCTGGGTTATCAATCTATTCCATTGATCTATATGTGTCCTCTTATGCCAGAACCATTTTGCTATAACTTTGTAGTTTAAAAAGAAAAAAAGTGAGTCCTCCAAGTCGTTCTTTTTTTCAAGATTATTTTGGTTTCCTCTTTCTCCCATTTCTCTGTGAATTTTAATATCAGTTTGTCAGTTTCTCCTAAGAAGCAAGCTAGGATTTTGACGGATGTTGCAATGAATTGGAATATTGCCATTTAATAAGATTGTCTTCTAATCCTTGAACATCAAAGTTAAAAAATTATCTATATCTTTAATTTCTTTCACTTATATTTTATAAATTTCAGTCAGGTCATATTTCTTTTTTAAATTTATTCCTAGGTGTTGTATTCTTCGTTACTTTTGCTGAGTTATTTCCTTAATTTTATTTTTGGCTGGCTTATTAATATGTGGTGACAATTTAGTATGTTGGCCTTGTATACGTTCACATTGCAGAAGTGGTTTATTCAATTAGTTTTTAAGTGGATTCCTCAGGATTTTTTGTACTCAAAATCAAGTCATCTGAATAAAAGAGATAATTCTGCATCTTTTAAAATTGGATGCCTGTTTCTGTTTTGACAGTCCCTCCATTTAGAATTCCTATAGCACCATGGTGTAGAAGTGGCAAGGGCAGAAATCTTCCCGTTGGCCTGGATCTTGGCAGGAAACATTCAGTCACCGTCTTTCATTGTGCTTTAGGGTTAATGTTAACTGTGGGGTTTTCATGGGTGTGAATGTTCTTTAGGTTGTCTTTTTTCACTCAGCATTGTGTCTGGACCATATAGTTCCACTTACTCTTTTTTATATATACTTCTCTCTCTCTTTTCATGAGTACTTCTTTCACAATTTATTTTCCATTCAGTTATTCATAGATTCTTAGGTTGCTTCCTGGTATGATAAAACATAAAAAATAAGAACAAGTTGCATACTTCCAAGCCACAATGGGGAGACAAGGACAGAATAAACAGACCTGTTTCAGAAAGGGGAAGTAGTCAAGTGGAACAGAGTACTAAGCCCAAAGCAGGATCAAAGCCCAGCTGGGTGGACGTAACTTCCAGAGCATGAGGTTTGGCATCTTGTGTGCACTGGGGTGAAGATTAGTTTAGGAATTTGACAGACTTTTCCTTGTTTTTTCTGCTTGAGACTCATTGGTTATCTTGGTTTTATGGGAGTTCTGTTTTCATTAAATTAGGAAAATATTGATCATTGTTTTTTTCAAATGTTCTATCTCCTTCTCCTCTCCTTTTTTGAAATTTCATTTATACATGTCAGAAAAGTTAAGATGCGGGGAATGTTTCTGTGTTTAAGTGTAGTGTTATGTATGTATTTTTATGTTCATTGATCATTTCATCTTTATATACTGTTAATTTCATGCAGTATCCTTTCATTGCAGAGATTACAACTTTCCGTGTCTCCCTGAGTTCCGTTTGGGTGTGTTTTTGATTTTGTTTTTGGTTTTTAGTGGTAATGCTGGTGGTTGCTGGGACCCAACCCCAGGGTCTTTTGTAGGCTGGATTAGCACACCCTCAGTCCCAGTCCTTGGTATCTTGTGTGCCTTCTGTTTTCCCATTCATCCTATGGAATACATTTGATCAGTCTTATTATATGTGTCATTGCTGGATCAGTCTCTGTTGATTGATTTTTGTCCTGGTTATTATTCATGTCTTTTCTTTCTTGCTTTGCATACCTGGTGAATTTTGATCACATGTTAAACTTTTTGAATTGTGTGTTTTGGATGCTAGGTTTTAGTGTTGGTGAAAATATTGCTGGACTTTGTCTGTGACACATTGAAGTTCCTTGGAATCCATTTGACCCAAGGCTTTCTCTTTGTAGGCTTTGTTAGGTCAGATTCAGAGCAGCAGGTAAGCAGGGACTAACTCAGTGATACCCTGGGACGTAGAAGATCTTCCTGTTATGGCCCATATTCATAGCCCTGATCTTACACTGTTGGCTGTCTCCTGTGGAGCTCCTTTTAGGCTGGCTAGCATTTAGTATTATTCTCTTCCTCAATCCACGTGTTACTTCTGTGGGAGCGTGTATGAACAGCCTGCAGTGTACCAGCATCAAGGCCATGAGCCACGGCAGAGTTCACAGGAGGGCAAAGCTTGCGGGTCATCTCTCCATGAAGGAGCCTAGTTTCTTATATAGGAATACAGCAAGGCCGATACCCTTGTGTGTGTGGCAAAATTTGAAATTGTTTTGAAATATGCATCTGTAATCATGTTACTGATTAGTCCTCACCAGCACAATTTCTCCGTCAGCCCTGTGCAGCAGGAGGACCTGGATGAGGAAATTTCCAAGGACGAGGTCATCCTGAGGCTGAAGGCGGACGTACAGCGTTTGCTGGACAGCAACTCGGTGAAGCGTCACCTGGTGTCTCAGCTGCAGAGCGACCTCAGAACCTGTCACCAGAAAATTGAGTCTCTCCAGCAAGCGAAGAAGGATGACAGAACCCTGGAGGTTGAGGTGTGTATAGCTGTCAAGTGACATCGTAAAAGAAATTTTGTATTTCAAATATTGAAGTCAAGGCTTAGGTTGTCAAGGGCTTACTTGACTCCTTCAGAAGTAAAGTTTAAGGGAAGAAATGCTGCTTAAAGGAATATGTTTTCTGTGTACTCTCAGAACTAGTAACCGAGATGATGGTTAAGTAAAATCCCTTTCCCACAGACACCAGCAAGCATGTCATATGATAGGGTTTCTGTATTCTTCAGGGATGACTTATACTAGCAATACTTTAAAACTTGAGGGAAAGATATCCTGTACAAGAGGATCCTGCAGAATTTTGTCTGTAAGATTTCCCTGGCTTGTGTTCTTATTAGAAAACTCATTTTGTACAAGGATATGAATCATATAGTCCTGGTGGAACAGATGGGAGAGACCCAGGATTAGATTGTACCAGTGCTTGGCATGTATGTCCATGTTCTTCTGTTAGTAGCTTTACTCAATAGATGAGGAAAAGGAAGCTAGAGGAGTTTGTGATCCTTTGAAGTTACAGTCAGTCTTGGGCACATCAGAGCTAAAACACATCGTGGTTATTCCCGTTAGAAAATGGGGCCCCGCTGGAGAACGGAGGTGACTGCGGTCTGCACCGAAGGGTACATCTTGTCCCCAACCCCTTCCTCTTTGGCTCCTTGACTTCTCTACTGCTTTTTGGCTACCAGGAGCTGAGCAGCTTCCTTTGCCGTGAGGAGCCAGCTGGCCATGGACTGAAGCCTTGCAAACCATGAGCCAAAGTGAACCTCTCCTCCTATAGGTTATGTGTGTCAGGTCTTTTGCCCCAGCAATGAAAAGCTGACTAATGCAGTAGTTGACTTGTTTTCATGCTGGTGGGAAAGAATTTTTTGCTTCCTACTTTAGAACTGTTTTGTTTCCTGATTCGTTAAAGTAGGAGTTGTATTCACTGAAAATTCCTGAGTCAAAGTATGTGAAGTGTTCTATGGTGTTAATTATTATGGAATTTTAAGTGTAGCTAATTTCTTTTTCCAAGCTAATAGTGTATTTTTACTGTCAAAATCATGTCCTGTCTGGTTTCCCGTTCTTAGTAAATGTATTTGATAACTTTAACATTGTTTTTTAATGTTAACAGAGGAAACTCTCCCAGCACATTTAACACCGTTAAATCAATATATTCTAATCGTGACCATATGCTTCTCGTTAAAAGGGTGGGAATGAAAGTGTATGTACCTCAGTTGTGGTAGGATTTGATTAGTGTAAGCGTTTTGGTGGGTGGGCAGGAGCCTGCTTTGAGGCGTGGACCTTGGCTGAGGCTTCGGTGCCGTCTTTGTTCTACGTGGGAGCCGCTGACGGCACCTGCTGTGGAGACACTTCCCACGGGTGGCAGTGGATGGGGGCTCTGCCCAGTGTGGCTTCTCCAGCCCTGGCAGGTAGCTTGGCAGGTAGCTCCGAGGGAGCCCTCTTGGTTTGGAGCACACTTACTGTCCTGTTGCTCTTTTGCCGTGGTGATTGCTTAGTAGTCCACATCTACCGCTGATTCTTTCTCTCTGCCCTCTTTTCTCTACTTACATCTGATCGACCCACTTTCTTAGTAAGGGAAGGGACAGGAAGCGGTCACTTAGCCAGCGAGGGCTTTCTTTTTTAAATACCCAAGTCTGTAGTCTTCTAGCCAGCCCAGAAGCACTTTCAAAGTTTGCCTTTTCCTCCTGGTTCCCATGTCATATATGGTAGAACTTTCAGTTTGTCTGGGAATAGAATGAGAAAGCATGGCTTAGAGGTATCAGGTGATATATAACCTGAAGAGTGGTCACTATCATTGTTTTATTTAAAAGTGTGTCTGTGGAAGGCTTTGAGGGCTTCAGTAATGAAACAGTGGCCATTCCTTGAAGAAATTTAGAACCCAAACAGTGATACTCAGTGGAGATACCATGTAGCCACATCGTAACTTAAAAATATTTTTAGGAAACTTAATAAAGTAAAGGTAATATGTGAAATTAATCTTGAGTACGCACTTCATTTAACCCAGCCTTGATGCTTCTGGACTTATAATCGAGTTGTGTCCCCAAAAATTCATCGTAAATTCAAAAGAGCCAAAGTTATGAATGTCTTTAATATGCCTAATCTCGCGAACACTGTAGCTGAGTCTTGCTGGCTTCAAAGTGCTCAGAACACTATGGCTGGGGAAAATCACTGACACCAAGCCAGGCCCACTGAGTGCAGGCACCGTGGGGAGCTGGGTTCCCTGGTGGGCACACAGCTGGCGGCTGGGGAGCAGCATCGTGAGGAGCGCATCATGCTGCCCGTCACTGCCTGTAAAGAGCAGGTTCAACACACCGAGCACAGCTTGCGCAGAATGTGTCTGCCTTTGCCAGGATCCTCAGTTTGCAAAGCTGTAAGTTGAACCATTGTCAGCCGAGGACCCTCTGCTTATGCAAGAGGTTATCCACGTCATTAATTTGTGTAATATACAGATTATGACCAACACGGGTTCCCTTTCGTGTATGTGTGATCAGTCCTTGAAATCCAGCATGCAATTTATACTTCCAGCACATCCCATTTCTGTCCACTCCCTTCAAGCGCTCACTGGTCACAAGGGGCCAGTAAGCTATCACATTGAGGGTTACAGATCGGTAAGGACGGGTCCCAGTAACATGTTACAATAAGGACGCTACACAGTTGGAACAAAATTCTGTGAGAAGGAATAACTGATGAGGCCTGGGGACACGGGGCGCTCTCAGTGAAATCTTTGTGGAGGGAGTGTTTGATTTTTGTCCTGAAAGACAGATCTAGGAAAGGAAGTGGGAAAAGCCATCTACCCTTGAGCAGCGCTGTGTAAAAGGGCAAAACGAATAAGCTGGAGTGAGCAGCAGGGAGGGCACGAAAATACAGGCACGTGCTGGCAGTGCTGCCTTTTTGAAGTCATTTTTGAGGATACAAAGACTTACGTGTCTCAGTGCCTGTCTTTATTTTATGTTTTTGGTACCAGGAATCAAACTCATGACCTCGTGTTTGCCAGGCAGACACTGTGCCGCTGAGCTACATCCCCTCCCCTCCTTTTTCTTTCTGCTTTTATAAAGAATGGCCACAGAGGCCTTCAGAGCCCGGGGTTGATGATACTGAACCTCTCTGCCCTCTGCAGGGAATCGAAGAGAAAGAGCACATCCATTTAAACATCCTTGGATATCTTTAAAGAAAACCAGGTATCCATAGTCTCTCTCCAGCATTTCTAGATATGAGTGCATAGTAAGAAGGCCCGCAGAACTATTTACTACACAGACATTTGGCGTGTTTCTTGAGTGAACACTTTAATCATGCACTTATATTTATTGCTTCATACATACTTTGGAGTACATTTTATGTCCATTTATATCCACCCTAATATAAAACTATTTAGAGTTACTACAAAGGATTATGGTTTTTGCTTTCATGTCATGATTTCATAGCAATGGTTTATTTCAAGCTGAATTCTTATTTAGGAATCTTATCTATAGAAATAAAATTGTTTCTGCACAAAACCTGGATGTACTGTTCTATGGTATTTCCAGGGTAATATGTGTGGGAAATCAGAAGATCTCTCATACATAGCAGTGGGCAGTGGATCAAATATTGGGCCGTGCATTCCAGGACCAGCTGGCGGGAGAATGTGGCAGAACCCTTAGGAAAACCAGACTGGCTTACTAACAGTCGGGCCCATGTCTATACTGAATATCTTGTGAACATAATAAATAAACTAGAGTATTTTGCGTCTGATCCACCACCAAAATCTTTCCCTTACTTTGAGTTGTGTTTCAAGCTACTATACTCCGATTCTCGAAGTACTTGATAGGCTGTGTTTTATGACCAGCTCAGCCAACTTCCAGCTGGAACCTTCAGACACAGAGTTAGATTTTTTGATTTCTTGAAGCCCATGTGTTTGAGATTCTACCTTTAGGGAGACATTCAAGCGATCCTTTTCTTTTTAAAGATCTTATCCTGACAGGGACAAGTGCCTTGCCCTTGTGTGCCTGCAAGGTATTGCTGTGTCAACACTGGGAAAAATCTTACCATGAAAGAGGATTTTTAGTGGATCAGTTCAACGCTACTTTATTGGTAATAAAAACTTACCAGTTTGAAGAAGCATGAATATCATAAACACAGAGGCCAACTTTAAAAAAAAAAAAAAAAAAGCATTCTAGTGCTTAAGTAAAATCCTTAAAATTCTAAAGGCTTTAAGAGGCGTTGCCTCCCCTGACTGGGGAAGAGCTGACAGCCGGAGTGGAGGGAGCGGGAGGAAGGGAGGACCACGGCTTTCCAGAAGCATCGCTGTCCTGTCTGGGTGTGACGGTGACATGCGTGTCTTCCCAGCTGGGTGGAGGGACAGAATTTTAAAACATTACTGAAGGAGCCAACTACCTACATAAATCAACAAGACAGATGGACAGATGGTTTTAGAAATCTTTGTGAGCACCCATTCTCCACCATGAACAAAGCATTTATCACAGTAGACAAGGAGAATACTCGGTAAGACGAAAACACGCAGTTATACAAACAGAAAAATGAACGAAGGAATGGCAGGGTTCCCCTCTGGTGATGGCACAGAAAATGAGAATGAAAGTGGTTTTTGTTAGATGCCCTTTGCCATCTAGTACAAAGATTGATTCGAGATCATTGTTGGCATAGGCCAGGGTGAAGAGTCCAGAAGATTTGTGCCTACTCGGTAGGATGCATCTATATGACCTTGACCTTTCCAGAAAACTGCCAGTGTCTATGATGAGTCTTAAAAAGTGTACTTACAGAATAAGATACAAATCCATGATTTAATACTAGCATAAATAAATACATCCAGAAATAGAGTAAATGCTGAGCTTAGTGGGTGAAAGTCTGACACGAAATAGGATATTTGTCTCAAGGCATCTTTTCAGAAGACACTAATTTAGAAGCAGGTGGTGGGAAGTTTATAATGGAGACACTCAAAGGTGCTACCTTCAACCATGGTCATCACCAGGGAGAAGCCACTGAAGATCCTGGGCCCCCGGGGCGGAGCCTCTGTCATTTCTTGACACCTCATTCACGCTGAAGATGTGTACCCTGCAGTTAAAGAAGTTAACCTCAGAAAACCCAATCTGAGGGGTGTGCTACCCAGTATTGTCCTGGGTCTGGAAGACAGAAACCGAAGAACGACATGTCTTAAGATTGGAGGAGACACAGGAGACTTGATAACACAAAGAGGAATCATTGACTTGATCTTGGGCCAAGAAAGGGACAGGAGAGGAGAACTGGGGACATTGGCATAAGATCTGTGGATGGGTTTGTAGTAACATCCAGGTTAATTTTCTGGTTTTGATCTTTGTATTCTATTTGGGAAAGATGAGTGAAAGGAATGTGGAAATCGTTTGTACTGTTTTGCAATTCTTTGTAAGTGTGAAATTATTTCAAGATACTCAGAATTTTTTAAAAACCGGAAAATTTTTTGACTTCTTTTTAACATTCAGTTGAAAATCGATACTGCAGGAAAACCCATGACTCCATTACAGCCTGGCTTGCCTCCTTCTGATGTGATCGTCCAAGAAGATGTCCTGCAACTTAGAAGTGAAATTCAGGTTTTGCAACAACAAAATCAGGTACTTAAAATGCTCCTGTTTTTTAATGAAAATTTTCATGACTTTCTTAAATGCGAAGGATTTGTTAGACTCTGACAATACAAGGGCAGTGTGAGCTAGTAGACAAGCAGAGTAGTAGGGTCCACTTATTTCTCTCAAACCTGTTTTTCTGGGTATTGGTTCTGTTATTCACAGACTTATTTTAAGGTATCAATTAGCCAGTACTTCTCTGATTAAATGTCTGCATTCCCTGCATTTCAAAACAGATGAAGAAAAATTTTTTAACTTTTACTCCTGGCAGAGAGCTGCTTATCAAAGAAACCTGTATCCTTACCAAGGCATAAGAGATTTTTCTTTCATAGAAATACATAAATGAGAGTACAACAAATAAATTTAATAGACCAGAGGTCAGGGATGAGGATGTTAAAAAGATGAGATTAATGAATGAAAACGTCTATGTCCTTTAAATACTCCTTGTGTCTAGGAACTTAAAGAAGCTGAAGAAAAGCTGAGAAACACAAATCAGGATTTATGTAACCAAATGAGGCAGATGGTACAGGATTTCGACCGTGATAAGAAGGAAGTTGTAGACAGGTAAGCTCTCCATGGATACATAGTGCTTGTCTCCCGGGTCCCCTCTGCTACAAAAAAAAATTTTTTTAAATGATAAATGGATTGAATGCTCCCTGTTGAGATCTCGGATTGGCAGAGCTAAGCCCCTGGCTTTTTCATTTAGACTTTGGAACACTTTTTCCATAGAAACAATAATACGTAGTAGTCTGGGTTCTACAGCACTATCATAATTGTGGTTCACTGAAATAGTACATCTTAGGGGTTTTTTTTTATTTTATTTTTAAAGGCTAGTCTAGGAAACCTTTTGTTATAAAGAACAGACCCCTGGGAGGGAGTATGTCTTCCAACTACCAAATCGTAAATTTCGAAACAGACTTTTGGGATATAACTTACTTGTGAGTTGGATACTGTTAGTGTTTATGTGGAATGCCTCTGACTTGGGATTTTAGGGCCACACTCAGTAACTTCAGTTGGTTTCTTTATCAGCAGCTGTCCTTAGCGTAAGCTGCCATCTGTGTATTGGAATGAACCATTCTCATGTCCACATTTGTAATAATTTTCTCCAGAAACCGCTGAAGAAAAAGTGCTGAAGATTCTCATAAGATCATGGTTGTGAATGGATCATTACCTTCCTGATTGGGGAAAAGGAATCTGACCTTAATTATAATTTGCATTAGAGGAGAGGGATGAGAGGGAAGGAGGGCAGTATGCTGAGTGTTTCTCCGAGTGCCAGGCTCGGCCTGAGGGTCCACCCTCTGTTGCTAGGTGTGAGAGGACCTACCACCAGCACCACGAGGCCATGAAGGCCCAAATCCGCGAGAGCCTGTTAGCGAAGCACACTGTGGAGAAGCAGCAGCTCTTTGAGGCTTACGAGGGCACCAACTTGAAACTGCGGTGAGAACAAAGGCTCAGCTACCCTGGGCTGGGGAGGCATCGAGCCCCAGCGCTCAGCCCGGGGGGAGATGGTTAGGGGCCTTGGTTTCCTGTGATCAGGCGGCTGTTGATTTCATTTACCCCAGGTCTGACCTGGATAAGACGAACAAGGAGCTGGTGGCCGTGCAAGAGTGTTACCTACAGGTGTGCAAGGAAAAGGACAATCTAGAAGCAGCGCTCAGGAAGACCGTCAGCAAGGAGCAAGAGGCCCAGGAGCAGAAGGTACAGGGAAGCCTGTGCCTTGGGCCTTGGGCTGTCGCAGAAATGCGACCCTTGGTCTGGGAGGGAAGGGAAGGGGATCCAGAGAAGTCTGTTACTATGGCTGATGGGTCACAATAATCAGTATAATTCAAAGAATGCAGTGAATGTGGAAATCATTGTCATTCTAAATTGTGTGGATTTTTTTTTGAGAGTCTCCCTGTGTAGTGCAGGTTGGCCTTGAACTCACTATGTGGCCGAGGCTGACCTGGAACTCATGGTGAGCTCCTGCCTCGGCCTCCTGAGTGCTGGAATTACAGATGTGCACCATATCTGGCTAGAAATCATTTTAAAAACGGCATAGATGTATGACACATGGTGTTTCCTGGAGACTCCCTCTAGCAAGTCAGAAAGAGTAGACCTGACTTACTGAGCGTCTGGCCCCTGCGGCCCTCCTTGCCATTCACCTGCCCCCTGCTCACACAGATTCCTTGGTCGTCATTCCCTCAGGGCCCACTCTCTCAGGAGCTCTGTCCTGTGACAGGGCCAGTGGTGCTTCAGGGGCTTTGGAGGGCTGGGTTAGGGGGTTCCCGCGACCTCCCTCAGAGCAGCTGGAGGGTGGCAGCGGGTACCAGCCTTCAAAGAGAGCCCAAGCGTGAAGTCTCCGTTACCAGTTGCCTGTCGGCCCTCTTCCCTGTCCCCTGCCCCCCAGGTACCCAGCTGAGGTGCCCTCGGGGTTGGCGCCAGCTGCAGACCCTGCTTTTGGAAGGCCTCCTGCCTCCAGATTAGAAAATATGTTTAAAAGCTGACATAAATGTTCTCTGCAGAGGTTTTTAAGTTAATTATATTAAATACAGGAATTGCTACCACAGACTTAAAAAGAATAGTCAAGAGCAAGTGAGGCCTTCGGTTCATTGAATATTTTGATTATTTTTAATAGATTAATATGGTGGGAAAACGTGCCATGTGTACGTATCAGTTAGTGGGAAAGAAGTTTCAGAGGGAGCCATTTTAGTTAGTGTTGGCAGCATAAAAGTTGAAAGGGACCTTAAATTACCTAGAAATGGAGAATTTAGCTTCAAGTAATGTTTCAAAAGTGAAAATGAGGAGATCTCTAGTATGGTTCTGTTTTTAAAAATATATAAATTGGAAAGAGCCTAAGAGCAATTCTCTCACAGAGGCTATTCTTTTCAGGAATTTGTTTTGATACTTTTAAACAATCGGTTTGGCTGTAAAACTGGATCTCTGCTGTTTGGCTCTTGAAAAGCTTTAATTAGGTTAATATTTTTCTTCAAAAAAATCTAAGTTATCATGCAGTAAAAGTTAATCTTTTCTCATCGGATACACAGTTGTGTAGCTTTAACAGGTGTGTATTCACTGAGCTGAGACAACATCTCCTGTCATTCTCGTAGTTTTACCTACAGTGGATTCAGAGCAGTAGAAGTTTAATTTCTTACTCCTCTCTAGTTTTTGTTTTTCTTGACTTATTTTTTTGACATGGGCTTACACAGTCCCTCAGCAGTGTCTCTGAGCCCGTGAGAATGGGGACACCATTGCACTCAGAGACTTGACTTGTTTCTCACCCCACAGAGGCAGCACAGGACAGCAGCTGGCTCTCTTGGAGGTGTCCCGCAGGGACACAGTGTCAGTGCCTCACCAGGCTCCAGAGCAGGTCGGGTGGGGACCTGCTGGTGGCCTCCTGCAGCTGAGCCCCTTGGGGGTGCTGTCACCAGTGCTGAGGGCTGTGGGTGCAGACCTGTCACCCCCACAGACCTTCCCTTGTGCATTAGCCTGGCACCTCTAGAGGAAGAAGGGTAAAGGAAACGCACATGAAGCCCTGTGGGTTGGGGAGTAGCCGATGAGTCTGTGCGCTTGCCCATAAGGCAGCGGGGACCATGCTACCCTCGGAGACGCATTCAGATTATGACACAGGCTTGGCAAGGCCTTGGAAGCCAGAGCCTTGCTCTTCCGGGGTTGGACCTTTTTTTCTGTTTAGGCAGTGCACGAGTTTAAATGTTTTTTTTTTTTGTTTGGAGACCGTTAGTATTGTGCAGAGATACTTACTTGAATTTTGTTTAAAGAGACAGCTGTTGGAAGAAAAAGAAGAGCATATAAGCAGCCTTCAGTTGGAGCTTGAAGAAAAGTATCAAGAAGCGCTTGCAGTGGAAAAAAACAAGTGGCAGAAAGAACAGGAAACTGACACTGAACGGCGGATTGAGAATGAAGTGAAGTTAGCCAAGGCGCGCTGGGACGCGGAGCAGAAGGAGGTGTGGGTCCAGTTTCTCTCTGCGTGCTGTGTTTAATGACATGTGGCCTTGACTGTAGAGCACCATTCGTCCCTCCTGGCCATATAAAGAATCTCTCATTGTAAGAGGCATAAACGGTCATCCATCCACTCAGCCACCTCTTAGAACCGGGCTATCCTCGGCTGGCTGTGCCAGTTTTTACTTTTTAAAATTACCCCCTCTTGAATCTTCCTCTAAATTCAGGATGCAACAGTTTATCAAGGCACTTCTTTGAGGCCCAAAAATGAAAGTGTAAGTCAAATTTCATATTATAAAATGATTCTGATGACTCTAGAAGAATATCTATAATTAACCCATAAGTAATCCATACAATAGATGAGAAGAAAACACGTGCTGGGTTTATGTCCATTGCCCAAGAAGCACACACGGTTACAAAGTGCTCATGGCATCCTAGAGTTGAGAACAAAATTATAATTTTACATGCTTGTTTGGAAATGAAAAAAATTCTCAGCTCTATTTAAAACAAGAGTGTCTTGTTATTAGCCCGTAGCCAGGGCAGCAGTTTGAGAGCCCTGGATGTCCAGGGAGTGGGGGGTGGGAAGTCAAAAACAAAGCAAGTTTCTCTGCTTTGCAGTGTGGCCTGAGTCACATCTACCCCTGCAGCATTGCTCCGAGTGGGAAACTCATCACCACCTTTCCAGTACTGACTGTCTCTTCAATGCAGCCATCTAGTAAAATTTAACACCTTCGAATAAGGTTCTCACGTGCTCGAGTCAAGTGAAACTATTTTTTAGATCATTCAGTTTCAGGTTTGGGGCTTCGATTTTCTCAGCGCCTGCTTTGTGGAAAGTGTAGTATGATGATGGCAGAAAACAAATGAAATACATACTAACAGTATGTTAATATGTGGTTTTTTTATGCCATCTTTGTAGTGGTTGTGTCAAAAGTTCCAGAGAGTTGAATCTTGAGAGCAAAAGAGGCTGACTGCACTCTGTAATCAAACCTTCCATGTGATTTTTTTTTCCCCTCTAAAGGCAAAATGTAACTTTCAAGTCTTCCTTGGAAATCTGTTTTCATTGAGTAAATCCCTGACCTCCATGCAGCCACGCCAGCTGCGTTTAGGTGGGTTTCAAGCACAGCTGGGCTTCCGCTTTGTCTAGCTGTAATCCTAGTTCCTACTTGTTTGACTGTTTTTCTTCTCATACGCTTTTTCTTCTGAAAACAGATCAAACGGAAACTAGTTCAGCAGCTGGAGAAGGTGTGGCAGGCGAAGCTGGATGAGACCCTAAAGGCGGCGTCGAGAAACAAGACCTCAGACTGTGGCAGCCAGACTCAATGCACAGCCACCCCGGGTGTCGTTTCCAAGGTGGCGGGGGCAGCGGCTGTGGGAGAGCAAAAGCTCCAGGTCCAGTGCATCTCGGGGGGTGAGAAGCAAGCAATTGACCCGGGGGCCCTCAAGAAACTCGAAATGGACCTGGAACTCAAATATTGTGAGAATATCACCAAACAGGTAATAAGCACCATGGTGCCAAACAGTTAGAGCTGCCCAGGGCTGGAAACCTGTTAACTTTAAACTTTGAAATTTGTGTGCATTTCTAGAGTACAAAACCTGTTCCGCTGTTCCCAAAATTTTCACTATTATATTTGTGTCCTAAATTAACTGCCACCCCTCAGCCTTTCTGTGCATCATTTCAGGGAACAAGTTTTATTCCTTTTAAAATCGAAGCATTAAGGTGCCCGAGGTTAAAGATGGCTCAACAGCTAAAAGAAACACAATTGAATTATAAGTTTGTTACATCTAGTATTTTAGAAACTATTCTAGAATAAAGTAGTGATAGGTTAGTAAACGGAAGCACAGAATAGATGGAGCTTTTTGCGTCGAGACCCATGCATGCCCAGAGCTGCAGGTGTGCCCGTCCTATGGGCCTGGGGCTGGAATTCCCATCAGCTGTCATGGAGCAGTGCCCGGCCCTTCCTCAGAACCTTTTAACTGGGGCAAATAACCTCACTTCCAGGACACGTCCTCCTGAGGAAAGGGGAGCCTGTGTCACCAGAGTAGGGACTGTTACTATCTGTGAGATCTCTCTTGAGTGTTACAGTGATTTTTGAGTGTTTTTAGTTTCAGGATTCCTTTACACTTTTAAACCTCAGGACTGTGAAGAGGGTTGTTTCATCAGGTTTGTTTCTTTTCCCTATAATGGAACACAGATCTGAGAAGTTCAAAACAAAACAAAAACAAACCTTCATTTTGCCGTCAGAGCACTGATGTCAACCCAGACCACTGTTCCTGGAGCACTTTGCTGTTTACATAGGAGAGGTGGCAGTGAAAAGGGCCGTACCTTGAATTATCTTGAAAATAGTTTTGACCTCATGGATCCCCAGTCTTGGTCACTTTCTTGCTGGTGACACCCACAGTTTTGAACAGGGGAGGTTTATCTTGGCTCACTGTTTGGGAAGTTCCCCAGCCCATGCTTGGCTGGCTCAGATGCAGAAACAGCATGGCGGAAGGGCCTGGGGGAGGACAGCTGCTTAGGTCATGGCGGCCAGGAAGCAGAGAGAGAAGGGAGGAGCCGGGGAGGAAGATGGGTCCTCCTAGGTCATGCCCATAATGACCTGCCTCTGTCTAACCAGGTCCCACCTCCCAGCAGCAAATCAGTTGTGGCACCCCCATGATCCAGTCACCTCCCAAATACAAGAGGCTTGGGGTCGACTTCAGATCTAAAGCCTAACACCACCTGACAACCTCTCTAACCTGAAAAAGATCCCTGAACCTTGACATAGGGTGAGGGATAGGGTTAGTGAAATACGCATGCAACTGTGGCTGCTGTTTGAAAATGAAGCCTTCTGAAGCTATAAACCTCCTCTACCTCTTTCTCCCGTGATGTCCTGCAGGTAGAAACAGCTGTGCAAAATGCTCGTCGTCGGTGGCTGGAGGAACTGCCAGAGCTTGCAGAGTACAAAGCACGCCTGAGAGCCGAGCGGAAGAAGTGGGAGGAGCAGCAGGAGGCCTCCGTGGCCAAGCGGGTAAGGGTGGTCTTGCAGAGGAACACAAGGAGCTCTTTCCCACTCCTCCATCAGCTGGCTCTCCTGTCGCTGAGACATAGTACCTGACACTTATAACTTAGAGGTTCAGGATTTTAGAGGATTCATTTCATGGTCTGAAGCATCATGGTGGGAAGGTGTGGTGGAACAAAGCTCTTCTGGGCATGGTGACTAGGAAACAGCAGTGGGACAATGCCAGAGAGGAAAGGGCCAGGGACCAGTCACAGACCCCAGGGCGGTGCCCCCACAACCCAGGCAGACACAGCTGGAAACATGCTCCTCCAGTCCCCAAGCAGATCCCGAAGCTACAAGCTGACACTAACCCCACCCCTGCATCCTGGGAATCTGTACCGACTTACGGTGCTGGTGTGGGGTGTTTAAGACGTTAGCTATGGCCTGCCCAGGGGTGTCTGATCTGTCAGTCAGCAGTGTGCGAAGGGAGAAATAGGTATTTTGGCATCTCAAAACGCTCATGGGGAGAAAGATAATCTTTACTTAGAAATTAAGTTGGATTCCATCTTTGGGTGAGATTGACAACAGGTAGTTACCAGTGTAACAGCTAAACATTGTACTCTCGTACGTGTGAAGGTTTTCTGTGCTGTATCAGTGGCTTTCCTGCACATTCTCTCTGGCAAATCACCAACTCTGCTTTCCAGAGTTGCCATGTTCCTTGAAAGGGAAACTTCGATGTCATAGCCATGCATAGTCTTCCAACTTAATTTACTGGGCTAAAGCAATTCTTCTTACCCAAGTGCCACAAACTGAAAATGGTTTTAAAGTTTGAAACAAAAATTCTAAAATTTATTTGGAAAAATAAAAAGAGAGTAGACGTTTTTTAGTGTTCTAGAAAAGGAGCTCTAACACAGACTGTATTGGCAGACAATTCAGACAGTGTTGAGTCACAGAAGTAGAACTGTTTTTAATTCAGGACACCACAGACAGCAGAGACAGGCCCAACTATGAAGAAAAACTTAGTGAATTGTTCCAAAACAAGAGGATAAGAAGTTATTGCATAGTAAGTAGTCACAGGATAGCCAGGTGACACTTTGAAAAGTTATGTTTACTTCTTCATGCATCACATGAGGTCTAGGTTGATGGAGTTAAACATTCATAAGTAAAAACATAAATTAAGAGAAATTAAATGTTTCAGATACTTCTGACAACTCATTTTTGAGGCAACAAACACAGTGGCAAAAATGAAATAATAGGTTTAAAACAAACGTTGAAAACATTTTTTATTTTTATCACCCACCTTTTTTTTTTTTCTTTTTTGGTACTGCACTCTTGCAAGGCAGGTGCTTATGCTGCTGAGCTAAATCTCCAGCCCACATTTTTGATTTTTAGTAAGATAAAATTAAGACCATAAGAAAAAGGAAAGTAAATGAGAAATATTAATACTAATATATGATAAAGAGCTGGCTGAAATTTATAAGAAAAACAAGAGTCCAAGTAAGCATATGAGCTGGTGATCTTCATAAGTCTAAATGGAAGGGAAAAAAAAGAATGGAAGTACACTCATGCCTCTTGGTCTTAGGGAAATAAGAGCTGAAACAAACTTTGTTTTTTTTTTAATTTAAAGAGAAAGAAACAACCCCCCCCCACACAAAACCCAGAAAAAAAGGGTAGAAATAATACAGAATTACAGAAAAATAAATAGTAAGAAATCACTAGTTGATAAGTTACATATTGTCATCTTAGAAATAGTTGAGCTGAAACAAACTTAAGGTGCTTTTTCTTTTTCAAGAAAAAATTTCAAAACAAGATAATAGAGTAACAATGATTAATGTATTTCACACTTTTATCTTTAAATTAGTTACTCGGAGTATAAGATGTAGGCATTTAATTCTCCAAGCAATATTAGCACCAACTTTCCTTCAGTTAATTAAGCAATATTCATATTTAACTATGACTGTATATATATTCTTTTCAGGTTTTGTCCATTTAGTAATATGTTGGCTGTTGGTTTGTCATAGATGGCTTTTATCAGATTGAGATAAAGACCATGTATTCCAATTTTCTATAGCATTATTATCATGAATGGGTGCCAGACTGTGTCAAAAGCTTTTTCTGCATCTATTGAGATGATCATATGGTTTTTTCCTTGGCCCTGTTACTATGGTGCATTACATTTTTTGATTTACATATATGGAACTATCCCTGCATCCCTGGGATGAATCCAGCTTGGTCACAGCGTATAATCTTCTCAGTGATTTGCTGCATTCTATTTGCCAGTATCTTACTGAAGATTTTTGCATCTGTGTTCATTAAGAAGATTGACCTACGGTTCTCTTTTCTTAGTTGGATCCTTCTCCAGTTTTGGTATCAGGGTAATCAATGAGTGTGGAAGTATTCATTCTCCTTCAGTTTCAGTGGAGAGTTTAAGAAGTAGTGGTGTTAGGTCTTCTGTAAACAGCAGTGAATCTGTCAGGGCCTGGGCTTTTCTTTGTTGGTAGATTTTTAATTACATCTCATATTTCATTGATAATGGCTTAATTAAGATTTTTATATCTTCTTGAGTCAGTTTTGGTAATTCATACGTATCTAGGACTCTTTCCATTTCTTCTACATTTTCCATCTTATTAGAATACAAGTTCTCAAAGTAAGTATGGATGATTTTCTGGATTTCTGCAGGGTCTATTGTGATTTCACCCTTTTTATTCCTAATTGTATGGGTTGAGTCTTTCCTATTTTTTTTTGGAAGGTTGGCTAAGAGTTTGTTGATTTTATTTAATCTTTCAAAGAACCAGCTCTTTGATTCATTGATTTTTTTTGTGTGTGTTGTTTTCTTAGTCTCCAATGCATTAATTTGTGTTCTAACCTATAATTTCCTTTCTTATAGGAGCTTTGGGCTTGGCATGCTCTTCTTTTTCTAGAAACTTGAGATTCAACATTGTTTATTTGTGCTTTCTTTGTTTTCCTGATATGGTTATTCACTGCTATACATTTCCTTTTTAAGACTACTTTCATTGTGTCCCGTAAGTTCCTATGTTTTGTATTGTCATTACCATTTAATTGTAGAAACTAATTTCTTCTTTAATTTCATCTGTGATCTATTGGTTGTTCAGGAGGGTATTACTTAATTTCCTTGTGCTTATGAATTTCTTGTGGTTTCTTTTGCCAATGATTTCCAATTTCACTGCACTATCGTCTGATAATGTGCATGGGATAATTTCAATTCCTTTGCATTTACTTAAACATATTCTATGAGTTGGTATGTGGTCTGTTTTGGAGAGTGTTGTATGTGCAGCTGAAGAGAACATGTATTCTGGGGCTGGGGATTTAGCTCAGCGGCATAAGCGCCTGCCTTGCAAGCAGGCAGTCGTGAGCTCAATCCCTGGTACCAATAAAAAACGAAAAAAACAAAAGAAAAAGAAAAAGAGAACGTGTATTCTGATGTTGCAGGGTAGAACACTCTAGACATCTACTGAGTCCCTTTCTTCAGAAATTTGGTTCAATTCTAATATTTATTTGTTGTGGGGTTTTTTTTGTCTAGTTGATCTTTTTGTCTCAGAGGGGTACTGAGATCCCCCAATAAGTTCTATTAGTGTTTATTTGATTTTTGATGTCCATTAATATTTGTTTTATATAGTTGGGTACACTGGTATTTGTTGCATATGTATTTATGATAGTTATCTCTTGCTGTTGGAGTGATCCCTTTACAACAATGTAGTAACCTTTTTTTTCTCTCTTAATCAGTCTTGGTTTGAAACTCACTTTGTCTGCAACAAGAGTAACTAGCTCTGTGTTTTTCTGGTTTCCTGTTACATGGAATATTATTTCCCATTCTTTGACTTTCAGTCTGAATTTCTTTTTGAATTAAATGTTTTTCTTGTAAGCAGCATATTGTTGGATCTTGCTTCTTGACCCATCTGCCAGTCTGTGTCTTTTGATTGTTGAATTGCAGGTTATAACTGATATGTGTTGACTTATCCTTGTCATTATTTTCCTGCTGTTGCCTTCCCCACCGTTTTTTACCCTCCCTCTAATTAATTGTTCGCATTGCCTGGTGGATTCTTTCTGTTGGGATCATGGAGCTGTAGTACTTGTTATTTCTTTCTACAGTGTCCTTCAAAACATTTGGAGTGCTGGTTTGGTGGTCATAAATTTCCTTAAGTGTTCTTTGTTGTGGAAGTATCTTATTTCTCCATCAGTTTTGAAAGATAGCTTTGTGGGGTACATTATAGTTTGGGTTGGAGGTTGTTTTCCTTTAGAACTTGAAATATTTCACTCTAAGCTCTCCTTGACTTGAGTTTGTGCTGAGACGTCAGCTGATTCTGATGGGCTTTCCTCTATAGGTGACTTGTTTCTTTTTCCCTAACAGCTTTGAATGTTCTATTTTTATGTTGATTTCTGGAATCCATGATATGCCTGGTTATAGAAAATTTTTGATCATACTAATTGGAGTTCTATATGTCTCACTTATCTGTATGTCAAATTCTTTTTCCCTTCCAGGCAAGTTTTCTGCTGTGACGTTTGTGAACAGTTGTGTGTGTGTGTGTGTGTGTGTGTGTGTGTGTGTGTGTGTGTAATTTGTGCTATCTCCTTTTTCGTTGACTCAATTATGGTTCTTTGCATAATCTAGGTGCTGCTAGATTGAGTTCTCATTGAGTCCCTTGCCATTTTAAAGAAATCTTTCTTTTTATGATTGCTAACCACAGGCCTGTCTTCTGTATCTGAAATTCTGTCCTCCCATTGGCTGATTGTGCTGTGGATATTTTCAGTGGAATTTTTATTCTCCTGAATAAATCTGCTTGAATCTGCTTGAATCTGTCTCATGAATTCCATTTCTCTCCTATGTTGAGCATTCGTGGTATCCATCATTCTCTTAAGCTCCTCCTTTTTGTATCTGTATCTGCTGTGGAGCCACTAAATACACCTTTTATTGTGGACACCATTTCTGCAGTTGCCTGAACAGTTATTTCTTTTTTTTTTTAATCGGTATTGGGGTTCGAACTCACAACTGCCTCTTGCAAGGCAGGTGCTTATGCCGCTGAGCTAAATCCCCAGCCCCTTGAACAGTTATTTATGATTTGATTTTTCCCAGACCCTCATTCAGTTGCTTTGTGGTTCCCATTTCAGAGATGCCAGGGGAGAGGCTTTCAGATTGTCCCACCTCATTGCCCCCAGGTTTGCCTTTGGTGAGCTGGATGTCTGGAGTTGCATCTTGTCTTCTCAATTTTTTTTTTTTTTAATTCTTGAGTTGATGCTTATAAATTGCCTGTGGTGGGTTGCTTTATTGCTAGTATTTAGAACCTGTAGGAATGGCTACTTCTCTGAGGTGTCTTTAGCTGTAGGTGGGTTTTGGGTTTTGAGTTGTTGCAAGAACCTACCTCTTTAGTTTATTGGGGATGAGAAGTTGCTGCCTGGTTGGCCCAGCCCCTGGTTCTTTGGCCCTGTGCCAGTGTATTTTCTATGACCCTTAGTCAATCTCAGTCTTGGAATACCAGGGAGAACAGCTGTTTAGAACAATTATGTCATTTTTGGTTAAAGTGGTACAATTAACAGTAACAGTAATGATAATCACAGTGTAGAAAATGACAGGCTGTGGTAATTACTAATTTGCCTGGTTATATTACAAAATCTAAAACAAAACAGAAAATTGTTATGCAGTATATCAGTCCTTAATATGTCAATTTTACCCTCAGGAGGTAAAATTTAAAGAGGTTTAGGGAAAAAATTGAGAAGTAGCAGAGGAAGAGATTGGACATAAGACTGTAGGATAAAGGTGGATCATGCTGGCTTTGGGAAACTGCTGCTAAGACTGGAGGGGAAGGGAAGGGAGAGAGAGAAGAAAGAGCAAAACAGGACCAGAAAGAGGCGAGGAACCACATTCACACTTATATAGAACAAGATTATACAATGAATGAGAAAAAAGAACAGCCACAACCAAAACAACAAACAATAAGAGAGAGGAAAAAAATGAGTCCCTTCCCAGTCTGTGTCTGCTGTCACTGGTAGACAGCATGGGGAGACAGAGGCCAGGTCCGTGTTGATCTGTCCCAGCAGACCAGCAGTAGTTTTGTGGCACGATAGTGAATAATCTCAGCAAGCCTGCACCTTTATTTCCCCTGAAGTCCAATCTGTGTTGTGGCTGTGGGGCCCAAGACCAGAGCCACTCAGCCCACAGCTATCCGTGCACCTTCTGCGGGCCTCAGCCCAGCCAGGGGCTGCTCTGAGTTCTCAGCTCAGTCAACTTCTCACCTAGATGGCTCCCAGCCAATTACTCTCTTGTGTGGGAGGACTGAGCCCTCAGCACTCATGGTCAGCCAGTGTGGTTCTTTGCATCTCCTCTCCACTGCTGCATCTCTCTGGGGAGGCCTCTGGGATCACCAGCAGTCACCTTGTGTCCACGTTCCTCCTCTTCGTCTTCCTCATGTTCCTATATTCCAGCATCTGGGCAGCAATCTCAGGCTGTTTCTCTGCTGCTCACCACTCTGCTTGCTTGATTGCAATCTAAGGTGCCTTTTTGGGCTTAATGTATAAATCCTTTCCTTTGAATCCAGCACACAGATTGCAGTCTCCAGGGTGGAACCCCCAGCCTGGGACACTGTCATTTTGGAGAATAATCTGGTGTGTAACAAAAAGTTGCAAAGGACTCATGTGTTATTGCATCATTCTGTCTACAAGGTTAGGCCGTACTTAAGGAAAAGCCAGTTTCTTTAATTTGGAAGGAATTACATTGGTGCTGTGGTTCCCCAACTGTGGTAGCTGGGATCACACAAGGATCCTTAGAAACATCCAGTTGCCTGGCTGCCGCCCTCAGCCTCTGCATTGAGTTGTGTGTTGACCGAGTTAGGCATTGGTCCTTTTAAAGAGCTCTTTGGCTGTTTCTAATGTGCAATAAAGTTTCGGAACTGTTGGGCTGATAAGTCCTGTCCTATCCTGTAGAACTTCCCCCACCAAGGACGCAGACGTTCAGTAAGGCTGGGCAGGTCCTCCAGATTCCAGGGGACCCACGACCTCTACCTCTGTGCAGGTCCCCTGGCAGGGACTCCTAGGCCTCCATTGCACTCTGAGCTGTTTCCTCTAAAAACACTGTGTTGACACGTTTCACGTCATGAGGAATCAGTATGCTGGTGGCAGAGGAATTTGTGGTGAACTCTGTGGTAAAGCTCACCGAAGGTGGTGCGTGCTCTTAGCGGAAAACTGTAAGCAGATGTTCCCCGTCCTCATCCCGAGCCTTGGCATGATACTGGTTCATCATAGGCACCACTGTCGAGGTCAGGGCTGCGGAGATGCTCGGTTCTGCCTCGAGATGCTCTGTGTCCTTGGAACTGTGAACACAGGGAAGATGAGAAGTAAAAAGCACTCAGGGTGGGTCCTTACCCAGACAACAGGAAAAGTCAATGGTCTGAGGTGACAAACTCGAGGCCATGTGTGCAGAAGTAATAAAGGCTGCATAATGTTTGAATCTGTGTCATTCTAGGGCTCTGGGTTGGGCGCTTCCATTGGATGATCTCTTGTGTGCCTGGGTTGGCATCGTGATTCTCAGTCACGTGGATGGGGAAGTTGAGGAACAGCCTGCAATCGCGGAATTCCAGCCTCTGTCCTCCCTCTTCAGCCCTTGTGCTGGGATTAAAGGCAGAGCCCTGGTTTTTTAAATTATGTACTATCATGTTATCTACTTCTTATTTCTGTGACAAAAATGAGATGAATGAAAAATGACTTTTTCCACTTCGTAGTCATTTGATGAGCTGTACTAACCACTAAAACTGCATGATTTATCAGTAAGTAATAGTAAGATTTCCTTATGAGGCTGCTTCTAAGTAAAAGGTTCTTAATTTGTGGAGGGCCTTAGATAAAATTTGAGACTGTATCTGTATTTAAAATAGTAACATGAAGGGACCGGGGGTTTAGCTCAGCCGTGTAAGTGCCTGCCTGGAAAGCACAAGGTCATGAGTTCAATTCCCAGTACCAAAAAAACCACCCAAAAAACCTAATATGAACTATTTTTCTGAAATTAGTTTTGGAGATATATCTATGTAAACATTTATCGTATATATTGCATTTTCAACTTCTGGTCCCCTGTCAAGAAACTGATTTTTAAATATCATAAGTAAAACTATTAGATGATTTTAAAATGAAGGGAAAGTCCTATAAGTGTGTATCTACTATATTGTATAGAATAATAACATATCTATATTTACTTTTTCCCTTTCATTTGGACTTTAAATCTCCTGTCACGTTCACATGGAATAGGTTGATTTTGCTCCTGACAAGCAGGATCCTGAGTGCATCTAAAACCTTTGTCGTTCTGTCTGTAGCTCTCAGTTGCGGTGTCTGAAGCTAAAGAGAGATGGAGGAGCGAGCTGGAAAACGCTAGGAAGAATGCTGCGCCCAGGCCAGAGCTGGAAGAGAAGATCCGCGCTCTGCAGAAGGAGCTGGAGCTGAAGAGCGAGGAGCTCCCCATGGCGGTCAGAGCCGAGCTGGCCAAGGCGCGGAGTGAGTGGAACAAAGAGAAGCAGGAAGAAATCCACAGACTGCAGGAGCAAAACGAGCAGGATTACCGGCAGTTTTTAGACGATCATCGAAATAAAATTAACGAGGTGCTTGCGGCAGCCAAAGAAGACTTTTTGAGACAAAAAGCAGAACTGCTTTTGCAGAAGGAGACCGAGTTACAAGCCTGTCTAGACCAGAGCCGGAGGGAATGGGCCATGCAGGAAGCCGGGCGTCTCCAACTCGAAATCCATCAGTACGAGGAGGACATCCTGATGGCCCTTAGCCTCCTCCTAGGGGACACTCCGGAGGAGGACGCGGATGGTTCCGAGGACAAGCAGCTTTTGGAAATCATGCTGGCTTGCTCTTCCAAGTGGGCGTCTACGCAGTATTTTAAGAAACTAAAAGCCTGCATAAGGAAAGCCCTGCAAGGCATGCTTAGCTTACATGCAGGAGATGCCGGGCCAGAATGGGAAAAGGTACGTTCCCACAAGCGAGTGGAAAGAGCTATCCAACAGCCTCAGGATGATTGTCAGAGTTGCCATGGTATTTTTTTCCTTTTTTCATGTTTACAGTTCAATGGTTGTAAGACTTGGTATTTTTACCAGTGGTTTAAAAAAATATTTTGTAGTAGGATTGCATGTTTTCTTGCCAAAGAAACTTTACTGGTTCAAATATGAGAGAGCTTTTAGCCTCTAGCTGTCTTTTTTTAAAAACAATAAGAGCCTTATTTTTGTCTTCTGGGCCCAACCACTTCAAGAAATATAGCATGTTAAATTAGAGGTTCTTAAAATCTTCTGAAGAGCTTGGAAACCTGTGCTTGCCCTCAGTGAACTTACAGTTTATTTAGGCAAAAAATGCCAAACAAGCACAAAAAAGTATTGGTGCAGAAACCGTCAAATGAGAGGTCTGGTTCACTCATGCAAAACCTTCAGGTCTGGCCTCACTGGTGCAGTATAAATGTGCGTGTACTGCTTTAGTTGTGTAAGTACTTTCTGAGACCAGCATTTAGCTCGTGTGGAAGGTGTGGTAAAGCCAAAGTCCAGCTTCTGTGTGATTAAAGAATTAGGTATGCAGGAAAGGTCCAGAATGATGATCTGGGTCTTGTAATAGCCAGTTTCAACATTTGGACTTAGTGATGGAAAAAATGCCAATCTTATGAGGATTGTCTGAGAGAAGAGTGGAGATAAGAGTTAAAGTCTGTCAAAATATCATGATTCAAGGCCAGAACGGAGCGTTTGTTATTAGTACCTACAGGAAAGAGTTAGCAACTAGGAAAGAAATCTGAGTTCCAGCACTTGGTGATGATGACTTATTACTTTGGGCAAACATATATTAAGTTGTCCATCTGAAAGAGAATTCAAGTCCCTGCTGAATTCCTTAGTGGGGTAGGATACCTGAAACAGTGTGGGCTTTCTGCATCCTGCATGGGAAACCGCATAGAATTTTAGGCCAGAGGAGTCTGAAAGATCGTTCTTCCTGGGGGTTGCTTTCATCCTTGAATTCGCAAAGACGATGCCAAGGAGCTAAGATGGCAGCCTGCGAGCAGTGCTTGGTAGTTTATTGAGTGTCTTTGGAGAAAATAGATGGCAAAAACAAGGAAAATTCTGGAGCAGGGTTCAGACAAAAGTAGAGAGAAAATTACTTATAATACTTTCAAATTTGCCGTCCTACAAAGATAGTTTCTGCTTTAAACTACAGCATCAGCACATTTCTCCTACTGTTCATATCCACCCTGCCACGCTGGAAATGTTCTGGGCTTTCAGAATGTTCTGAACTTCATATGAAATCAACCCTGGAGTCTTTTTTTTTTTTTTTTTTTAAACAGGGCTGTGTAAACAGTATAAGATCATCTATGTGACTTAACATGACTTATAAGTCTGCGGAGACAGACTCATATAATCTGGCTAAGAATATAGACTTTTACAGCTTTGGTTGGGTGGGTTGGATTCTGTTCTGAGAAAAGGGATGACTGAAATGCCTACTCTGGCATCTGTCATAGAAGTCACATTTGACCTCCTGCCTCTTCTGAGCTAACGCAGGAGTCAAGGTAAAGCAATGATTATGAATTTGCAATTGACCCGGCATAATGTGAGGAATAGATTTATAATGTATTAAAATTGTAGTATTTAAATTGTTCATAGAAGTGAAAAGAGTAAACATTATGTGTCTAAAGTCCTCATTAAAATGAATAAAAGAATCAAAAGTTTTCTAAGATGGAGAGAATACAGCGAATGAAAAATGTAGTTTCTAAGAAATAATGTCTTTTCAAAACACTTTAACATGATAGTTGACAGTGAGTAAAAAAAATATCAACTGGAACAGAATTTTGGGGCAAATTGAAGGATGCATATTCTATCTCCTCTAACTGAAGATCAGGTTAAATCTAAGGATGAAAGATTGCTTTCCTACCTTTTAAAATTTTATTTATTTATTTGCTTATTTATTTGGGTCATCTTGGCTTTTCTGCTGATTCTGAGTGGAAACCAGAGATGCTGACTGCCTCTGGGGTGAGCTTGGGTTACTCCTTTGCACCTTTAGCTCTCAGCCTTCAGGGTGTATAATAAACCTTCCCTCCCGTATTTCCCGAGCAGCCCTTCTGCCATCGCTGTAGAGAGGCTCTCCAATCCCCCTGTAAGTGCATTTCTTACCCTCAGGACCAGGGCTTTTGCAGTCTAATACACAGTGTCACTGATTTATCAATAGCATGTGCTCCATTGTCCAAAATGAGGATATTGCCTTAAAATCAGTGAGCTTTGTAAGGAAGTTGTATCACCTGTCATACAGCACGTTCCCTGCACGTGTTGCTGAGGGAAGGGCCGCCAAAGATGTTCAGTTTAGCTGAGCCTCAGGGTTCCGTCTTCCACTGGGAACACAGCCGGCCTTTCCTCCCCAAAGACTCATGTGCACAAGCATTTAGGAGCACGTAAGTAACCTGTCAATTAAAAGTTGCTTTGTTGTTTTCAACTTGGAGGAGGTGTTACCCTTGCAAATGAATTTGACCCTGATGCAACAAAACTGTTCTGGATTTGCAAGAAGAATTTTGATTTCCTGCAGTTCAGTCACATAAACCATCCCAATGGTCACAAATTCGTGTGTGAAGGTACAAACTGTTCCCTTAAGCATACTGATTGGCTCTGTGGTCATTGGAGCCAGTCCTTTGCACGGTGACAGGAGCAGAGTCCTTTTTGTGTTTTTCCTCTGAATATGCTAAATAGACATGTGTGTGGTGATTTTCATGAGGTATTAATGATGAAGGTGATGTATTTCAGAGGAGCACGGCCCAGCCTTCCATAGGCCCTGCCAGCAGAGGAGACCCCGGGGTCCCAGCGCCTCAGCCCAGACCCCCTGCAGGACCCGATGCCCAGCCCTCAGCGTTGCTGGAAGCAGCCCCAGGAGCTGGTAATTGGATTTCATTTCCATCAGGTTTGATAGCGTCCACAGTCACCACCACAGAGGCTGGCTTTGGGGACTCGAGGACATGAAATTTTATCTGACTGGACTGTTCCGCTTGTGGGATGCCTTTTGCACTTAGACACAGGGCTGATTGACTTCTGCCTTTGTGTGGATTTCTCTCCTTGCACAAGGATTCTTACTGCAAGGAGAATGATGAGAGTTTCCATGGAGGAGTCACACTTTTGTTCCCTCCTGTTGGGAAACCAGGGTTTTGCATAAAAGAACTGCCAGGTAGTGGAGATACTCTCATTCAGATTTCTGATGTGAATTTCAATCCTCGTTTTTTGTTTCTCCTTTTGTTTGTGTTTTGCAATTCTGGGGATTGGGCCTAGGGTTTCTACACTGAGCTAACTCCCCAGGCTTTTTATTTTTTTGAGGCAGGGTCCCTCTTGAGTCACTAAATGGCCCAGGCGAGGCTAGAATTTGTGATCCTGCTGCCTCAGCCTCCCAGAGTGCTAGGATTACAGGGGTGCGCCACCATGCCTGGGTTTCAATCCTTGTTCAGTGCAATTCTTTCTTAAGTGTATTAGATGTTTTCCTAGTTTAGTGTGGAGTTTATTTTTTCAGGGCAGGGGTAGTGCTTTTTAATTTCTTTCCCAACACGCGGCATGTGAACGGTAAGTCCTGTGTATTCTCAAACAACATCTGAAGAATTCATACTTTGACTTTTTTTTAGTGGCTTAAACTGGTCATGATGGGAAAATAAGGTCATGCTCGGACCCCAGCCGCTTGTGTTCAGAGCGCTGTTACTGAGCAGCGAGGGACTTGTCCTGCCTGGTCCCTGGGGTTTCTGAGCTCGGAAATGGCACGTCCTTTGCGTGTCTCAGCCTTTTTTCAGCCATTGGCTCTCTGTAGCCTGCTCGTGCCTTGAACACACTAACACACGTGTGCACTGTCCTTTACTGCTTCTTGTTTGCTGTTTCCATTGCAACCTGGAGAAGAACTAACAGTGGCCAGGGCAGATCACATGTCCTATATCTCCCTTCCTCTGCACACGTTTCTGATTCAGCAGTGTCTGATCAGCTCGGCTCCTCTGCCTGTGCTGATGGTCAGCTGATAGCTGAAATTTTTCCCACCGATTCCAGATCACTTTTCCTTATTTCCAATTCAAATAGGAATATCTTATTGCCAGTTAGTTGGGTAGTAATTCTACATTACTTTGTATCTTTCGTCTGACTTTATATTTTATATCAGAAACGGAATAGCATGTACGCACGCACCATACACGTTTTTTTTAAATTTTCTTTCTTTCTTTTTTTTTTTGAGACAGGTTCTTGCTTTGTAGTGCAAGCTGCAGGCTGGCCTTGAACTCACTGTGCAGTGCAGGCTGGCCTTGAACTTGCAGCGGTCCTCCCAAGGATCGCCGATGTGTAACACCATCCCTGGCTGAGAAATATGTCTTCATATGTGACATAGAAACAAATTTTAAGTTACTTTCTAAGGAAGTCCTAGGAGTGAAATTTTGTCCTATAAAAGAAATTGGTTTGGGGTAAAGACAAATCATAACTATTAAAGATTTTGTCTTTGGTTTTCTTTTTCAATCTTTTTTCATTAAAACAAACACTAATAAATTCATGAGCAAGAACTGAATCTAAAGTATATACTAAAAGATAAAGCCCTGCCAGGCACAGTGGTGGCACACACCAAATAATCCCCGCACTTGGAGGCTGAGGCAGGTGGATTGCAAGAACCTGGGCAATTTAGCACCTTAATGAGAACTTGGCTCAAAATAATAAACGGAAAAAAGACTGAGGGAGAGCCCTGCTAAAGGCCTAGGGTTTAATTCTCTGGTACAAAAAAAAAAGTCCTTTAAGATCTTACCACTAGGGAGCACTACCATCAACGGTATGGTATGTTAACTATGGAATACTGGACACTTGCACAAAGTGTAATGCACTGGTGGGTGGTGAAGCCTAAGGACTAGGAATTCACCACCCGCTTCAGCGGCAGCTTGGCCCCAAGGCTGCTGGTCTGCAGTTCCATGCCCACCACATCACCCAACCCGAGGGAACAGATATTGTTGATTGTTTAAAAATTAGTTTTCAAAAAAAAAAAATTAGCTTTCTAATCTTTTGATCAAATATATATATAGCTTTAAATCATTGCTTTATTTTTTGTCTAAACATAAAAAATGATTTTGTGCTCATTCTATTCTGTACGTTGCTTTTTTCCTCTGCGTACCCTGATGTTACTAGGGTTTGTCCATGCAGACGCACTGATCTCTGGTTCATTCATTTTCTGTACTGCGTAGAGGTTTCTCTTATGACTATACTTTTGGGTTCTCTTGCCAATGAACAATTGCTTGGTTTCCAAGCTTACACCAGTATCTCAAGAAATATAGTATCAGTCTGTGGTACCTGGATGATTTGCATTTATCTAAGATACCTTTTATTTTTTTTTTTAATGTTTGAAATTCTGTGTTACTACTGGTGTCCATAGCTGTCATTTATCATGTGTTTTCTGTGTGCTGGCACAACACCCAATTATTCTTATATACTTGTATCTCCTAACAGTTTAAAAACATGATTATTTAAAATTTGGAGATAAGCCAGGCACAGTGGCGCAAGCTTGAGACCAGCCTGGGATGCAAAGCTCAAAGCCAGCCTGCACTGCACAGTGAAACCCTGTCTCAAAAAGACAAAATAAAATGGGATTTGGAGATAATTTCAAACTTACAGGAAAGTGACAAAAATAAAATAGTTGCCCAGAACGCTCATATGCCCTTTGGCTATATCGTATATAACATTTTACCTCATTTTGTGCTCTTCAGTGTATGTGTGTATATATTAATTTCCATTTTTTCCACCTCAGCCATTTGAGGATAAGATAGATACACTGTGACCTTTTATGAATAGGAACATTTCCTCGCATAGCCTGAGTGTTGTAAATTGGACACTAGATCAAAGCACCCACACGTGCTGTTGTTTGTGCTGCAGTGCTGTTGTTCGACCCAGTGACGTCTTGCACCACGTTTTCCCCTCCAGTGCGAGGACCTGTCTGGGACCCGGAATTACATTCACCGGTCCGTCTCTTCGTCTCCCTTTCCTCAGCCTCTCGGTCTAACAGCTCATTGCATCACCCTTGTTTGCCTGAACCTTTCTTGTTCTGGGTTCTTTTACGTTTCTTCATGACTGGTTCAGACTGCGCGTTCCCGACTGGCACCCTGCGTGGGCGACAGGTTTTCACATTCAGGAGTGGGTGAGTTTAATTTGGATCGTCTGGTCCCACATTGCTTCATTTCTTCATCACATCATTGTTGGGCTTTTTTCTCCTTTTCAACCAATGAGCACCCTGTGAAGAGACACAACAAGACCATGTAAATACCCTCATTAAGCTCTCAGATTTGGCCATCATTGGTGGTTCTTAGCAAATCTAGTCTTTACCACGGTGCTTAAAGAGTGACCATCTTTCCAGCTGCAGACTTGCATCTGCTTTTTGCCACTGCCTGTGGTTGTAATGAAAAACCTGTCATTTCCCGTCATTTGCCTGTGTGTGTCCTTATCTCTTTGTGCCCTTCTGTCCATCCACCAACCTCCTTACCAACCACCCTGCAAGCTTTTTGGTTTGACTTACAAATTCCTCTTTACCCAGCACTGTGTAAGTCGGGTCAGATGGTCTGAGATTCAGCTAGTGGGACCCCTTCGGACTGACACTGTGTCCTCGTGACATGCCTGTGCTTCTGAGTACTCACTTGCTTTTTGGCACAACAGGGTAGTTCAGGCTCGTTACTTTGTCCAACAGGGAGGCAGCCCTTTCTCGAAGGTTCTTTCCAGTGGGGAGTGGGGTCAGTACTAACATCTGAGCACTGGGTTTCACGGCAGGTGGTACTGTCCAGTTCTGCCTATTTAAGGACAAGCCTCAGAGAGGAGAAGTAATTTGCTTGGAGTCCACAGCCAGTTGGGAGTGAACAGGATTTAAGCCAGGCCTCTGTCCAAAGCATCAGACTCTGAGATACACCGTAGCTTTTTGTCTTGAGTCACCTCACCTTGTTCTATCTCTTCCCTTCCTTTTTCCTTTCTTTTCTCTCAGTCTACAATGACGAAGTTTCATCATTTAATTTTTGCAGATAAGAAAGAGGTCCCTGAAATTAAGGATCTGTGCTGTGGACAGTGCTCCCAAGAACTTGAAAAGTCAAAGCAAGAATGCCAAGACTTGAAACGGAAACTGGAGAGGAGCTGCAGGCATCTTCAGCATTTGGAGAGGAAGCACAAAGCCGTGGTGGAAAAGATTGGAGGTCAGCATCGAAAGGCCATGCCGCCACCAGGATAAAGCGCTTTGATCTTTGTTGGAATATTCCAACATGACGGTTCTGTTGATGTGCACCCCAATTCTCTTTGGGGGGCGCATCTCCTTTTTACTAACCACGTTGTTAGTAGATCAGATGGGGACAGCGTCACTTCCCCGAATGCGTCCATTGCTTTCTTCCTTCCCTGCCGAGGGTCCCTGGGCCTCAGGCCGAGTGCTCGGCTCTGCAGGGCCGCCTGCTCCATGGCTGGCCGGCTGGGCCCTGGCCAGGGAGAGGGCGCTGCACCCGGGAGAAAGGCAGGAGCAGAGGCAAGTAGGGCCGGGCTGGCGTCACAGCACTGCCAGGCTGCATTGGAAGGGGCGCCCTCCCTCCTCACCCCGCCCCTGGTCCGAGGTCCTCTCATCTCCCGGGTTTCAGGTTCCTGCTCTGGCCGTGCTTTCCTTTCCCTGTCCTGTCCTGTACTTTCCCGCCCTGCGCTCTTTGGCTACTCTGCTCCCCACGGCAAAGCCCTCCTCGTCCGTGACCTTTGGCTGGCTGCCCGCTGCTCTGTGCAGACTTCCCAGAGACAAGGGTCTGTCCTGTCCCAGCCACCCTCACGGGGATGGAGCCCACCAGTACCAGTCTCTGAATGCAGAGCAACCCTGAGTGTGTTGTCCACAGAGAGCAGGCGGGTGGGTTCACTTGCTTTCTGCATTCCCTTCCTCTCGCCTGGACAGTGGGAGTCACTCCTGAGCTGTCCACCTGTCATTCATAGGGCAGCTGAGTTGTGACCCATCCTTGTTAAAAGCTCTTCATCACTGACTACCAACACTGAAGTGTCACATGATCCATAATGCTCTGCCGCCAAGCTACGTCCGCTCTGAGTCTCACTAAGTTACCCAAGTGAAACTCATATTTGGTGATCCTCCTGCCTCAGCCTCCCTCCGTGCTGGGATTATAGGTGTGCGCAGCCACTCCTGGCTTCTCCAGCCCTCTTCCTCTCACAGTAAAGCCGTGGCATAGTCTAAGCATCGGTCACAGTGCTGTCATTGTCTCTGGGCTCTGAGTTCCTTGTCCTTTCTGTTGATCAGCACTCTAATCTCATTGCCAGGCAGACCCCGCCTGGCCTCTCACTAGGCGCCGAATCCCTGGCCAGGGCCTCCCGAGCCGCGGTCCTCGTAGCACCCGTGCTGTCTCTCATCACCATCTCTGTGATTGTTGACTGCCTCACTCCCCGTGTGGGTGAGACTCCATGTGCCAGGAGTCAAGCCCTGTCCACGTGCTTGGGATGGCGCCCCAGTGCCCAGCATCAAGTACAGCCTTGGTCAGTGTCACCTGAGCAGTTGCCCCTGCCCCCTGCTGCCACCAGAGATAGCCAGGCAGGCCTTTCACCACATGGAGACAAACATTTAACAGCGCTGCTTCTCTGTGACCCTTGGTTCTCCGAGGCCAGCGGAGCCAGTGAGGCCTTTGTGTAGGTGCAGATAAAGTACAGCTCTTTAAGATGCGCTGAACAATTTAGTGGCAGTAGCAGTTGGGTAAGATTATTTTTCATAAGCAAATACTGTTTGGCCTTGCACACTGTGACCGTTAGTTATTTCTCATAGTGATGTGTGAAGCAGACAGTTTCTGTAGCTCAGGGACTGTGAAGTAATCCCCAAAAGTCATCGCTTCCCTCAAAACATGGGCTGATAAGGAGCGGTGACTGGACCATGGTCACAGGGCCCAGGCGCCTCAGGGCCAGCCCGCGAGTGTGTGGAGGTGGGTGGGTGGGCACGGGCTTGCCGGTTGACCTGCCTCTACCGCCCTCCTGCTGTCACGGTCTCTGAGGCTTCTAGCACTGGGGCTGAAACCCAGCCCACAGAGTCTCAGCGATGGGCCCAGCTGCTCAGAGGCCGGGCCCCAGTTAAACCATGTCTCTCTGACCCTAGAATTCAGGCTCGTTTGGTTTCACACCACACAGACTTACTGGTCTCCTCATCTTTTGCAAAGCTCAGAGAATAGGAAATCTGACATTATTTCCAGAAGTGGCCCGTACTTCAGGTGAAGTTTATTGTCACTATTCAGTGCCCACATAGATGGGCACTGACTGTAGACACGGGGACATGGGGTGGCCTCAGACCCGGGTGGGAACCGCTTCCCTGTCAGGGTGTAACCCAAGGGAAGGGGGCCATGGAGGACAGATTTTCAGTGCTGACACAGACCAGGGAGTGGTCGGACCAGGGCTGTCGGGGACGGATGGCAGGACAGCAGCTGGGAACAAGGCTGCAGACATGCGTGTTGGGGACACAGCGGGAGGGAGGGTGGGGAGGAACTGATGCACTGGAAACTTTCTTTTGTAGAAGAGAATACTAAAGTTGTTGAAGAATTAATAGAAGAAAACAATGACATTAAGAATAAATTGGAAGAGCTGCGAACGTTGTGCAAAGTGCCACCAAGGTAGATGTTTGCTATTTTAGAACCATCTTATTTCTAAGTAGCATTACATTTTCAGACCCTTATTATTTTTTATGTAGCAAAAACTATAAAAGAGAAAAAGGAAACCCCAGACCCTACCCTTAGAAGATACTCCAGGTTATGTCCTTGATTTGTATCATTTAAGCCACTTTCTGTACACATACCATGTGCACAGCATGTTTTTAAAATTTGGATTATGATAACCCTTCATTAATATGATCAGGAAAGCATTTGTCCTAGTTTTTTGTGTTTTCCTACTGTATGCTTTTCAATAGCTTTAGACATTTTCATTACGCGGCTGATCCTTTTCTTTATCCCCTTTCTATCCTTTCTTTCGCAGTATTGGGAATCAAATCCAGGGCCTTTGTGTTGAGCTACATCCTCCGCTCTTTCCTTTTTATGTTGACTCAGGTCCTCCCCAAGTTGCTCAGCTGCCTGGCTGGGCTTGCACTTGCATCCTCCCAGGTCGGCCTCCCGGAGTGCTGGGGTGACAGGCGTGCACCACCACGCCTGGCGACTGTTCCTTATCTAAGCCAGCACCGCGCTGCACTGACTCCCCTTCCCTTCTGTGCAGTGGGCGTCCTGGAGTGTGAGCCCTTAGCGCCTCTCATGGCTCGCGTAGGGACATGGAGTCCGTGTCTGTTTCTCAGGCGGAGCTGTGCGCTCAGCGTATGTCTGCCACCTCTGCTTTGTCTCAGGTCACAGTCAGAGGGGGCCGCGGAAAGCGCTTGTCGGCCCAGCAACCAGCAGGCCTTGGAAGAGCTCCGTGGGCAGTACATTAAAGCTGTCAAGAAGATTAAGCGTAAGTTTCTGAAGACATTCCTGGGGTTTAGGAAGGGATTGGGCCATTTTATTGCTGTGAAACATAAACTGGGAATTTCCCCCAAAATTACCTTTAATACCATGAATACCATTTTCAGAGTTTGTACTCATGGGTCGTTTGGCCCAAATACTGTCCTTTGGAAGAGGCATGAAAATAGAATTACTTTTATGTTGCTGCCTATCCCATTTTTGTTGTTTAAACATTTCTATAAACTTCAAATTTAATAATCTTACAATCTGAATAAGTTGTGGTGAGGAAAATGGCAAGTGAGTTTTAAATTAGTGATTATTACTTTCTAGTATAAACTCTTAGGGCCTTGGGCAGTGAATGTAGTTGGGAATCTGTTATTTCTCATTTTTATTTCAAATAGCTGTAAATTTGTTTGCCAAGTCTTGGTCGGCATCTTGTCTATGTTTCCTCAATATAGAATACGTCCTCCTTTCTCATTCCCAGATTGCCCAAAGTGCATGTATGTCACAACATACCAACTTGTGTTTGCACAGGAAAATGTGTGTTTGCCTCCTAAAATTGTATTCACTTTTTTAAAGAACAAGAACAGATCTCAGATTCCAAATATAGTGAGTGGATGTCAGAACTGTTCTGAAAAAGCTCCTTCAGTATCACGTAGGAGGACTCGCATCTCAGTTCTGGCTGGTGCTGACCCAGGGTGCATTCTGCAGACAGAGCAGTTTCTGAAGCTATAAACGTTTCTTCTAATTGTGTGTGTGTGTGTGTCTGTCTGTCTGTCTGTCTGTCTGTCTGTCGAGATGCCTGGAGGTTGTATGTCGACCCTTCACTTTCCAACTCAATGAAAAAATCACCTCATTACTATTTCTGCGTAGACCATCTTATTTTCAGATGCTTGCTGGCATTAATGGAGCCATCCCTATGTGAATCAGCCTCACTTATAAGCACGGGGACAGTCCAGATGGGGGGTGTTGTCCTGGGCCTAATAACAGCAGTTTGCCCTAACTAATCCTAGGCCCAGTCAGAGCCTCCTCGAGGTAACAGTGAGAAGAGAGTTTAATAGCCATGAGCAGTGACTTCGGGTACATTCCAGGAGAAAGCTGACCGCCGGCACCCTTCTGGCAGTGGCCTTCTGTTGCTCATGGCTTCTTCTCTCTCATGGGCTGTGACACTGTGTTTATTTAGCTACTTAGGCATGAAATAACAAAGGAGTGTGGACCTTCGGGTGGAAGAGAAAAACCAGAACCCAGCTCCTCCTCCTACCGCCTGCTGCCGCGTCCCAGTGTCTGCTTTCCTCTCCCTTTCCTGCCCATCCCATGGGCCTCACGTCCGGTTGCAATGTTGGTGTTTCTGTGACGCATATTTATGTCATTTCCTTGTTCACATGTTTTTGGAATGTGATGAAGTCCACCACGCTCCCTTCCCATGTGTGGCTGTTGTCCATTCAGAAGGACCATCAGGTCGCTTCCCTTGGGTCCTTCCGAGAAGGTGGACCGGGGTGGTCCAGGTGTCCCACAACGGTTAAACTCCCCCTCCAGCCAGTTCCTCTCGCAGGACGTTGGTCTGCGGTCTGTCCCCTCGCCCCGCCACAGTGCTCACGCTGCGACTCTCCCTGTTCAGGTGACATGCTGCGATACATCCAGGAGAGCAAGCAGAGGGCCGCAGAGATGGTCAAGGAAGAGGTGCTGCGGGAGCGCCAGGAGACGGCCCGCAGGATGCGCAAGTACTACCTGATCTGCCTGCAGCAGATCCTGCAGGACGATGGAAAGGGCGAAGGGTAAGCCCGGCCCGACGGACAGCTGGGAACAGCGCCATGTCATTCCCTGAGCATTTCCCGCAGCCCCGGAATGAGCCCTTCCCCACCCACCTCTGGGGATCCAGAGAGGCTTAGGGTTGACACTGCCCAACTGTTGGCAGAGCGGAGGGGAAGACAAATCCTAGAGCTTAGGAAACGTCATCTCTTCGCATAAACTGTTTTAGTTTTGTGCTCTGGAATTCCCCACAGGGCCGAGAAAAAGATCATGCACACTGCTAGCAAACTGGCCACCATGGCGAAGTTGTTGGAAACGCCAACTTCTCACCGGCTCCAGGGCAAAGCCACACAGCCAGGTGCGTGCGGATGGGTCACCTGGGTGGCTTTTCTGTCTCCTCTGTGTGTGTGGTTAGTGTTTCTCGTATGAAAAAGGGTGGAAGGGTAAGGAATGGGAGCCAGCTTATGAAGTGGTGTGTGTGGGTTCACCTGACCCGGAAATTTACACAGAGGAGCAGAGCGTCTCCAGCTGAGTAGGTGAACGGAGCATCCCCACCGCTGCCTGGTGTTGCTTCTGACCCTTGCTAGGCCAGAAAAGCTGTTAAGCAACAAGCAAAGAATGAAAAAAATAAAAAACCATAACTGAGTTTTAAATGGTGATAATCAAAATATATTAGATGCATCTATGGGAATACCACACTGAAACTCAGTATTTGCAGATAAAAGAGGCACTAATAAAACACATATTTAAAAAGAAGGGAGAAAAGTTTGTAATGAGTATACCAGAAGCTGTGAGAAATTCCTGGGAGAAAGAAGATGGTGTAAGATTGAAGATGGGAAACTTCAGGTCCGCTGCCAGGCGATGACAACCACACGTAGGCGAAATACCAAGACTGTGCCCTGTGAAGCCGCTGCGCTCTGGGCTCTGCGGTTACCTCCGGGGTAATTAGTTGCTGTTGTGGAGCAGCGACAACCAGGTGGTCTCCCTCCCTCTTTTTCTCCCATTCCGCTGGACCGCAGCCACAGAAGCGTGGGTCAAGGAGCAGGCAGAGTTTCCAGAGGCCAGAAAGAAGGGGACCCAGGTGCCCAGGCCGCCAGCTGCTAGCTTTTACCAGGATTAAACTCATGACCTCGCAGGTGCCTGTGCTGCTGAGTGACACCCCTACCCAGCTGCTAGCTCTTCATGACCTGCAGCTCATGCTCCTTCACTCCCTAATGCCTGGCGTAAGAGGACAGACGCATTATTCACAGCATCTCAAAGACAAGCATTCAACCAAGAATCACACAGATGGATGGAAAGCTACCACTCTGAGAAAGCATCAAGCTAACAGTGAAGCAAAACCAATACAATGTGTACCTACCTACAGCAGTAGTGTTTATGGATCAAATGAGGGGGCCTGAGAATATAGAGGGTAGTGTCCTTAGAGAAGAGGCAGAGGAGGCATCGCAGAAACTGAGATTGTTATTTTCAGGGAGATAATGTAGATACTGAAAGCACTAGCCCTTCCTGGAAAAGTACAGATTTATGTCTACGTGTTGTAATTTAAAGACGACTAACAAAGAAATAGGGAACATATAACTTTCAAATTAATAGAGGAAAACTTTGGAAAAAAATTTCAATCTAACAAAATCAGGAAAGAGGGAGAAAAAGCTAGAAAACCTGGATAACTGGAAAAGAATAGCATCAACAGTCAAATAAATATGACCAGGTTAAATTGACATGAAAGCCCACAGCTTGCCCGGGGTGGCATACGTGACTATAATCCCAGCACTCAAAAGGCTGAGGCAGGTGGGTCATAAGTTCAAGACCAGCCCGGGAAACTTAGACACTTAGTGTGAACCTATCTCAAACTTAAAAAAAATCTGGAGCTGTAGCTCAGTGCAAGGGCCCAGGGTTCAGTCCCTACTAGTGTCCCCCTGCCCCACCGGAAACAAAAACTACAACTTTCAAATAGGAATTTACCTTTTTTATAAGAATTTCTAAAATGCAAAATAAAAGGAAGATGAGTGGTATACCAAGCAAACACAATGCTGACATTAGATAAATTATAAAGAGAAGTTCAGTGTTGAGATAAATTAGCATTAAGATGGATTGATGATAGTTCATAGTAATAACGGAACACTCGTAAGAAAGTACAACTTCTCTTTCTGTGTATAACATAGTTTAGAAAGTATGAGCTGATAGAAATACATGGAAAATGAAAAAAAAAAACAAAACCACACAATACACACCGTCACCCTAGGAGATATAAAACGAATCTGTCAGGATGGAGTTTTTGAATTTCTAGAAAATTTGAAACAGCGATGATTCAGAAATCCATGAAACATTCCTCATATAATTTTACTGAAATTTTATTTTTATGCCTCAAATGATTTTCTAAATCTGGCATAATGGTGCAAATAATGTCCTGATACAGCCAACTCTTTCCACGGATGCTAGAGATCAAGACACAGTGTTGTGAGGTTTGCCTTTTCTGGTTTTATGCCGTGTGGCTGTTGTGTTTCTGATCTGATTTGGGATCCCAGCCAAGAAAATCAGAATGCAGTTAGCTTTTACAGAGGTGTGTGTGCACGCATATCCATGTGTGTGTGTGTCTTGGGTTGTTGGGTTGCTTCTAGAAAACTTTCTCTGTGGCAAACTCCATCTCTGACCTCAGAATCAGCAAAAACGTTGCAGCTGGCTCTGAAACCCTGTAGCAGCTACTGCAGAAGGGATGGCTTGGGTGGATGACAGTAACAATATATCAGATTCCAGCAACAAAATTACTGAGCTTTATTCCCTTGATGGTATGAAAGAGTACTTTTTACAGTTCTGGCACTGATGCATTTTCTTCAAGAAGGGTTAAAGTACGTTCGCATTTTTTGAGAAGACTTATAACCATCACTGCATTCTTTTTTACATGTCAGTTTTCTCCTAGTGTGCATTCCCCTGATTTTGTTTTCCTTCATGTGCAGCAGCACTGCCCCTGGCTTCGGAGATGCTGGCTGAAGCTCAAGAATCGACAAATGATGTGGCCCCAAGTGCCCTGAGCTGCCCTGGAAGTGACCAGGAGAACACAGCAGCCGGCCCCCGACAGGCTGTTACCAAGAGAGCTGCCTGTGACTTGCAGAAGCGCTGGGAGGATCCCGAGCACACAGGCCTGAAGCAGGTGGGCTTCAAAGGGTCACCTTCAGACTTCCAGTTTGGGGACAGTCCTTGCAAGCACAAGGACATTTCACCAAAGAGTATTTCTCCCGAGTTCTCGCTGTGCAAAGGTGAAGGAGGCCTGGCTGTACCCGGGAGGAGAGAACTACGCAGCACCCCGGCCTGTGCCCCGTTTCTGCAGCCAGCAGCGCCCGCCCCGCACGGGAGCCTTGGCAGTCAGCCCTGCGCTGGACACAGGCCGGTGCTCACAGAGTCAGGGTGCATGCTCGAGGAGGACGCCACTCGCCAGCCGAGTGGTTCTCGTGTCCAGGAAGTGCCAGTGAAGGATGGCGGGCCCCTGGCGGACTCGCTGGGCTGGCTCTCGGACAGCGCCACGCCGTCCTGTCCTAGTCTCGAGGTGTCATTTTTATGCGATCAGCCCCAAGGCACCCTGGATGTGCCCAGTGAACCCATGAAGTTTGAGCCCTTCTCAGCAGCGAGTGGCTTTTCCACCACAGAGGAAAGTGGTGCAGATGAAGCCAGGCGTCCCCCGCCAGGAAGGCTACACAGGACTCGGGGACCCCCGTCTTCCCCAAGGGCTGCTCCGTGGGGGAAGTCGGGGTTCAGAACTCTGAGCAGTGCACTGCCTTCCCAGACGCTCAGCGCCCACCTGTCCAATCAGCAGGACAGTGGCTTCGACAGCCCATTCGTCCACCCGGACTAAGCATGCACAAGGTGGAGGGAACCACCGTCCGTCCACGGGAAGCTGAAAGAGAAGGCTTCAGACCGGAGAAGCCGTGGGCTCTGCCTGCGTGGAGATGTTTTAATAACAGCTTTTATTACGAGTAAAGTATTCTCATAAAACTCCTCGGGATATTTATGTCGCCTTCATCTTCCAAAGGCCGGATGGCGAATATGTGACCTGCTGTTTTGTGGTGCTTGTATTTGGTTGCTAAACCATCTATTTTTATACTCCTGAGTTGGCTCAGTCTGCTGTGTTATTTAAATAAAATTGCATGTGATCTACACTTGTTGTGAGTTACTTTATATCGTGTGATACAGACGTGTTATCTTGACATCACATTTGAAATTCACCTAGAAAAAGTACAATAGAAGCTTGACTTGCATGTATGACCAGTCAAATCTGATTTTTAAAGTTTGTCGTTTCTAAAGCTATGGGCTTAAAATAGATGCACTTTCCCTGAAAAATATCTACTTAAAATTCTAGCCCTTGTGCTTAAAAGAGGTTTCATAGGCCAAGCATGGTGACGTGTGTTTGCAATCCCAGCCCTAGGAGGCTGAGGCAGGGGGATGGCAGTTGAGTTTAAGACCAGTCTGGACTACATACTGTATTCAAGGATAGCCTGAGGTATGTACACAGTGAGACCCTGTCTCAACCTGTGCCCTGTAGGGATTTTGTTACAAAATGCATAGCTCTGTCCTGGTTTCTTAACTTAAAATATTAGTCTGAACTTTTCCAGTTGATGCTTGAGTTACTTTAAATCGCCTGTGATATCATCCAGAGATTTGAGTCTTTGGGTGACATCATTTTTTTTCTTTCACCTGATAATAACTTTTGCAAATTAAAATCAACCTTTTTATGTAGTAAAAAGTGCGAAATTATTACCTTTTCCATTTGTAGTGCAGAATCTGCTGACTGACTGATGTTATAGTTGAAGTTTGTAATCCTGAGCTAAGGACAGGTTGCAGAAACATGATTACGGCAGTACAGATGTTTCTAGATGAGTTTTTTCAGATTCATCCAGAGGAGCAAGAGAATTTTAGGGGTATTCCAGCGATTCTGTAAACAGTTTTAGACTATGTTTTATGGATTACACTTTGAGGTTAACTCAGTAAATTTGTCCACCAGAACCAGGCCATTTTCATCCTCTGATTGCCGGCTCTAAAAAGCAGTGACCCAGAAGTGAAGCTTGAGAACTTGGAAAGTTCTGTCCCCTCGCCTGGTGACTGGATGTAGATGAGCCCAAAACCCCACACTGGATCTCGGAGTTTGAGTTCGGGGTTTCCAGCACCCAGGCGATGGCAGACCTGAGGGGAGCTGGACACAGCTTAGGCAGTGTGATCACACAAGTGCCCTCTTGTCTGGTGTTGATGCTTTCACCACGTTGCAGGGTTTCATTTGCTTGCGCTGTTTCAAGGGTTTTCTCGTATATATCCACAGGGGTGTTGCTTTCTCGGTTTCTCAGATCGCGGGCTTTCCTAGGTGAATGGGTGGCCCTGGTTAAGGGTGAGTTGAAAGCATTTCTCTGCCTCTGCCTGGGAGCACTGAGGGACTGCTGTTATTTCTCTGTTCCTACAGAACACGCCAGGTGAAGACGTGTAGTCTACGCTGTGTGTGCAGGGAGGGGTTTTAAAGGTAATTTCTGGTCACAGAGCTCTTCACAAGGTTCAGGTCTTTTCTGGGTTTGACAGGTTTTTACTTTGCATCTTGACCATTTCATCTGATTCGTGGACATTAAGTGGTCATAGTGTTCTCTTAATTTCCGTACCCAGTGATGGTGACTCCTCTTTCATTCTTGATTTTGGTATTCTGTGCCCCCTCATTTTTCTTAGTCTAGATAAATGTTTCTCAAGTTTGACGACTTCTAGAGAATTTTGGTTTTTAATTTTTTTACTTTTTCCTTTGCATTCTGATTTTGTTTCCTCCCTTCTGCTTGATTAGGTTTAATTCACCCTTTATTATAAAATGGTAGATGGTTGATGTAAAACTGTTCTAATGTGGACGTTTAAAACTTTGGCCTCTTTACATTGTTTAAGTTGCACCCTCTAATTTTGGATGTGCTGTAGTTTTGCCTTATTTCCAAGGATTGAGGGTTTAGTTCAGTCAGACAAGCTTTGCTTTTCCATTGGAATTTTTAGTCCATGAAAGTTGAATATAATTGTGGTTGGATTTGCACCTGCCATTTTGCTATTTATTTTCTGAATATCTTACATTTCTCATTAATTGCTTTTTTATTGTCTTTTATGTTTATGTGTATGAGGTTAATTACCCAAGTTTTTACTATTTTTTTTTATTTTCTAAGTGGTGACTGTCAGTATTATAATGGGCATCTAACTTTTTAGTCTATTTCAGATTAGTACTGACGAACATCTGATAAAATACAGCAACTTTCTTCCACATTACCTTTATCTTATTATTCATGTATAACAATATTTAAAACTAATGTCAATAGTTATTCTTTGTAAAAACACATCTTGTAAAGAAATTAGAAGTAGAAAGGGCACATACTTATAGTACATTTATGTTAATATATACTTACATATACTCACATATTAACCATTTCTGTCCATGCATTTAATTCCCAAGTCTCTTGTCCTTTCATTACAGTATTTCCTTTAGTATTCCATGTAAGCCCAAGATGCCAGGGACAGTTCTCTCAGTCTCTCAGTTTATTTCAGATTCATTTTAGGACAGTATTTGATGGATTTAGAGTTCTTGTTTAACAGCCACCGCCTCCAGATGGCTTCCACTGTCTTGGGACTACCATTCTTTATGCTGCGAGGTCAGCTGTTAACCGTACCATTGTCTTCTGCTGATGAGTTGTTTTTCTCCTACTGCTTTTAAGATTTTCTCTGTGACGTTCACCAGGCTGAGCAGGTGTGCACAGGACTGTATTGATCTCTGCCTATGCTACTTAGGTTTTGTTGAGCTTCTGGGGTTTGTGCATTAACCCTTTCTAAAAAGTTAGGGTTAGGCCGGGTGCAGTGGTACAGGCTTGTAACGCCCAGGCTAACGTAGTGGGATCACCACAGGCCCAAGGCCAGCCTGGGCTACCTGGAAAGTGCAAGTCTTGCCTAGATTACATAGCAAGACCCTGTCTGAACAGACAAGAACAAAAAAAATGAAGTTTAGGACATTTTATGGCCCTGATGTCTTCAGTTTTTTTGGAAAATTTGTGTTCCTTTTATTAGTGCCTATTAAGTTTATAAAATATCACATTCCAATGTGTATATTTTGATTATTCCTCATTACCCTCCCACACACCCTCATGTACCTGTTCCTTTCCTCTTGTCTAATAACGGGCTCCTTCCTACTTTCACACTGTCTGTTTTACGATTCCACGTATTAGGGAAAATATATGATACTTGTCTGTGTCTGTTTTAATGTCAGTCAATGTGATGGTCTATCCGTTTTCCTGCCAATTACAAATTTTGTTCTTTATGGCTCAGTAATGCTCCTCAGTGTATCTGTGCTACATTTTCTGTATCTGTTTATCTGTGGATGGACCCCAAGGCCGGTTCCACATCTTGGCTATCGTGAGCTGTGCAGCTAAGAGCATAGGAACTCAGGTGTCCCTATAGTATGCTGAGATAGTTCCTCCAGGTATATACCAAGGAGTGGGTCAGGCGGTAGCTTTGTTTTTAGTCTTTTGAGGAGACTTTCCACACTGATTTTCCAGAGTGGCTGTGCTAATTTATGTTTCCACCAGCAGCATAGACGTGATCCCTCCCACTCCACCCTCATTAGCCCTGTTTCGCTGTGCTTAATGACACCCACTCTGACTGTAGCAGCATGGAACCTCAGTGTAGAGTTGATCTGCATTTCCCTGACAGCTGAAAATGTGGGAAATTTTTATATACTTCTTGGCCGTTTGCACTTCTTTGGGAAGTATCCGTTCAGTTCATTTGCCCGTTGATTGATCGGGCTGTTTACTTTCCATGTTCCTTGCGTGTTTTTTTAAACATGCATATTTTAGATACCAGTCCTGTCCAGAGCGTACTGGGCAAAGATTTTTCTCTGATTCTGTAGTGTGGGGGACCAGATAGAACTCAGGCCTAACTGACCTCTGGAGCCCAAAGGAGAAAGGCGGCCAGCTGTGCTCCTTTGGCAGCGCACAGGTTCTCGGAAAACAATGCAGCGGAGAGCGGTGGTTTCTCTGGGCATGCACTTCAGATGGGGGCGGCAGATGGGTCCCCTGCTCTGCTCTTGCTTGTGCCTATGTCTGAGCGCGTGAAGATAAAGTGAGCCGGATATTCAGGGCTCCTGTCTGCTCCAGGAAGGGCCCCAGCCCCCTTCTAATCAGTTCCCTGTTTCTCTTTCATTCTCATTTGGCTCCCTGTCAGGACAAACTTGTGGACCGTTTGCTACACTGTAGGCGGTCTCTTCACTCTGTCCATTGTTTCCCTTGCTGTACAGAAACTTTAATTTGATGCAGTCACATTTGTTGCTTCTGGCTGCTGTTTCCTATTCTGGGAGATTCTAATTCACGTTTTCCTGTGCTTATTGCTTGAGTGTTCCCCCTATGATTTCTTCTGGCAGTTTCAGAGTTTCAAGTTTTTTGTTTCAGTTTTAGTTTTTGTGGTTTCTGTTTGTTTGGTACTAGGAATTGGATCAGGGGACTTCACATTGGACTAAATCCTCATATCCTTTTTTAAGTTTTTTGAGGCAAGGACTTGGTAATTTACCCGGCCCTGGCTCAAACACCTGAGCCTTCCCGAGTACTGGGATTACAGAGTGCACCACCATGATCAGCGTAAGTTTCAGGTTGTATACTTAGCTTTTTAAACCATTTTGAATTGATTTTAGTAGTGCAGGGTGAGACATAGGGGTCTTGTTTCACTCTTCTTCAATGAGTTTTCCCAGCACTATCTGTGAAAGAGACTTTCTCTAAAATATTTTTGGCTTTTGTGTCCAAAACCAGAGAGTTACAGTTGCAAGGGTTTCTTTCTGTATCCTCCATTCTGTTCCATTGGTTGATATGTTCGTTTTTGTGACATGCTGTTTTTGTGTCTATAGCTTTGTAGTATAATTTTAAATTGGATATTGTGATGCCTCCAGGCTTTGGGCTTAGCACTGCTTTGGTTACTCTTGGTCTTTTGTGTTTCCATAGGAATTTTAGGGTCAGGATGTAGACCTAGATTGTCCCCCAGAATGTTCATGTGTTCAGAGGTGGTGCTTTCGGAAGCTGATCGGATGATGTTGGTGGTTTCCTCCTCAGGGAACCAATCCACTGATGAATCTGCATGTGATGTCTGGTGAGGAGGTGGGGCCTGGCCTGAAGAAGGG